GAATTGTACATAATAATGGGATTTGTTGTTACTTATTGGTACATGCACACAACAATATAACAATATACTTTGGCCAATATCACTCTAGATAGGGCTCTTAACCCACTTTTGATCTATATCAGACTCTCTCGGCTACTTCTTTGTCTGTAGGCATGGATTATTGGCCTTGTGGAAGCTTCCACATTTTGAATTTGACTGACTGCATCTTAATGGTGTTTTTAATGATATTCCTTCATGCTTTAACTTTTCTATACCATGATAGTTCTATCTAGAGGCTTGGTTAGAATTAGTTTCAATGGTGGGAGGCAACGGCGGTGGAGGGTGGTGGTCTTTGAAATTCATATACTCACAGAAATTGGCACAATGCTGTTTTTGTGTGCCACTGCTGTCTTGGAAGCTAACGATATGGGTGGCTGATATGCAAAATAGTTCTTTTTTGGGGGGGTGGGACTGGGGATTGAACTCAGGGGTACTCACCACTGAGCCACACCCACAGCCCTATTCTGTGTTTATTTAGAGACAGGGTCTCACTGAGTTGCCTAGCGCCTCACTGTTGCTGAGGCTGGCTTTGAACCCGTGATCCTCCTGTCTCAGCCTCCCAAATGGCTGGGATTGTGGAGTGCACAGCACCATGCCCAGCCAAAACTTAGCATTTGTGTCACTGCTTGGCAAACACTCTAGCACTGAGCTACATTCCAAGCCCTTTTATGAACTTTTATTTAAAAACAGGGTCTTGCTAAGTTGCCCAGGCTGGTCTATGAACTTGTGATTTTCTTTCCTCAGCTTCTTAAATAGCTGAGATTATAGGTATGTCCCACCAGACCAGGCTTATAAGGAAGAATTTTAAAAGTGGTTGTCTTATGTGATGTTTGGAGGGCCTGGAGAGCAGTGCTCCACACAGTAATAAGCTGGGTTTGAAAATTTCATGTTAGTATCTTCTGCGGAGAACTGAAGAGAGAATTAACTTATAAGATAGCATGAATCTAAATTAGACCAGTGAATCAGACTATTTGATCAGGTCTTTAGGGCTTATTTTGCAAAAGATACCTAAATGATTAAAATGTGCAACCAGAAGTGAGTAGCACTGATTCAGATAGTAAGACTTGCACAATTTGGCTAAGTTCTCTTCAGTTTGTGATGTACTTCAGCAAGAGGTCCCTAATTGTAACCTTGAGAATAAAGAGGAGATGGGTCAGAGGAAGACAAGCCCAAGTAGAAGCAGTAGGAGGAGGTTCCTGGATTCTCTAGTTGCTATTGATCTGTAAGGATTTCTATGGCATTGATGAATTTCCTCAATAAATATGATGTCATGAACTTTTAAAAGAATGAGATCAGTGGTTTTCATTTGGAGAATCCAGAAGGAATGACACTAGTGAGCACACACAGAAGAGATTTGCCATTTGCTCACATGGGGAAAGTTTCCATTTTGAACATGTTATATTTGAGCTGTGTAGTATATATACCAGAGAGTAGATGTTGAGTAGGCAGTTGGCTATATGTCCAAAGTTCAGAGATAGGAATATAAACTTGGGAATTATAAAACTACAGATGGTATTTAAAGCCACCAACTGTGTAAGGTCACCTGGTGAATGAGAGATTGGCTGCCTGGAAGCCATGTGAAGAAGGTGCTTCGGACAGTTGTAAAAGTTTTTCTGAGGTGTACTGAGGAGAGTGCCTGCAGAGTCCTAAAGCATACTGTTTTTATTTTTATTTTTTCACTAAACACAGACAGATTGCTGTATAGAATGTGGTTGACAGCTTAAATTCCTATCAGCAGTGCACAGGATTACCATTTCCCCATATCCTTGGCAGTCTGTGGGCTTATCTTTCTGACATTTTGCCACGTGCATGGGTAAAGCAGCCGTATGTTGAAGGAGCAGCTCACAAGAGCTGAATGAGCACATATCTTCCCAACTTCTTGTCCAGTGACCTGACACTGGTGGTTTGAAGTCAGTGATGGTAAGAATATGTGCGCCATGGAAATTAGCAAATACTACAAATGAGTACTCGCCTCCTCCCAGGGAGCTGGTTTTAAAGTCTGTTCCAGAGAGTGGTTGCACTGTATTTGCGTATGACCACCTCTTCTGAGCTTGCTCGCTATCCTAGCCTTCCCTGCCATGAGCTGCCTGCTCTTATCCTTTCCTTATTCTATTTTTAAAAAAATATTTATTTTTAAGTTTTAGGTGGACACAATATCTTTATTTTACATTTATGTGGTGCTGAGGATGAAACCCAGTGCCTCATGCATGCTAGGCGAGCACTTTATCACTGAGCCACAACCCCAGCCCCACCTCCTTTCCTTATTTTTATCTTAGATTTTCTGATTGCTTTTTATTGACTTCTCCAAAGTTTCTTATATATTTTAGATTCTAATCTCTAATTGTTTTTGTATATAGCCCATGTCATTTCCCAATTTGTCAGCTCTTTCAACTTTTTTTCTATGGCTTTTTTTAATTGAAGAGAAGGCTTATTGTGATACATTTAAATCCTCCAATTTTTTTTTTTTCTGTTCTGAATATCAAACCTGGGGCCTCACATGTGCTGGGCAAGTGGTTTACTACTGAGGTACATCTCCAGTTATGAATCTTATTTTTCTGAACTGAACTTGTATCCCACATTAACAGAGTTGGTCTTCCACAGTTCCTATCTCTCATATGCAGGTCTTAGGTTTATCTGGAGTTTTCTTTGTATGTATATGGCTTTACCTTTTCTTCATTAACTAAGCCAGTTTCCTCAACATGATCTCTAAATACTCTATATTTTTTCTCATTGGCTTATGGTTTCACCTTTCATATATCAAGGTGCGGTTGGTCTATCCACGGGTTTACTTCTGAGTTCTGCATCCTGTCTCATTGCTCCTCTTTTCCCTGGAGCCATACCATTTTGTTTTTATTTCTGCATTTCTACTTTTCCAAATTGACATAACCATTTTAATTTTTTTTTTGGTGGTGCTGGAGATTGAACCAGGGCCTTGTGCATGCAAGCCAAGCACTTTATCAACTGAACTATATCCCCCAATATTTTAAATTATATTTCCTTATACTTTTTACAAGGTTATTGAGTTATTTAAAATTTTAGTTCCTACTAGAATTTTGGCTATACCAAAACATTGAATTTAGAGATGAAATGGGCATTTTTACATCTTCATGCTTTCAGTCTTCATTTATCCAGTCTTATGTCCTTAAATAGTTTAAAAATATTCTTCATACCTTTTTTTTTTTTTTTCGCAAGTTTTGGGCTAATTCCTGGATATTGTGCTTTAAAGTTTTATTGCCATGGTGAATGGTCTCTGATTGTCTATTGTATTTCCTATGGCTTGCTCCTGGTGTAAACTATTGATTTTTATAAATTGATCTAGTACTTGACAACTTTGCTTAACTAACCTATTACTTGTAGTGTGCATTGATTCTTTTGGGTTTTATATGCTGATAATTATATCATTTGCAAACGTGATAGGAAGATTTTAGGGGTTGAGTCAAGTGCTCTGCTCTTTTGCATTTAACTACTTCTAGTTGTGCTCTCATCTGTACTCTGGATTTTGTCAGCAAGGTGTCTGTTTGGTTCTAAGGTCTTGGTCCCCCTACACTCAAATTATGGAAATGAGTTCTTTTCTTCTTCCTGTGAATGAAATCCTGCCTAGTACCCGCCCACAGAAGAGCAGGATGCTGCCCTCTTTTGCCTATTTCCTCTAACTCCTTTCTCAAAGTGTGGGGTTCTGACAGCTGCTGAGAACTTCCTGAAGCTAACTGAATTTCTGAGTGATCCCTATTGCTCTATGCAGCCATTTTGGGTTCTTACGGCCTAGAAGGACACCTTATATAGGTGAAGCAAACAGTGACTCAACATATGCTTTCAGATCAGACAGGCTTAAGTTTGAATCTTATTTTTGTCCCAGAATACATGAAGAAAGTTATACAGCTTCCCAGAGTCCATTTCTCCATTTGAAAAATGAAGACTAATAAGATCTGGTAGGTAAAGTGATACACAGTGGACATTCAGAAGTTGCCTTTTCTCTACACTGATATTGACCACCACTGTAGACCCCTTCCTTGGTTTGTTGCTATATTGCAACTTCAGCAGCTGCTATTGGATCATATTCCATGTGCCTTTCCAACTGATAGTTCCAGCTCCAAGTTCTGGCTCTGTATCATTGTCCAATATCATTCTTGATAACTGGACAATACCTAGTTCTAAGACTTTGTGAGGGGTTGATGGGGGTGGTTCCTTGGAACATGAGTCCAGTGGGTACTTGTATTCATGATGATGGGCAGGGAAGTAACTTCAGTTTTTGAAATAAAGAACCAGGTGAGTTAGGGACTCTTTCTGGTGACATGGTGTCCTGGGAATTAGTCTATGTATTGTATGGTGTTGGGTGTAGCAGAAAAAGCCAGTGACCTGGCTGGTTCTAACAGAGACCTTTGTTAGAGCTAATAATGGCTCAGCTAGCCACACCCTGGAATCTACTAATATTATTAACTTAGAGGGATGATTTAAATTAGCAAATTGAATACTTGTGGAAATTTCACTAACAGCTCCTTCTGTTACAATAGATCTTTATGAGTTTCTGTGACAATAGTCCTCATTTACAGTTGTTTAAAGTTCACCAAAGGCAGACTGCCTTCCCTCTTGTAACCAGTTGAAGAGTGAGGTGGGTAGGTTAGACAAGAAAAAAGTATTAGGAAAACAGGGAAAGAGAGGTGGAGTCCTCATAGGGAGGAGGAAGCATCTGTGTCACATTATCTCGGAGAGTGCATGAAGATACAGAGCCTGCAGGGACAGAGAAGCTGGCAGCTGACCAGGGATGTGGGATGGTGATGGTATTTAATATTGCATAAGCACCGTGGGTTTTAGTTGGCAGTGTGCTCCACCCAATTCAACAATGTGATGTGACTACTACAAACAACCATTTTGATATTTTGAGCTATGTTCACAGAAGCATAGGCGTAGAAAGAGGTGGCAGGCTCACTCCTCTCTGCATTCAACAGGCCACCCATTCATTCCCGAGCATCACATTTAAGAGGGCTCAAGACAATCTGTGATACATCCTGAGGACTCCTTCAGCATGCTGGTGAGTAGGTTTGTAACAATGTTATATAAGTCACAGCCTAAGAGACAGACAGTGCTTAAATTGGAGTCAGACTTGATCTGAGTTTCTAGGGTAGAAACAACCAAAGGAGGGGGACTGGCAGGGAGCCAGATGTTAGCTCCCAAGGAAGGAAAAACATTTCCAAAAAGCTGGTCCGAGACAAGTCGGCTACTTTAGGAGATAGTGAGTTCTTTGTTACTGGAGGTGTTCAACTATAGCCACTGTGGGAGATGTTGTAAGAAGGACTGAAGTAACCAGAAAGTTTTTTTGCCCCCCTCCCCCATCAATGGTGCTAACAGGAAAAGATGTTCTGGTGTGTGGTGTGCACTCACTTCAGCTCTTCCAGAGATACTGGTGACATTCTTTCAGTCATTGATTTATTCAACATATTACTGCCAGGCATTGGGCTTGGTGAACATGGAAGGACAGCAAAACAGTGTGTGCCTCAGAGAGTTGTTATGGTGTGACGCTGTTGACTCAGGCTTAAAAACCTCATTGTAGTCTCATTAGGTCTCCACCTGAAAGGGACACAGGAAAACGTCAACACCTTTCTTTTCACTGAAAGGCAGAACCAGGAGGTGAGTGTCCACAACTGTTAAGTGTCACAGTTTCACCACTTTCGAATTCTTAGGAGATAGAAAAGGAGATCAGGATGATGTAAGTAAGGTAGGGGAGGAGGGAGCAGAGTAGGGGACATCAACTCCTGCGGTGACTACTCCCTTCTCTCCTCTGCCTCCACACTGCTCAATGTGGGTATAGCATTGACTAGGGTTTTCACAGCAAGACCTGCAAACAGATAATTGACTGATGGATCTAATCTAGACGGTGCAGGTCTGCATGCCCTCACTACTGGAAAAGGGTGAGACACTGTCCCTGCTCCTAAAAGCAGTGGTGGAGACTCTAGCCCAGGATACGAGTGAGCAAAGCAGGCCAGGCTGGCACTGCTAAGGGCTCTAAAGAGGAGGATGTAAGTAGCGCCAAGAGCTGCTGCACCAAATGTCTGTCCGGCCAGGCGGGGTTCCTGGGAGAACTTGGCTTTACAGCGCTGGACAGATCCCCGCTGCCGCAGCCCATGTCCGGGAAAGTCACGAAGCCCATCAGACTGTGCCGGCGTCGAGGACCCGCCGCGCTGCATGCGGCTGATCTTCCGCCTGTTGAGGGGCGCAGGGGCGCAGGCGGCAGGCGAGCGGGCGCAGGCGCGTGCGCCGGGCTGAGGCCGAGGCCTGCGCGCAGCCGGGGCTGCTGCACTGCGCGCGCGCGCCGACCCGCGTGGGGCCCGGCTCCGGCGCGCGCGGCGCGGAGGCTGCCGGCGGGAGGGGCGCGGGAGAGGTCGGGGAGCAGCGCAGTGGGAGGTTCCGCGGCGGCCACCGGACACAGCCGCCCGCGGCGAGCGCGCTATCGGTTTTTCCTTCGCGCCCCCGCGTCCCCAGCTGGCTCTCGGAGAGGACCTGGAGGAGGCAGGTGGGGCGGGGCGCGCGGGGCCTCCTGGGCCGCGGGTGGGAGGCAGGCTCCAAACCCGGGAGGGCGGCAGCGCGGGTACCGGGGGCTGTTGGCGTTTCGGGGAGGGGGCGCGGTGGCGCTGGGGGCTCTGGAAGCCGCGCGGCCGCCTCCTGTGGGCGCTGGTGTCACCCGCTGCAGGGAGGCCTCCCTGGGGTGGCGCGGCCCACAGGGCAGAGATGTGGGGTCTGGTTTCCGCAGCTGTCAGACTGTTTAACTTTAGCATGAGATAGGTGTCGCGGAGTGTGCGGGTCCCGCAGGGCCATGCGGAGCCAGGCAGAGCTGGGTTCTGGCCCACGCTCTGCAGCCGCTGCGGTGGCGGCCGCGGACGCCCTAGGAGTCCTTCCCAGGCGCATTGCTGTGCACCATCCGTCGTGGTTTATCCAGACATCAGCCTCCTTAGGTTTCTCACTCGGTACCCTTACACCCCCTTGTTTATTAAATAGTTGAGAAAACCGTTTGCCCAGTGGGTATTCAAAACTAAACCGTCTGACTTTCCTTCCAGTGCGTTGCTACCTTGGAATTCCTTAATTCTAAATCATCTGCGTTGGTAAGGGAAGTTGGAAGAACACCTGAACTGAGACCTGCCCTAAACAGACACACGTTTTAGCCCGTGTCCTTATGGATGAGATTGATGGGTTTACAATGTTAGCATTCTTTTGAATGAGATGTGAAGTTTTACACTTCATCCAGAGACTGTCCAAAGGCCATTTGGATTTCAACTGTTCTGAGACAATGTTTTGATACGTATCAGAGGATGATACTCTGAGGGGATACTTATTTTCTGTATGTTTCAAGCTAGGCTGTGGCTCATATTGTAATATCATAGTATAAAACAGTGCCTTTGATATAATAAATACCTTCCTCCACAAAACATTCGTCAGATACTTTATACTTCACTTTCACTTTGACACTTGTCAGTTATGAATCTCCTGCACAGTTCAAAGTGAGTGTCTAAATGGCCCAAGAGCAGGTGTACAGGACAGGGAGGGAAAGCAGAGACTCGAAAATGGTAAAAGTCTGTTCCCTACATTTTTATGACGCAAAATCCTCTGCTTCCATCCTAATTTGCTAATGTGAATATGCATTTTTTTGTAATGCTTTCATTTGATATGGACTACCTGGGCTGAAAGATTGAATCTTGGAATATGACAAATGTGTTCACTTCTATTTTGAAGAAAATTTAGCACATGGTATACTATTTATAGGCTTTATTTCTAACATTTTGTGTTTACCAAATATAGCCCCATCAGCAAGACCTTTTAAACAGGCGATAATTGTGTGTGGTGTTTTATTGCTCATAACAACCCTAGTTTTGAAATATATAAATTAGTGATCTTTATAGGATCAGCTTCACTCTTTCTCCTTGTTTAAACCTACAATTATCTCTTTACTAAAAGTCTAACAGTTCCCTCATTAATTATTTATAATAATGCTTCTTGGACTTGCTTAGAGAATTAGCCTTTGTTTTTTCTTGATTCAGGCATCTGTATATATTTTTTCATTTTAGAGAGTAAACTGCACCATTTTCCTGCTGTTCAGTACAACTTTCTGTGACGAAGTGTTCTTTGTGCACTTGTGCAGTATAGTAGCATTAGCCAAAGACAGCTTGAGCTTTTGAGCCCCTGAGTGGAGCTGAAGCCATGAATGAACTGAATCTGAAATTTAATTTAAATAGCCACATGTATCTGGTGGCTTCCTAGTTGGACATCACAGCTTTTAATTATTAATGCCCCAGGAATCCTTCACTAACCATCTTGAGTCTGTGCTCATAGTTTGCAGCTCTTCTCAGCCACAGCACTTGTTACTATTACAGTGTAATCACAGCTTTCTCATAGAAATTCAGTGCTAGCCTGGAATCTACATGAGGGCAGAGGCAAATCCACTTTCTTGGCATTTGATAAGCCCAGTTTAGGGCTTGGTAAGAAACAAATATTTGTTGAATGCATAACTGAACTTGGGGGCAGGTGTCTTACTTTGATATTCTCTTTAGGGCCTAGGGGTAAGTGTTCAATGCTATACATACTTGTTTAGTGATTGAATAGATGTTTTGTGGGTAGAAAATGAAAGGATCATTGGAGGTGTGCTTTTCACATGTTAGTCAGTCTTATTTTGGAATCCATGAAAATAAAGTCTCTTGACAGATTGCTGTGGGAAATTGAACGAAGGGCCTTATGATTCTGAAGATCGTGGTTTCCTGTTATTTGAGCAGCTATATTCTAAATAAATCAGTGAGGCTCTTTCTAGGATCCTGTTAGCCCTGAACCACTTGGAAGAAGTTGGTGGACATTTCTTACTACTTCTGTGATGAGGCAGAATCAGGGGTCTTTGAAAAATCAAAAGATAGTAGAGCCATGTGTGGTTCCTTAACAGTTATCTGTTAAACTTTGTTTCTTACCTCTCAAGGAAGCCTCATAGCCTTTGCAGAATATGGGCCCATATTTACTCCCAAGCAAGCAGAGGGCAGCAAGTAGAAATCCTGAGTTAGGGAGAAGCTGTAGTGTGAGGGAGGGCTGTCCTTGTGCTTGGAGTTGACAGTGTTTGAGGAAGATCACAATTAGTTTTCTTTCTGTTTATGTGGCAAGGTTCATGTCAAAGTGTTCAGAGTATTGGGTGACAAGTAATTTTGTAGCATCCAAGAAAATTTAAATACCTTCAAAATAATAACAACTTGTTTAGGTTATTTAATATGCAATATCCCTGTTTATATAAATGCATACTCCTTGAGGAAAAAAGAAAGCATCTTACTCTTACCAGTTTCTTCTAGTGTTGAGTCAAATTTGGAAGAAACCCAATAGCTCAGAGAAATGATGGTTTCCTTGGAGAGGGGTGGAGTGATAGAGATGATTAAGTAAGTACAGGATTGGTTAATCAAGAATAGAGCTCATGTTGAGTAATATCTAGTATGGCATTATCTGCGACTAGATCGAGCTATCATTGAAAAACTTTTTTCCGTAACTTATTCTATTTTTTTCTACTGAAAATAGTCTAAAATCATTTTCATTTGGTTTCATAATATGATTTTCTGCTTATATTTAAAAATATAAGGGCTCAAAACATTTCAGAATAAAGACCTGATGCAAAAGAAACTGTAAAGTTTTTATCTGCATAATTTTTACTTAGCATTTCTCTGCTTTCTATGTCATTTCTGAGATGTAGGCTAGGGTAGCACAAGTCTAATTTAGAGCAAATGTATTCTAAGCACTCATGTTTTCTGGGAAATAGAGGTAATAAAAGTGATATGGTTTAAAAGGCATGGCTTTCCATCTTCTGCTAGGATAGAATAAATAGACCCTCGTACATTAAGTGGAACATTCTCAGTAAGCTCTTACATTTGTGAAAGCGACATGATTAATTTTCAGTAAAGTTTTCTGGGATATCAGAAAATAATGGAAACATTCTAAACTAGATTATTTTCATGGGATGAGCACATGGCACCAGCTACTGGATGACAAATGATACAACCCGTGTCAGCATTATAAGAAGTCCAAGATCCACCTGCAGGGATAATATGCTCTTGTATGTTACCATGAGTAAGAGGATGTCATCTATTTAGTAGAATAGCTCAGCATTTTAAACTGTTTTTTACCTATTATTGGGAAATATCTTTTTACCGATTATAGTTTATTATTCTTGAACTCCGTCTAGAAGAGATTATGTATGCTGCTGACTGGATAAGAAGCAGTATGAAGCAATGTGTATTTTACACAACAGTTTTGCTAAGAGAACTGTTTTCCTGTCATAAAAGAGACTCTTAAAGATTGAAGTTGAAAATGTCACTAGCTTAGATATTAAAAGAATTTTAGCATTTTTTGTGATTGAAGGCAATCATTCAAAATTGCATATAAATAAAGAAGAAATACCTTATTTTTCCCCTTTCTTTTTCACTTAGGTGGCTTCCTAGAAGATGACCATAGAGGACCTTCCAGATTTTCCATTAGAAGGAAATCCTTTGATTGGAAGATACCCCTTTTTATTTTCAGGTTCTTATACACCAGTTATCTTTTCCATTTCCGCTGCACCAATGCCTTCAGACTGTGGTATGTGACATAACTCTGTTTTCTGTAAACTGGTAACTTGACTTCTGTCTTATGCCCTCTTTGCACTCATAATTTTTTTCTGAAACCATTTGCTCTGATTTTTATAAAATTGCTAAAGCTTTCCTTTTTCAAAATACAATCGCTTATTGCATTTTCTGCCTCTTAAGCTAAATGCTTTATTTCTGCTGTCAGCATTTTTATTATGTAAAAACGTTAATTTTAAGCACCATGATGGATTTAGAGGATTTTATTTTTAGAATGTAATGGTGCTTAGATATCAAGCATTCTTTTGCTATTGATGTATTTATTTTGGTTAAATACACTGAATTGCTAAAAAAGCCGTGTACTAAGGCAAAGACTGCAAGAGACCCTTCCCTGGAATATGGAATGAGATTGGTTCCTCTTTAAATTGGTCCATTTAATTCTCCTTTGTAAACTGTAAATTTAGAGGTGTCCTAGTTTTTGTCTATTTTGATTTATTTCCTGAGGACTGTATTTTATAAGTAGTTGATAAAAGAAAAAGAAGAAAGGAAACCAGGAGGTAAATTTGATAGAATTGTTACATTTTTAATTTAGAGTTTTTCAGGTAAAATATTGGGTCACTATTTCAAATCATCTTTGGAGATAGAAATAATACAATTTTTAAATATTAATAGATATAAAGTTATTAGATTAAGAATTTGTCTTTTTGTTCATGTTTGTTCTAGTAATTTCTCTTCTCTAAGTTTTCTACATTTTTTTGTATTCTGGTTCTATAGGAGTTTCATACAGCTGTCACCCAAAGTATTACCTAAAACCTGTACCCCAATCTTGGGAATTATTTGCAGCTCCCCTTGCCCATGGTGCTGGGGATTGAACCCAGAGGTACTCTACCATTGAGCTCATCCCCAACCCTTTTTAATTTTTTATTTTGAGCAGAGGATTGCTGAGTTGCTGAGGCTGGCCTTTAACTTGTAATCTTCTGCCTCAGCCTCCTGAGTTGCTGGGATTATGGGCATGTGCTACTGTGCCTGGCTTGTTTGCTGCTTTTATAAAAGTTGACTGGGTTTATTTTCAGTTATAACAAAATCATTTATACTGAGGAAACCTTGAACTAAAACCTTGAACATTTTACCTCGCTTATGATGTTTTTTCTATCTTAAATTAGAATCATCTTATTTCCTTTCCTAGACGGTAGGTCTTTGGGATGGAGTAACAGTCACGTTTTATTTTTGCTTACCTAAAGGCTAATACAGCCATTTGTTGAGATTAGTTGTTCAACATTTGTTGAATAAATACATTGAATGAAAGATGATAATGAATATAACTTTGTATAACTGAATTCAAACATTCCTAGTAGTTTTCAGGCCCCAGATTCTGAGAATCTTTGTGGTCCTGTACTTCTGCTTTTCCTCCCTTCTGGTATAGAAGGACCATTTGCAGGCTCTCTGACAGATCACCATCCAGCCTCTTGCATATCTTCAGTACTTTGAAACTAATGAAATAGTTAATTTCATCATTAAAAAGCTTTAGTTGTAGTAGATTTGTTTTTGTAAATGGATTATGTCTCCCTGAAACTTTGGCCAACTGGTACAATGTGGGAGAAACACCTCTTTCTATGACAGCCTTCAAGTATTTAAGATAATTTGAACCTTTTTCTCACTGTGTGCATCCTTTGGCCACCTGTTTCTAGTTCCCTCAGCAGGTCCTCATTGTCAGGACTTTTAGACTCTTTCCATCCTAGTTATTTTCTTATAAATTGAAGTCAGTATTCCCTTAAAATGCAGCATTTGGAATTGCATCTGTGGAGCAGATGTTTATCGAGGGCTTCCCATGTCCTAGGTACTGCCGTACGTGCTGGGTTGCCACAGTGACCAAGACAGATCTTTTTGAAGGGAAGACAGACAATAAACAAACAGATGAATTAAATAGAACAAAAATAGATTGTAATGAGTTCTATGGAGAAAAGAGATGGGTGCTGTGGTGGGAAGTCATCGGGCAGGGTGGCTACTCTGACAGATAACCAGATTGGGGGAGGGCTTCTCTGAAGAATCATGAGAGGGTCTGGGGAGAAGCATTCTAGAAAGAACTAGGGGGGAAACCTTGGTGTACACTAAGAATTAATAGAAGTCCTCTTGCTGAGAAGATAAGCAGCTGAGGGGCAGAGTGGAGGAGGTGAAGTTGGAGAGAAGTCCGATCATGTAGCCCCGAGTGGTCCCAATAAGATTAAAACCAAGAAACAAACCAGTTCACACAAACCAGGCCTTGGTTGTGGAGCCTACTGTGGACCCTCTAGGTGGCTGCCCCGTGAGCTCTCCTAATGCAAGACAGTTTTGCAATCTTCTGCTTTGAAATGTCTTCAGAGCCAGTTCACACAGAGCACACGCTATAGATGTCATAAACACCATGATGCTTTCTTTAAATAAGAATGTGAAAAATCTTACTTACTCATGTGGTTACCATTCCTAGTGCTCTTCCTTCCCGTGTGGGGACCCAGATTTCCATGGTACCTTTTTCCTTCTGCCTGGGAGACCTCCTTTAATTTTTTTATGACCAGTGATGAGTCCTTTCAGTTATTTTATGTCCAAAGCATGTTTGTTTCACCTTCTGTTTTGAAAAACAAATTTGCAGGGTGTATAATTCTAGGTCCTTAATTGTTTTCTTTCAATATTTTAAAGATGTTGCTCTTCGGTGTCCCCTCTTGCATTGTTTTTGATGGGAAATCTGCCATCATTGCTATCATTTTTGTTTCTCTGCATGTAATGTGTGTTTCCCCTCCTACCTCCAGCTGCTTTTAAGATTTTTCTCTTTATTACTGGTTCTGAGCAATTTTACTATTATGTACCCTAGTATAGTTTTCTTTATGTTCTTGTGCTTGGAGTCTGTTGAGCTGGTATGATTTTAAAGTTATCAGAAATTTGTATTTGTCTTTTCCCTGAATCGTCTTGCTGTTTTGTATCATAGATGCTTGTCAAAGCTTTCAGGAAGACATGAGAGCCAAATAATAACTGCCTGTTAGGACAAAAGCCTTAAGGCTGTGAGTAAAGATTATGGGAGTTCATTGTCATACAGTTGATGAGGAAATTTGGTCATTTCTTTGACATTTTAAGATAACTGGAATTATAACTGATAATATTATACCAGGACCTATCAAATTACTAAGAATTTCATACCGTTTCTGGAACAGTTATTGATAATATACCCATACAAATATAACATAAGGAGGGTTAAATATGACCTTTATTTGATAGTGCTTCTTGTGCCTAATTGGTTTTACTGTTGCTTGATAATTCTTCCCATGCAAATAAGCTTAATTACTTTAACAACTCTTTCTGTTTGGGGTTTTTTGGGTCTTTCTGAAATATCCCAAAGTTAATCTGAGGTCAAAAAGTCTTCATCCAGAATTAGAGTTTTCAGAAGTTTGCAAAAAATGTCAGAAGATTCAAAACACTTAATTGAATAGGATCATGGGTACTTAGTTATCTATTTTACGAAAATGACAAAAATTTCAAAGGTAAATACAGAAGGCCATATAGTTGAAAAAAGAGAAAAAGAAGAAGAAAGACAGACTAAAGAGCTTTGGCTCTTTTCAGGGAAAAATTTAAGTAACCCAAGACCTGGCAAAGATAACACGAAGCACAGGAAATTATCTTATAAACCCCAGAATCTTTGTTTCCTAGGAGGCCCTCTGAAAAGTTAAATCCAAATTTTAATTTTTAAAAATTTTTTAGATGTTGATGGATCTTTATTTTATTCATTTATTTATATGAGGTGCTGAGAATCAAACCCAGTACCTCATGCATGCCAGGCAAATCACTACCACTGAGCTACAGCCCCAGCCCAAACCAAACTTTTTACACTCTCCTATCAAGAGAAATTTTATCATTTTAACTGAGAGATGCTCACATTCTGTTTTTGCATAATTCTGAAATTAATTATACATTCTTTTATTTTTAGCTTGCTTGGCAGCAAAAGAATTTCTTTCTTCCCAGTTTCCTATAGCCATTTAGTTTTTCTTCATTTTCCTTTTCCTCAACAAAAGCCACGTCCTCACATCTTTTCTTAACTGTCATGATAGGATTCTGTAGATTGGCAAATTTATGAATATATCTTTTCATAATTCCTAGAAGTGTCCTTCCTTGTGGTACAGTTTTTCATTGTAGCGCAGGACATGTTTACTAACACCTAGACATCTTTCATTCATCTGTCCAAAAGCAGATAAACTTTTTTTTCAGCAATTAATGTTTCAGTATTTTATGTGGACATAATCAACTTAATTCACTTGTTTTAACAATTATACTTTGATTACTCATAAAAATTTCATAAGACATTAAGTAGCTCATCATCATCTAAGTTTTTTTCTTGCTGAAAAATTTTGTAACAGATAGCATGAACTTACTTGTAATTAATTTGTTTTATAACATGAGCTTATTTGAATAGTAAACCTAGGTAGAATTAAAGTTTATGTTTGTGTCATACTTAATGCTAACACTCTGCAGGCATATCCATTTTTTTTAAAGTAAATCATTAGTATTTTTATTTACCAAAGATTACCTAAGTGATGTGATCTTAAAAGGCACTTGGGTTAGTTCCTATTTTTCTGAATGTTTTAGGAATACTTAGAATAAGCACTTGAGATTTTTACTCATGTCTGTTTAACTTTTGTAAATACATATGAACATATAGACCTAAGCATAGATAGTTTAGCATTCATTTCAAAATTTTTGCCAATACTCCAAAGCTTCTAGTTTGATAAAGGAAGCTGGATCCACCTTGTGCCTCTGGCAGCTAGAAGGTTACCCATTCTGATGGCCAAAACTTTGTATTAGAGATTTTTCATTTGCACGCTATAAGGATTTTTTAGAGAAGTTTCTTTTTCTTTCTTTTCTTTTTTTTTTTTTTGTGTGTGTCATTTTGGTTTTTAGAAGGTTCTGCATCCAAATCAAAGGATGCATTCCATTGTCTGAGAGCTTCAGGATCCTTCCTGTTCCAGGGCACTGCCACAATGAATTATCTTGTCTAAATTAAAGGTTTCCCAGAGTGGTCATTGTAATTCCAAGTTATCCGTTGTAAATTTCATCCATTTTTCCAAAAAGGCACACGATCTTGGTCCATAGTTGGTTTTGGACCAGTTGGAATCCATCCTTCTCTTATATTCTTTAAGAATTCTTACATTCTTAGATTCTTAACTGTGTGAAGTATCCCATTTTTCTTTCTTTTTTTTTTTTTTTTTTATATTGGGTATTGAACCCAGGGAAACTTAATCACTGAGCCACATCCCCAGCCCTTTTTTGTATTTTCTTTAGAGATTGGGTCTCACTGATTTGCTTAGGGCCTCACTAAGGTGCTGAGGCTGGAGTTTTACTCTTGATCTTCCTACCTCAGTCTCCTTAGCTGCTGGGATTACAGGTGTGCACTACCATACCCAGCTTCAAAGTCCCACTTTTCAACAGTTGTTCTGAAGCACTGGGAATCACGTTTTCCCCTCAGTCCCTCTTTGAACAGAGTAGGATGACTGACCAAGGAACTTCAGCAGAGGCCACTAACAAAATGCACATGGCAGAGGCCTGTGATCCTAGTGACTCCAGAGGCTGAGGCAGGAAGATTGCAGTTTTAAGGCCAGACTTGGTAACTTTTTGTGAGACGCTCCCTCAAAATAAAAAAATTTAAAAAGTGCTGGGGATGTAAACGGGCCTATGAACGTTTCTAGGTTCACCCCCCGTACCTCCCTGCTACCTGGGTGGGGGGATTGGAAAGTCGATTTTTGTCTAGTGGATGCTGCTCTGCTTTTTTTTTTTTTTTTTTTAAACAAGCCCCTTTGGGCTGGTTTGGTGTTTCTCCTTTCATATTTTCATTATCCCAACTCTGTGAAGTAAGACTTATGTGTACATATTATGATTTTGGAAAATATGTAAATATACAAAGAAGAAAAATTAGCCCTGTGAGTCCTGCTGCTTGTGTTTGCTGCTGTAGTCGGAGCTCAACAGAGTTATCTCAGCCAGCAGCAGCCTAAGGGAGGAAAGAAGACAGGCTTGGGGACAGACCTCGCTTCCCACTCCAGATTTCCCACTCAGTAGCTGCGTGACTGTGAGCTAGTTGTTCAATATGATTTTCTCTTACACAAAATGAGAATAACAATACCTGGCGGGTAAGGTGTTTGTGGCAGTTAAATTCTAAGTGCTCAGCAGACTTTAGTTTTCTAATGTTTTCCTTTTTTAGATATGTCTTTTTTTTTATAGTCCCCATTTTTTTTTTTTGTTTGTTTGGATGAAGACAGTAGAATTGATTTTTTTTTCCCCTTGAAATATTTTATTTTCTTCATGAGCCATTCCCTTCTTCTGTAGTTGTAGGATGATCAGTCTTTTTCTCTAAATCTTGGGAAGGATATTTTAAGAAATATCTAGATCACACAATCAATTTTGTCTCATATTCTGTGGTTTTACTAATACCAATTCCACAACCACCCAGTCATTTTTGTCCCAAATTTCTACATCCTTATCTGTTGGAATAGCCTTTCTCCTCAGATTTCTTCAGTGGGTAAAAAGCAAAGCTCTTTATTATAGGAAATTAGGAAAATAGGAAAGTAGAAAGAACATTTGAAATCACAAGTTTTTATCTAGTGTATTTAATATTTGGCATATTTATTATTTTCATTTTTGTTATCATAGATGTGATTTCTACTATTCATGACATTTGTGTTTTGAGAAGAAGACTACTGGTAAAATTAGATAGGTTTTTTTTCTGTGCCTTAGAAAAAATACTTGGAAAATTCAGGGTTTGAGATCTGTGTACTCACATTTGGTTTCATCTAAGATAAAATATAGTGTGATACATGGAAGTCTCATTGCCTCAGAAATTTAGACAAGCCTTGTTTTTGGTCACCCTGGCACTGGTTTTGAGAATTATGTAAGGTCGAGTCTACTTTTTGTCTACCATTTAAAAAATATCTGTGTCATTTGAGTTTTAATCCTATTATTTATTATTTTCAATATATTTGAAACCTGTAACAAATCTGAATTCTACCTTTTTTTAAAATTTCAGAGTTTTCCTTCTTTGATCCTAATGATGCCTCATGCCAGGAAATTCTCTTTGATCCCAAAACTTCCGTCTCAGAATTATTTGCCATTTTAAGACAGTGGGTTCCTCAGGTCCAGCAAAACATTGACATTATTGGAAATGAGGTAAAAAAAAATTGTTGCATTTTCCATTTTGCATTATTGTTAGGATTGTTAATGGTATAGAACCCTCCCACCCCACCCATCTGAATGGGGAGATAGTGATGAAGGTGAAGCGCTTCAAGGTTTTGCTTTTGTCCTTTGTGTTTGCATGGGCAGCGGGTGGGTGCTCTGATCTTGTCCTCCTGCTCCTCATGCTCTGTACTTTCTTACACCTGGGGTTCCAGCACTGGAGACATTTGGGTAGGGGTAGGGAGAGGCACTTTGCATATTTTCTCCTTTATACAAATTGCTTTTGCAAACTTGCATGCATTTCTTGAAGGGATTTGATCACCATCACATTCTGTCTACAATTTTGAATGATTTGACAAAGATCTGGGCTTTTAAATATAAAAATGTTTGATTCTTGGAGGGGGCTGTTCTTGACCCACATGTTGTCATATTGTAGGAGGACAGTGTTTGTACTTTCTTAAAGTAGTATTCTACTGATTGGGGAAAAGTTTTTTTTGCTCATTTTTGAGAAGAGCAATATTTTGAGTAACAGATTACTTTGGAGTCATCTTTTAAGAATTTTCTTCTGTGGGGAACAAGTTCAATATTCATTATGTTGACTGCGGGATATTCATTATTGTTGGGTGTAATTCAGGTAGGACACACCAACTTGGCTCCCCAGCACTGATTTGGAAGTCACTGGTACTTCTGAAGTTAGGTTGTAATCGTGTTTTTTCTTGGCTTTCTTAGATTCTTAAGAGAGGTTGCAATGTGAATGATAGAGATGGACTGACAGATATGACTCTTTTACATTATACTTGCAAGTCTGGAGCTCATGGTATTGGTAAGTATGTGGTAATCTGTTGCTTGCTTGGGTCATCTGCATCTGTGCTTGCTTAACCTCTGTGTGCACCAGTCAGAGACCTGGGAAGACAGTCAACAGGCAGAACTCTTCAACTGGGTGAGGAATCTGTTAGGTCCTTCCTAAACCTTGTTTCTTTTTCTCTGGAAAGTTTTATACTCTCCTGCTACCTCTCAACTTTTCTGCAGTAGGCTCCCTGTCTAATTGCTTCCTAGCTGAGAGTTAACTGGTCTGTCCTAGAATTTTCCCAAGGGCTTCCAGCAGGATCAGTCCAAAGTTCATTTTCTAGGCATAGCAATCTCCACAGAATCCCAGATTTTGTAGGCTTGAGGAGGAGGTATGTTCCAATTTAGGAAACATCTATGTGTATTTTCCAAAATTGATACTCTCCTGTGGTTTAGCATTTTATAAATCTGCCTCTAGCTAAACTATAGATTGTGATTATCTCTCCCAATTTCAGTAGTCTAATACGGAGTGCCTTAAACTTTGGGTGGTGTAAGACTCTTCCCCCACCCCCTCCATAATCCATCATTGACTGGTAATTTTGTAAAGTAAAAATGAATTTATAATATAAAAATGAAATAAAGCCCCAATATTTTTAAAAAGGCATAAAATTATATTTTAGTCAATATAGTCAGAAGAAATATTAACTAGGGAAAAAAAGTTACAAAAATTACAGATTACAGCTTGGAATTTCTAGATCCACAGTGCTCACTTTTTTTTTCTCCCTTGGAATATTTTTTTTATGATTCTTTTTAGTTATACATGACAGTAGATGCCATTTTGACATAATTATACAAGCATGGAATATATCTTGTTCTAACTCAGACCTCAGTATCTCTCCACCCCCTTCCCTCCCTCAACCTCCTGCTTTCTTCCCTCTATTGATCTTTCTGCCATTTACCCATAGTTATTTTTCCACAGCACTCACTTTGAGTAGCACATTATTTTTAAAGGCTTCATAGTATTCCATAATATGGGTGTCTCAATTTATTTAACCAGTTTTTATTATTGTACTTTTAGGTTGTTTCAGAATTTTATTTTTAATAAACAGTGCAGTAATGAAAAACTTTACAGATGAGTGTTCACAAACCTGAATATGATTATTTTCTTAGAATAAATTCCTGAAAGTGAAGCTTTTGAGGTGTTAAGGTATATTCAGTGTGCTTTGACTTTTTCCATTGGGACTTAAAAGGTGTACTGGGAAAAAATAATTTAGAAAATCTTCTTTAGGTGATGTAGAGACAGCTGTAAAATTTGCAGCTCGACTTATTGACCTGGGAGCAGATGTCAGTTTGCGGAGTCGCTGGACAAATATGAATGCTTTGCATTATGCTGCTTATTTTGATGTCCCAGAACTTATAAGACTGATTTTGAAGACCTCAAAACCAAAAGGCAAGTATTATCAGATCACTGTTAGCTGTTATTAATTGGAGATTTTAATAGTAGCATAAAATTATAGTTTAAGGCAATTTTTCTTCTAATGCATCTTGATATGCTTTCCTACCTCATTCCTCATTTTATTTCTGAGATAGTTTAGAATTTATTTCTTGAAGATTAGTTACTATCATTTCACATAAGTCTTAGTATAAAAAGACACAAAAATAGCATTCTTTGGGTTTTCCTATCTTTTCAGATTCTCCAGTGTAACATGGGTTTATGTGTAATTGATTCTAGGTGCTTTATAATTCTTTCATTTTGCTTGGGTAGCCAGGAATAGAGCAATGAGGCCTTCGGAGGTAGGCATAGAAGTAATAAAGGATTTTTTTTTAGATGGTGTTCATTTCTGAAATTCTGGGATTCTACTTAACAGATGAAATTTCAGTCCGCCCCCGTTGCCCCCCCCCCCCCCCCCCCCCGCAAAATCTCAATGGTGGTATACTAAAATTGAAGATCTTAACATCTAAATCCCAAGCCTGGCTTTTGACTTTCTGGTTCTCCTCTTGCGGGGGGAGCGGGGTGTCAGTTATCTTTGGAGAACAAGTGAAAAGCATTTCTTTAGTAAAAGAGAGTATGCTGAATTGCCCCTACTGTAGAAGACATGTTTTAGAGATTCCATAGGAAAATGGAACATTAGTTTCTAACCACAGATTCACAAGGGTGGTCAATTTTCTCTTTGAAATTTTACCTTTTCACTTTCTTAATGGTATTGGGGAAAGCCTGTATTGATGGTACCTTGTCTTTTTTAAAAAATATTTTTTTATTTGTTGATAGACCTTTATTATTTACTTATTTATATGCAGTGATGAGAAATGAACCCAGTGCCTCACACATGCCAAGCAAGTGCGCTACCACTGAGCCCCAGCCCCAGCCCCAGTCCCTTGTCTTTAATAGTTGAAGAAAGTTTGTCCTGAGCATATCTGGCTTGCCTGCAGTTGTAGGTAGGGCATGCAGGGATGGTGGTGTGTCGATTAAGGTAAATCTGCAGAACCAGAGGCATATTACATAGAAATATTTCAGAAAATGTTATAGGAAACATTCAACATGGGATTCCCAAGTCTGGAGGATTTCCTATGGTTAAGTATACCATAATGACGATTTATTGAAAGATATCAAAATGTCCTTCGAATTTCAAGATTTCTTTTCTTGTAATGAACTCCAACCCCTTTTCTTATAATGATTTGTTGAATAGAGTATTATGAATGGATGGATAGATGGATATATATTTATATATATGTGGTGTGTGTGTGCGCGCACACACACATTTATATGCTTAGTCTTTAATTGGTGAGAGAATTCTGCATTGTTTCACCTAGTGGGAATTGAAGTGGGAATTAGCGGTCTTTTTTTCTGCTAAGAACTAAATAGTAAATAAATATTTTAGATTTTTCAGACCATATGATCTGTTAAGTTTCATGATTATAAGCATGAAAATGTCATGTGAATGACTGTGCCTGTGATCCGATAAAACTTAGAAACAGATGGTGAGGTCGGTTTTGCCCATGGGTCATAGTTTGTTGATCCCTGACCTAAACCCTACTGCTTCGCTGTGGTTGGATAGCAAATATGAAAGAGATTTAGTGAGAGGTCATGGGAAAGCAGTAATTTATACAAATACAAATTATTGCCATTCATTACTTTTAATATGATTTGGTTTGTGATAGCTGGAAAACCCATGATAGTATCACTTGATTATAATAATAATGAACTTTATTATACTAGAAAAATAATCAGTTGATTGTTTTGGCCAGATTGTAATGCAAAGATTTTATTCCATTGTGAAATAGTACTTCTGGTGGGTTAATTTAAGTCTTATAAAAGGCTAAAAATCCCCAAGCCCCCAAGCTTTCCATTTCCTGTTAAATTATAATAGCTAAATTTAAAATTTTAGTTAATATACTTGTCATGTTTAATTGCAGATGTGGATGCCACTTGCAGTGACTTTAATTTTGGAACGGCTTTGCATATTGCAGCGTATAACTTGTGTGCAGGTGCTACAAAATGCTTACTGGAGCTTGGAGCAAACCCCGCATTTAGGGTAAGAGGTTGAAGTAAAAGAACGAGAAAATTTATATTATCTCCTAACAGAGAGCTGAATTCAGATGTTATCAATAGAAGAACTCCTATATGATTGAGCAATTTATATATATATATATATATACATATATACCTAAATATATATAGATATAAAGAGTATGATGAGATTTATCTTAAATACATTTAAGGCATGAATTTCAGTCCTTTTATATTAAGTTCTACAACACTTGCATTTAGGAAAGAAAACTAATCTTAAAAATATAATATTTGAGTTTTAAATATCTTTAGGTTTTGGATATATTTATAAAAAGTTAACTGTTAAATACAAAGGTATATATTAAGGTGATTTTTAAATTAGATAATACTTTAAATTATTTTGAAAAGAAAACTTATGCCAAAAGATTAAAAGTTAAAATAAGTACAAACTTTAAATATACCTCTAAGAATGTAAAAACACATTTGAAAAGCACAGTTAGCATGTGCCGTGTCTCTTGGAGCACAGGGTGATGGCCACAGTGTTAGAAGAACATGGAATTCTGTAATGAATAAGCCTGCTCACGTTAGGAAGACATCATCATCGTTGCTATTTTGTTTTCTTAACACAAGTTTCAGTTGCTAAGTTTCATGGTAGCAGAATTGTGCAACTGGCTTTCAAAAGTGAGGACATGTGCAATGTTCAGGCTCAGGGGGCTGAGGCAGGAGGATGCAAGTTCAAGGCCAGCCTGGGCAATTTAGTGAGACCCTATCTCAAAATAAAAAATAAAAAGGGCTGTGGATGTAGCTCAGGGATAGAGAGCCCCTGAGTTCAACAGTACAACATACAAAAAAAGAAAAAAAAAAGTGAGGACCCTACAAAAGACACAAGACTACTTACGACTCATCAGCACAGTGTTTAAATTTTTTGGGGGGGCGGGGCTGGGGATGTGGCTCAAGCTTGCCTGGCATGCGAGCGGCCTGGGTTCCATCCTCAGCACCACATACAAACAAAATGTTGTGTCTGCCGAAAACTAAAAAATAAATATTAAAATTCTCTCTCTCTCTCTCTCTTTTTAAATTTTTTTTTTTGTTTCTCCACGTGTATTCATCTCTCTAAGAGTACACATCAGTGCTATGCATATGTTTCTTGTATTTTGTATTTTTCTTTGAAATCTCATATTTAAGTAGTCCATCACCATCCCAGAAATCTGGTAACAGGTCTTCCCTTCTCATTTTTACTCAGGACCAAGCTGACTTGAGTTTTAAAACAAAACAAACAACAACAACAACAAAATGTTGGGCAGTTGCAAACCACATGTGCCTTTAAAGCCTTAATTTAAAAAATCTGTAGGGATCCTTTGAAGATCATCAGCAGAGGAGAAGAAATGGTTTTCCATTAACAAAACTATCTTGATTCATCATATTAAAAAAGATTGAGAAACCTGGACTTTCTCATAAAGTCCAAGGTTTTTGGTTGGGGAAAATAAGGAAGGTATCTTTTCTAAGGGAAGCATAGTATGAAGAATAGGAAGGCCAAGGGCTTGGTTGGGTCAAGGTTAGGGTGCAGACGGCTGGGACTGTAATGTCATCTCTGCCAGAAATCATATCAATGATCTTGAGCCATTAATCTCTTTATCTCTGATTTTCCTAATTGGCATACTGGAAATTTCAGTATTTTTTTATTTAATTGGTTATTGTCTCTTCTACTTTAATATGAACCTGCAGAGGGCAGGGATTCTGTTTTGTTCACAAGCTTCTCCCTGACCTGAGAAGGAAGGGAGATGGCTTGTACGACAGGGTTTTTGTTATATGGACACCATGCTGATAAAGTGGGCTTGTGTCTGGTGTCTTATCTTGTCACAGGACAAATCCCAGGCTACAGTCTCTTCTTTATAGTGCTAAAGAGCATTTTTCTTGATAATAGGCCAAATTTTAGAAACATGAGAACTATAGTTTCTGTTTCTGAAATCTGAGTTACTTTCTGAGTGGACAGGAGGCCCAGGTCACCAATCCCAGGTGGCAGCGGTGGAGTAGTGGACTGTAGTCAGTGTTCCTTAATGATGGGGATGCATTTAAAGCAATGCATTGCTAGGTGATTTTGTCCTTGTGCGAACATCATAGTGTGCATTTACCTAAGTGAAGAGGCTGTGCCATCACAAGGTGATTCAGTCTATGGGAGCACTGTTGTATATATGGTCCCTTATTGACCAAAATGTCATTAAGTGGTGCATGGCTGTGGTTGGGTCTGGGAATGGAAAGCCAGTCAGCCCTGTGACTTCTCTTTCTAAGCTTGCCCTCTCTGTACCTGAGCAGCCAGACATGCTATCCACCTGGGCTTTGGAACCTGTCCTTCCCAGCACACAGAACACTTCTCCCTCATCTCCTGAGGATCTCCATATACACACATCTTCCAGGGAGGCCCTCCCTGGCCACTCTGTATTAATAACTCCTCCTACACCTACCTCTGAGCCCAGGGTCTCCATTCCTTTTCTTTTCTACTGTTTTCCTTTTCTTTTCTCATTCCTTTTCTCTTACTACTGTTTAATACACCATATAACTTATTTGTTTAATTGTTTAAATTCTGTCTCTCCCACCAGAATATATGTTCTTCTTGCATAGAGTAAGTGTCCAGTAAATATTTTTGAATAAATAAAAGATACATGCGTTTAACTTAAAATTCTGCCATAAAAGAATTTCATGTGACCATCCAGGGCTCTAATTCAGTAGGAGTTGAAGATTTTCTCTTTATTTGTAGAATGACAAAGGACAGATCCCTGCTGATGTTGTTCCAGATCCAGTGGACATGCCGTTGGAAATGGCCGATGCTGCAGCCACTGCTAAGGAGATCAAGCAGATGCTTCTAGATGCAGTGCCCCTGTCGTGTAGCGTCACAAAGGCCATGCTTCAAAACTGTGATCACATTACTGCCAAGTCAATGCTTACCTCTCTCGGCTTGAAGTTAGGGGATCGTGTGGTCATTGCAGGACAGAAGGTACAGTAAGCAACTGTGGGCCCTGAAGCTATTTCCATGGCCTGTGTTCAAAGGTGTGTGCAGCATGGTCAGAGTTTTGAATTTTTGGGAAAAGGTTCAGTGTAGAGGTAGGAGGTCCCTTATTGACTGAGAATATGCAATTTAGATGTAAGTTTACTATGAAGTCTGATTTATGGATGTAAACTTATTAGAACTTGATAGGGAAAGTGTCTGTGTTTGCATGGGAAAGAGTGGAGCAGAGTGGAGCCGCTAAATAAATTTAGAGGCATGAGCTGAGCAGTGATCTAGCCCCCTTGTCTGTGCAGTCCCCACCCCACCTCCAGGGGCTCCTCCCACTACAACGGCACAGAGGCCAAGTGAGGAAGACCTTACTGTTCTTCAGTGTTTGGCTCCAAGATCCCATAAACAGAGACATGTAACCTGACAGGAAAGAGATCCCCTGACCCCACCCCACCAACAGTGCAGCAGACTGCAGATCCCTTTTCCTCCAGAGTGGCAGCTTCTGTGTGGCATTTGTGGTGGCCAGTTTTTTAGTTTTCTGATACCTTCTTTTCTTTTTGCCATGCTGGGGGTGGAACCCAGGGCCTTGTCCATGCTAGGCAAGTGCTCCATCACTGAGCTAAGACTCCAGCTCCATCGGAGGTTCTGTTTTTGTTTTTAATTTTGACATCACTAGAGAACTTAGTGTGGAGCTTGGAACAGGGAGTTCCTGCTTGGATGCTGAAATTCCCAACATCTTTACCTTTCAATATTTGAATGGGTTTTGTTGGGGGTGATGGAGATTTTTCAGAAAATTGCAATTTACAGACTTGATATATAAAGAAAATTGATTCAGAAAGGAATCAAAGCTACAAATAATTAGGTCAAGAATGACTTTTACCAAAATAATGCCTTCACAGGACATTTATTAGGTTTTCACTGTCTGTGGAGTTAAAACATCAGGAGATTATGAATGCATGGCTTTTTAAATTTAGATTGAGTGTTAATCTTTAGTAGTATTCATTCCTATAACTGTGTCTGAGAATGTGGACCCTTAACAGAGTTATTCTTTTATTTTATCTTATTTTTCATTTTGGTTAATTCTAGCTGCACTGAAGAGCAGTCTCCAGTTGTAACGTGGACTTGTCTCTCTTTCCTTTCAGTTCCATTGTTAAAGAGCTTCATGCTCTGAAGCTCGCTAACTGGGTGCCTGCACACGTAGGATTCTTATGTCTTCTCGATGAGTTAACTCTTTTATTATTATTTCATGTCCCATTTAGTGTTCCTTATTCTGAAGACTACTTTGAGACAGTGAAATTTTTAAGACTTCTATGGTAAATTTGCCAGGAGGAGGACACTTGGAATTATTAATAATTCTAAAAATTGTTTTGATATATATTTTCTTTAGGTTGGGACATTAAGATTTTGTGGAACAACTGAATTTGCAAGTGGGCAGTGGGCTGGCATTGAATTAGATGAACCAGAAGGAAAAAACAATGGAAGTGTTGGAAAAGTCCAGTACTTTAAATGTTCCCCCAAATATGGTAAGGTTGATGCTATTTAACTTACTAAGGATTAACTAAAAATAATCAGATTTTACTCTTTTATAGATTTTTTTTTTTTTTTTTTTTTGATGATGCTGGGGATTGAACCAGGGCTGACGCATGCAAAGCTCACACTCTACTACTGAGCTGTACCTCCAGTCTCTCTTACAGTTTTTAAATGAAACTTTTCTCCTGACTACTTATATGATTGATGAGGGGAATGGGGATTTAGCTAGAAGTTTGCTGGGGCCGCTGTGAGCCAATCATCAGCTGGCAGCTGGAAGTTTGCTGGGGCCCCTTGGCTGTGGCTCTCAACATCGTGTCCCCAGCAAACTTCTAGCTGCCAACTGATTGGCTCCTCTGCAGTGATGCTCATTGGGCTGTTTCCCCGCCCTTTCAGACCACGGAGCTGCTCATTGGGGGACTTTTTTTGGCTCTGCCCACTCGACCCAGCCAATCAGCCTCAAGAGCAGGAGGAGTGGGGGAGGTTGAGAGGCTTGGGGGAAGCCTGTGGTGGCAGTTGGGCTCTGAGGGTTTTCCTGAGGAGCTGTGTGGTGTGGTGTGTGTGTTCTAAAAATAAAGTTCGTTTCTTTTGACAAGTGGCTCCTGAATTGTGCCCAGCCAGACTGCGCACTGGGTGTTAGGTGGCTGCCTGGATGGGTGTGGCATTCACCATGAGCCAAGCCGGGAGGAGAGGAGTGGGGGAGGTCAGGGAGCCAGCCAGCTGCTGGAGGTTTTTACTGGATGAGGATGAATATTAGTGACTCCAACTTCTGTTGTGGCTTCCTGAAGGAGAGGTAGGAGTGGTGCAGTCAGGTTGCAGGCCTTGCCTCAGATCAGCATCTCTATAGAAGCACTCAACAGATGTTAACCCTTGGCTCTTATAAATTTACCAAAATTACTAATTTCTTTTTTGTTACATTTAGGACGGAGCCTTGGGGATTTGTCTACTAAGAATTTTTTTGCGTTTACAAAATATATATAAGAAAATAACTCAATATGTGCTCACTATGTAAAATTTAAAAAACAAAAAAGGAGAAAGAAGAAAATAAAAATCACCTGTACTTTTTTTTTTCTCTTTAGTATTTCTCCCACAAAATTTGGATCATGAATATAGTAGTTACATGTTCTGCATCTTTACTTGACATCCTATTATAATTTCCCTGAATCTTTAAGTATTATTTGAAAATGGGATTTTTTAATGGCTCTATTTCCTTTAATTTTTCCAATTGGGTGAAAATTTCTGTTTGGATTCACATTTCTCTGGTTGTGGCAAAATAGAACATTTAAAATGTTTTGTTTTACTATATGTATTTTTTGTGTTATTAGCAGTTGTCTATTCATATTATTTGCCTATTTAAATTGATATATTAGTGTTTTCTTAAAAAAAGAAACTGATATGAGTTTTAGAAAATACATTATTTAGAATATTGGCCCTTATATTTATTATAGATATTTTGCTCAATTTGTCATTTGCCTTTGAACTTTGTTTGCAGTGTTTTGGGGCATCTAGTTATACACAGTGAAAAGGCTTTTCCTTTATAAATTGTTGTATTGCTTTCATTCCTTGATGGATAGTTCTTTCTAATCCAAAGGTTAGTAACAATGTATTTTATTACTTTGAATATTTTAATTTTTTTACATGTGATTATGTAATTCACTTAAAGCTTACTGGTTAGTGGTGTAAGATTAAGGTTTTAATTTTAGTTTTCCTCTGGTAACTGTCAAGCAGACTAAGGGCAGGACCAAAAACCGTTAGCTACATACACACAGAGCAGATGTAAATCAGACTTAGGGGAAATAGTTTGTCTAGAAATTGCATGTGGACTTCCAAACCCATCATTCCAAGGTATTGATTCAGCTCAGCACCCCAAGAGCAGTCAGTCCTGCTTTAGGTACCAAGGCCTGCTGGGGTGGGGATCCTGTGTTGGATGTATGAAGGTGGGAGTAACCTTTCCTGCTGACTCAGCCAGGCTCCCTAAGGTACTTAAGGTGGAGGAGAGTTGGTGAATCCCCTGCAAACCAGAAGCCCAAACATTTGTTTCTTCTGAGCAATGTTTCTCTTTCTCTGTTTTGAAATCTGTCCTTTTCCCTTCTTTTATTACAAATTAAGTTCTTATAAATGCTGTGGTCTGTTTCAGGATTGCTTTTTTCTAATGATCTTTTGATTCTAGCACATATTAGTTTTTTTTTAATTGTAGAAGTTTTATAATAAATTTTAATACTCGGTGGTAATACTGGCTTAATGTCTTTTAATAATTACCAAAGTGAATACATGAACCTAGTTTGATAAGTTGATTTATATTCTAAAGCTTATTAAATGAATCCAAACCCTCCTTTGACTTATCTTTCCCTGCCTTCTGAGTCTGGCTCTTTAGCGGCCAAAGCTTTTTCAACTCCTTTAGCTGTATCTTCTGATATTAGTATCCATGTTTATAAATAGTATATTTATATGACTTTTCCTTGATTTTTCCAGCTTTAGACATCTGTTGGCTTAGTATTTAGAGATTCATTGCTCTTCTCTTCTAAGTCAGTTTCTTTCTTGTTGTTTTAGAGGAGCCTACTGTTCAGTAGCTTTCTGACAAAGGATGCATGAGAAATAAAATGTTTTGAGACTTTCCATTCTAAAAATGTGTTTATTTTGCTGGGCAAGGAGTGCATGCTTGTAATTGTAGCAGCTTGGGAGGCTAAGGCAGGAGGATAGCAAGCTTGAGATCAGTTTCAGCAATTTACCAAGTCCCTGTCTCAAAATAAAAAATAAAACCGGGACTGGGTTGTGGCTCAGTGGTAGAGCATTTGCCTAGGATGTATAAGGTACTGAGTACTGCAGTCAATCAATCAATCAATCAAAAATATTTCTACCATCCTGTATTGCATGATGATGATGGTTTGGGATAAGAAATGTTGAGCACATGTTCCCTCAGTATTTTGAAGGTGATCTTCTATTATCTAATGTAGAGTTTGGTGAACTTTCTGTAAAGGGACAGGTAGTAAGTGGTTTAGGTCTTGTGGGCTACAGCTTTGCCTCTGCTGTTGTAGGGAGGAGGCAGCCACAGACAGCATGGAAACTGTGCCAGAAAAGCTTTACGGAACAGGCGGTGGGCACGGTGTCTCTTGGGTCCATAGTTTGCTAACTACTTTCTCGAGCTTCCAGTATTGTCAGAAGTTTCAAAGTCTTTCTGCCTTTTGTTTTTGACCTTTTTCCTTCTCATGGAAGCTTTGAACATTTTTTTCCCCTTCTTTTTTAGTGTTTTCTTTTAGAGTTCATACTATTTTTATTCCTACTTGATATTTTAGTGGGGGTTGGGAGGAACTGGAATTAAAGACATATTTATCTGGAAATTTGTTATTCTTTATTTATTAACTTTTGTGGTACTGGTGATTGAACCCAGGAGCTCTATCACTAAGCTACATCCCCAGCCCCTTTTATTTTCTTTAGAGCCAGGGTCTCCCTAAGTTGCCCACACTGGCCTCACAATCCTTCTGTTGAGTCCCCCTAGCAGCTGGGAGCACAAGCGAGGGTCCCCACACCAAGCTTTATTCCTTTTTTTTGGAAAATAATTCTTCTTTATGTGTTTATTTTTAGTTAAACCTTAAAGTTGTCTGTCAAGATCCAGGAAAAGTCTCATAAGAACTTTGGTTGCCTTCAGTGACCAGATAACTAGACTTGTATACTGTGCTCACTGTGGACTTGGTATCCAGGCTCTGCTTTAACTTTATTTTTGTTTTATTCTTGCTTAGCAAAAAAAAAAAAATCAAGAAGAGGGATGGCTCTATAAATGAGGTTTTATATGCTATACATATCTTTTTAATTCATTGAATAAAATATTTAATTTTTAAAAAACAAATACACTTTATCCTATGGAAAATTTCTGGTCAGACCTTGAAATAAAAACCATATATTCTCCCTGAGATTCAGAAAAAAAAATGACTAATTGAACTCCATTATTACTATATTACTGACACTAATCAAGTAAATTAGAAAAATAATTCATACTGTTTTTATGTGTGTTAATTTTCAGTTTTCCCATTTATTTACCTATATCTACACATGGAATATTTTTTTAATAAAGTTAATATTGTATTTTAATAATGTATAAAACATATAACTTGATTTTTATCTTCTTGATTTACTTCTCACGTTTTCAATCTTATTGTATAATCGTCTTGTTTGTCAGTGGTGATACAGCACAGCAGTCTCCCTTATTCTTGGTTTTGCTTTGTGTGGCTTCAGTTAACTATGGTCAGATACAGACCAAGAAATACAGTACAATACAGGATGGGGTTTTGATAGTGAGTACATTTACATAACCTTTGTTACAGTATACTATTACACTTTTCCTATTTTATTATTACTGTTGTTGATTTCTTACTGTGCCTGATTTATAAATTAAGCTTTATGGAGCTCAGTATATATAAGAAAATAACTCAATATGTGCAGAGTTTGGTACTGCTTGTGATTTTAGCCACCTGCAGGACATCTTAGAATGTGTCCACTGTGGATAAGGGGGGGCACTACTATAGTTCACAGATACGATTTATCCTGTTGCCAGACAACTTTGTTTTCTCCTCCTTATGAGTATTGCAAGAAGGACATATTTAGGTGTACAGTCTTTTCCTCCTACTTGGATTATTTCCTCATGATTAATTTCTGAAAGTGTGATTGAGATATAGTAGTAAATTAAAAATTAGGACATTCTAGTAACTAGAAATGGTTTTGACTTTGAAATCTGTCTTCTCCTTATACTACAGAAATGTAAACTTTTAATCTTTGTATGCACTTCTAAGCATCATTATTTCTTTACAATTAATTCCATAAGGTTGATTATGTCAGGATTTTTGTGTTCCAGAAAGATTATACAAAGTTACATTCCCAGAGCAACAATTTGTGTCTTCAAACCCTCAGCAATATCAGATGTCATCGTAGGACTTTAATGTGTGTGTGTGTGTGTGTGTGTGTCTGTCTGTCTGTGTTAGGCTGTAAGAATTGAGAAGAGTAGAGAGACAAGGAAAAGCTCATGGGTAGGAGACAGGAGAGAGAAAATGGCAAATAAGTGAAAGAAGGAGAGTCAGGAAAGCCAGGGCGAGGTGTGGGATCCAAGGCAGGAAAGCATTTCAAGATGAGCAGAAAAGTGATCCAGGGGACACTTTTTATCTGTGAATAGTGCACTCGGTTTTTGTACTGTCCTGAGCATTTCTACCTGGCTGTAAAACAAATTGTTTTTAATATGTTACGTTTTGGTCATAATATGTATTTGTTAGGTTGTAAACAATAAATGAAAGAGTGTGACCTCCATATATGATGACTTCACTTTCTCTTTTTAAACGCCCTGGAGGTAGACTTGGTATTCTCGCTCTCTGCCATCTCTGCATACTTGGGCTGGATATTTTGTTGTCCTGTTGACTCCTTTCTGAAGGAGTGTTGTGCTCCCAGCTGCGACAGGCAGCCCCCACCCCCGCCCCCACCCTGCTCTCCTCAGCACACTTTGGGTTGCTTAAACAGTTGTCAGGAACTGAGGGCCAGGCCTTTTGGGAAAACTATATTTTATAGGCAAAAGAATGCATCTCTTCCATATGTAAAGCACTGTAATTAGGCACAATGGGGAATGCAGAGATGAGTAATGTTTGAATTTTGTCTTTAAAAGGTATAAAGTCTGGGAAGAGAGGTAAGACATGGCATAAAAGGCTAAAATGTGAGAAAAACATAAATCCTGATAAAGTGACATGGAAGAATAGGTTTTTATATTATATACTGCATATTTATTTGCCGGTAGCTTAGAAATAATAGAGCACTATTACTTTAAATCATTTCCCTTTCCCCCAGTTTCTTACCACCTGGTTATTTATCTCTTATGTGGCTCTTAAACCATCATTGGTGTGAGTCTTAACTAGATTGTAAGTTCTTTGAGGCCAAGTACCATTTTACTTGCTTTTCCGTCCCTCACTACAGAACCTATACTAGGCTCTAAGAAGGAACTTGCAGATTTATGTCACCAAGCATTTATACTTGCCCCTTTATTTAAAATGCTTTAAATTGTTTAACACTGACCTAAATTCTTCACTGTTTTTTTAGGTATATTTGCACCTCTTTCAAAGATAAGTAAAGCAAAAGATCGAAGGAAGAACATAACACACGCTCCTTCCATGAAAGCCGTGCCTCTCATCAGGTCCCAGAAAATTGATCTAGGTCACGTCACCTCAAAAGTGAATACTGGTAGGTCAAATCAGAAAGGTGGCAATACTCCTCAGTGCTTTTGCTTTATTCCTGGGATTTCTAATGTCTAGGCTGCTTTGCTCTCTTTCCTTAGCCAGCCGTGAAACCCGAATTGAGTACAACCGCAGGTTTGTGTTTCCCAGCCGCAGTCAGGTTTAAAGGCTTCAGCTTCTAACAAGGATGGTTCAGATTTGTCCCTCCCTTTCCTTTCCCGTTGTCTCCGTACCTCTAACTTTCCATAATCTAACTCAGAGCTGGCTTTGGTACCTCCAACAAACCTGTGTAAAAAGGCTCACTTCACGTTCCTCACCTGTTCAAGGACATGCAGAGACTCCTGTCACCATGCCCGGACTCCTGACACCAGCAGAGTCCTCCTTCATCTGCTGCAGTCTCTTTTGTTGTTGAGCCGCGGTTTGCGGAATCTCTCCCTGTCTCTGCAATCATTGTGCTTGTTCCTTCCTTCAGCCCCATCTTAGGCACAGGTGTGACTTTTGCTTTGGGGTGTCCTTGCTGGGCTTGACCTCCTTACCCACACCCTCTTTCTCCAAGGAAACTTGCCCAGGGTCTCTGTTTTACCTAATCTCTTTATTCTCTGGCCTTGTACTTACTTTTTACCCATGCTTCCCAATTGTGAGTTATTACTTTGGATTTTGTCCACTGATTGCTTTATTTGTGCAAATCTATTATTCTCTCTGCAGAATTTTAATCTTTAAATGGGCTGTGAGAATATTCTGTCTTCTATTCAGTGTGGCACATAGCATAGAATTAGGGGCTCAATAAATAATTTGTTAACTCATTAACAGCTGAAATAGACTTTCAAACGTGATGAGAGAATTGTCTCCAAAAACTTCGTGTGGTGTTTCTATTCTGTTCCATTGGGCTATTTGAATATTGCTGTGTCAAAATTCACTTCATAATTGCTCTAATTTAAAATTAATAAATCTTGATATCCAGTAGAGGAAAGCCTCCCACCTTATTCTTGAAAATTGTCTTGCCTATTTTGGGGCTTTATACATCACACTTCCTTGTTAATTTTAGAATAAGTAGTTAAGTTTCTTTAAAAAATAATCTGCTGTGGTTTTAATTAGAATTAAATTTAAACCTTAAATCAATTTAAAAAGAACTGACGTCTTTACAATAGTCAGTCTTTTAATTATGCACTTGGAATAATTTTCTATTTAATTATGTCCTTTAAAAATATCTCACTACATTTTTTTTTTTTTTCAATTCTCTTCCACCCCAACCAGTGGATGAGCAGGTACCTAAAATCCCAAGGAAGGGCAACCCTTGTTTTTGAATGGAGAAACTGTGGTCCTAAGAACATGCATGGAGTCCCCAGAGTTCTTTCTGTTTTATTCATAGCTGGACTCTAGAGGCAGAATCCATCTCAGGAGAGTGTATGACAGAGTAGGGAAATGAAAACTGTGGGAGATGTTGTACTCAGGATGCGAGGAAGGAGTGTCCTGGAGCTGTCAGGGAGATCACGAGAAGATGGCCTCGAGAGAGTGACCTTCAAATATTAGACAGGAACTCCCAGGCCTGTTACCAGGTTGGGTGTGTATGAATCTGACTAAAGGTAGTGGTCTCTGGGTAGACTACTTCCCAGGCACAACTGACTACTGGTGGCACAGCACGTAAAATAGATTTGAATGTCACTGCAGAGATTTTGGAAACTCAGTGGCCATGGGAACTGCTGCGCACAGAAGGTGGGCAGAAACTTCTGGCCTGAACCTAACCAGGTTGTGACTTCTGCTGAAACAAAAGAAAACCAACCAACAAAACAACATTCTCCAAAGGGTTTAACATGACTCATTGTCCAATAACAAAGCATTCAAATGGGAACTCTAAGATGATACAGATGTTGCAATTAACACATAAAAACTTTAAGGAATAGAATAATTGTAAAGAATAATTGTAACTATGCTCCAAAAATTAAGGGTGAGCTCTCTTGAAACAAATGGAAAGACAGTTTTAGCAGAGAAACAGAGACGTGAAGAGTCATATATTGTGTGTACACACACACAAGTAAACCTTGGATGATTTGTGTAAGATCACTGGATTATATCAAGGTCAGTTTCCTGGTTTGGGATTATAGTTTTGTAAAACATTATCTTTGGAGAAACTGGACAAAGTGTACAGGGATCTTTTGTATTACTTTTTACAACATGAATTTACAGTGATCTCAATTAAAACTTTCAGGAAAAAGGACCAAATGGATAATTAAGACAGAAAAGCATAATAATTAAATTATTAAAAAATAAGAAATCTACCCTGCAGGTTGTCTTCCCATTACATTTATGGTGTCTAGTTCAGGCCCTCATCCCTGGCTGCTGTCATAGTTTCCCCAAGTTTCTGCAATCAGCTTCTCCACCTCTGGTTTTCTTTTAGACCTTGAGCTGGAGAAATGTTACATAACCAGGACTCTGCTGAGGCCAGTCCTCCTTTTTAAAGCCCAGTGGAGGCTCCTCCTCTACAGAAGAGCTTCCATTCCTTAGGCAGGCACTCTTACCTGGGAGGTCTTCTGACACCTGTCCATCTAGTCTTACTTCTCCATCCCAAAACTACTCTATTCCAGCCAAGTACTTACCGTGCTCTGTCTTCCTGCAAGAGCTACTTTCTCTCCATTCTGAGCTTCCATTCTTAATTCTTCCTGACCGTACCTCCAGTGTTCTGGGGAAAGATCTCACTTGTTCCTCAAGGCCTATCTCAGTGTGTTGTGGCCTTGTTGATGGCGCACTCATTTATGGTTACAGCAGCAGTTACTGACTCCTTCTCCTGTCCTCATGAAGAGTATTCTCACATTTTACTCATGCCATCCATATTGTACAGAGCAGGACCTACCCCCTCAGGGCATGGACCATGCCTTGTTAATCTTTGAGTACCTGGTGATATTCAAAGTCCCAAGGACAGTTCTTTGTTAAAAATGCTTCATAAGTAAATAGAATTCTACCAGACAGAACTTAAAATTATGTGTAGCCCGTTGATTTCCTATTTAAATTATTTAGTTCTGTACAGTTGAAACAAAAGTCTTAATAAGGCAGATTATTATTTAAGAGCTTCCCTGCTCCACGTAAAAGTTTTGTGGGAATAGGGTGTGATAAAGTGAGGTAGTCATTTTCAGAATACCAATGACAAAGTACAGGACTTCTTACCATCTGAACTCTCATAAGTGAAGAATTGCTATAATAATTGGCAAAAATTTTTACCCCAAATTCACTGCACAGAATACCTCCTGCAATGAATTGCATGCAAACATTGGTGAACTAGTTGTTTGCAGGTTCCAGTGAGCTGTGGCCCCTGTATGTCCTGTCTTCAGTTTGCTGTACCTGACAGCATGGTGCAGATGTGCTCACCAGAGGGTGTGTCAGCCATCAGTGAGGCACCTGGGTGGCACATGCTTTGTATTCCTTGGAAATCCTTAGCAGATCATGAAATTGGGGCATTCATATTGGCTGCAAATGCATTCTTTTTCCTCTAAAGGTAAAATATTGGTTTCTGTGTTTATTATCCAGCATGTTTTCAGAAGAAGATAAGATTTAGATGAAGAGGAATGCATGTACTTTTAAAACAAATACAGTTTTTTGTGTGTTTAATGTTAAAGAAAATTCTCTTTTGCTGAAAGTGCTTTATTTTCATGTCCTAGGATTGATGACATCAAAAAAAGAGAGTGCTTCTGAATCAGCACTTTTGTTGCCTCCTAGTGAAGAATTGAAAACTTTAACAGAGAAAGATGGTAATATAATTTATAACTTCTCAAAATTTAATTTGCTGGTGGAATTTTAATATCATAGAAAAACAGCTTACCATGGGGGTTAAGTTTTAAAGTTGGTAAGGGAAAAATGAGTATGGTAAAAATTACCCTTGAAAATCTCTTAAGCAGCTCATAATAAAGTGTGTACTTTAAAAGAGATAAATTTCTATACTGCATTTCTTATGTAGATAGACTTAGAGAACTACTGGACTGGATTAAAAGAGGGAATAAAAGGAGATTGCATAGTTACAAACGGCCTGACAGCAATGTTTAAGTTGTCTTACCTGTCAAATCCTTAGGTGAGCAGTATTGAACTTTGGCCATCTTAAAACATATTAATGGCATTTTTTGTGTTTTTTTTAATGTAAATAAAATAGAACTCTACTATCAGTATTTACCTAAGGTGAGAGGTGAGTATGGTGGTCAGATTAGATAGGTAGTTAACATTAATGGATACAGTAGCACCTCCTATTTAAGATTGTGCTGAATCCTTAAAAAACAATTACTTGTGTTATAAAATCTTTTTTTTTTTTTTTGGAGTGGGGGGTACTGGGGATTTAATGCAGGGGTTCTTTACCACTGAGCTACAGCCTCTGTCCTTTATTTTTTATTTTGAGACAGAGTCTTGCTAAGTTGCTTAGGGACTTGCTAAGTTGCTGAGACTAGCCTTGAACTTGTGATCCTCCTGCCTTAGCCTCCTGAGTCACTGGGATTATAGGCATGTGCCCAAAGTCTTTTTTAACTACAATATATTTGGATGACATGAGGTATTTAATTTAACACTAGATAATCCACAGTTGAGGAAGCTAAATGGAGCATTTCAGAAGGATTTGCCTAGAAAAGCATCTCCTTGGCTCACTTCTTATTTTCTGCACTTGAACGTATTCTTTTGTGTTCCTGTTTTAGTTACCCTGCACGGATCCATCAGCAGCTCCTCCTCTACATCTTCTTTGGAACACAAACAGAGCTACCCCAAGAAAGCGAATTCAAGCAGCAATAACAAGAAGACCATGAGCAAAAGCCCTTCTCTGCCATCTCGAGCCAGTGCTGGTATCTATGGCTTTTTCAACCAGGCTTTCTTGGTGTTTTTTATCTTGGTTTGTTTGTAAGTAGATTTGCTCTTTTTAAATGTGTAGAAGGAACTCTTTACTGCAGTCAGATTGAACTACTTGCACTCTTCTTTGTCTCCCCCTGGGCCTTAAGCCAGGTCTCTTCGTTTTGCTGTTGGATATAAGATATTGCATTAATTTTCACTTAAATTTGCTCCTGGGGGTTTCATCCCAACTGAATTTTGTTTCTTGTGTCTTGCCTGTTAGTCTTCTTTAAAAGAGATAAATTCCTATACTGCATTTCTTATGTAGATAGACTTAGAGAACTACTGGACTGGATTAAAAGAGGGAATAAAAGGAGACTGCATAGTTACAAACGGCCTGACAACAATGTTTAAGTTGCCTTACCTGTCAAATCCTTAGGTGAGCAGTATTGAATTTTGGCCATCTTAATACATATTAATGGCATTTTTTCTCACATGCTTCTGTGTCATCTTCATATTTAAAAAGCATGTTTTCTCTGCTTTTACTCAAGTTATTGTTTAAAACTATGTAGGACAGAGTCAGACAGCCCCTTCCAAGATGCCAATGGCAGCCTGTCCTTATGTGACTTTTTAACTAACTGGCTAAGGGTCCAGTCCCCTTTTCTCCAGCTGTATGTGAGGATACACAGAACAATTATTTAGACTTGTTGAAATTGTGTTTATTGCAGTTTACTTGTTTACTTAAACAGAAAACTTGTCCAGAAATTTGTCCATTTAGGCCCAAATCGATTTGTGTGTGTGTGTGTGTGTGTGTGTGTGTGTGTGTGTTCTTGAGGATCAAACCCAGGGGTACTTTACCACTGAGCCACACCCCCAGCCCTTTTTATTTTTTATTTTGAGACAGGGTCTCACTAAATTGCCCTTGCAATCCCTACTGTCTCAGCCTCTAGAATTGCTGGGATTGCAGGCATGCGCCACCATGTCCAGCTCCAAATTATTCTTAATGACCCTCATGATAACCTCATGATAATTACCATAGTTCTTTTTTAATACTTATGCTCCTTTTAGTATTTTACTATAGAAAATGTTCATTACGTAATTTTTTTCTCATTTTAAAATATTAATGGGAAAAAACGAAAAAGGGAAAACCAAAACACCCAGCAGTAACATTGACATAATACTTCTGAAAGTTGGGACCCTAAAGTTGGGGACCCCAACTTGGAGATTTTGCCTATGAATGTTCACCTGACCAATTTCTCCTTAACACAGTGAGGCACAGAGGAGAGAAGTTGCAACGATGCAATCCTACTTGTGTGTATTTTATTTATAGATTAAGGTCCCCCTCATTTAGTATTTAGATTTTTTTATGTATTTTTTTTTATTTTTACATGTGTATGTGAGAATAGAATCACCTTTTTTTTTTTTTTTTTAGCTTTTATAAGTAATAGTTCTAGTGGGCCTACACGCTTACCATTTTTCCTTTTATCAATTTGAGTGTTATGTAGATAAATAATAGTGAAGATGAAGACAGTGGTCAGAGTGGGAAAGAAAACCTTTCAAAGGGAGGGGGGACAGAGAATGGAGGTGTGTTTGGAACCCTAGTGACATTTCCTTAATAAATCTGTCCAGAGTGTGGGTAGATATTCCACTTTTCCTATATTTGTTTGCATTTGAAAGAAACATAAACTTCAGAGAATGGACAATAATGGAAGGACAGGCTAAAGAATTAGAGGAGCAGAAAGGAAGGATTAGGGCAATGGGAGGGGCGGAAAGAAGCTGTGTTCTGGGTTGGCCTCACTGTATCCCATTTTTGATCTTGCCATCTTTGGCCATTGTGGGCAGGCGGATGGGGACAGACAAGGATTTCTATTAATCTGGGTGTACCACTTTTGAGCTGCAAACACCGTCTCAGATAATTCCTTGGTTTGTGTCTTATTTTTCATTTTAGCTTTTATGAAAGGTACTATGTAAACTATAAAGTGCTATGAACTCTTGGTTATTAGGGGGGCCCAGGACCTTCCTTCCCCATGGGCTTAGGTTCCTTCCTTTGTCATTGTGTTTTCAGCTTCTCTGTTCACAGAGTGACTTATGTTCCTTCCCAGGCCCTCACCTTGGGTTCTCCAGACTTCCCAGGGGGTTGGGTCTTCAGTCTGCTCACATGCCCACAAGACCGGGCCCAGGGGCCCACCTGTTCTCTGCCAGCCTTGGTAATTGGATAGCTTTGGAGATGGTATTTCTCTGGGACTTCTGATATCCAATAGGGTGTATTGTAGGGTTTAGGTTTGAATCAAGTAGAGAATGGTTTTGTTCTTTAATTAGGAAATAAATTGGGAGTAACTGGATTGAGTTATAGACTGATTATCCCTTATCCAAAATACTTAGGACCCAGAAGTGTGTTGGATTTATTTTTTTTCAGGTTTTGGAATATTTACCTGGATAACTGGTTGAGAATCTCTAAGCCCCAAAATCTGAAATCTGAGAATTTTTGAGTGTTAAAACTCCCTTGAGCTTTGGCAGTTTAACCTGAGTGGGAATTTGTGCATTGGAGCTCAAAATGGTTTAGATTTTGGAGCATTTTAGATTCTGTATTTTTATATTGTATTAACTACTGTAGCAATTTTACCTTCAAATCACATTTCTGTGTGTATCATTTACACTGAATCCAGGTAAAACGACAATAATTCTAGCATTTTGCTAGAGTAGGGACTGGCAAATTACAGCCCCATGGCCAAATCTGACCTCCACCTGATTTTGTAAGTGTGGTGGTTTTATGGAAACACAGCTGTGCCTGTTCCTTTATGCATTATGTACATCTGCTTTCATGCTTCCACAGCAGAGCTGAGTCACTGTGACACAGACAGTATGGCTTGCAAAGCTTAAACTATTTACTGCTTCACATAAAAAGCTGGCTGGTACTGTCCCTAGTAGAGAGTACTACAGGTAGTCCTGGCAGAATGATTCTACCAGGAATCAAGTGGTGAATTTCCTATAGCAATAATTTTCTCAGGAAACCCTTTCACTTTTGCTCTGTGTGTCTTGGCCTTCCCTGTGAGAAATGCATACATATATAATGAAAGGTATCTGATGTCGAAATTTCCAGCTAACTCATTAGAATGCATAGTGATTTCTTTTTGGACTAATATGCCTTTTGAGTTTTCTCCTTGTTTTTTTTTTTCTCTCTTTTCCTCTTATCTCCCACCCACCACCCCAACAGGTTTGAATTCCTCAGCAACATCTATAGCAAATAATAGCCGTCGTGAAGGGGAGCTCCGCCTTGGAGATAGGGTGTTGGTGGTTGGCCAGAGAGTTGGTACCATTAAGTTCTTTGGGACAACAAACTTTGCTCCAGGTAACTCATCTCAATATTCTTTGCTCAATTTTAATTCTTTAGAGTATAAAAGGTTTAAAATTTTATAGGTAAATAAAATTGAATCAGAGAGAGTTCTCGATTAACAGCTTTTGTAGATGATAGCAATAGTATGTATGTACACGCACACACACACGCACACACACTCACATACACACACGTAAAACAGTGATCCACACTCAGATTGCCTTGCATCCATAAATTTCTCTTATTGTTTGTGTTTCCATTTGTCTAATGTTAAAATTAGTTGTCATTTCCCAAGTTTATTCTTACTGATTGCTGAGTGTGCTAAATGACAGGGGAAACCTTTTCAGGATTAGGGTTTTTTCCAAGGATAATCCATAAAGTGAGTATGTAATGAATTAAGTGTACAGTTTTTTTAAACAGGGTGACTTGGAGAGAAAAGCAGAGGAAAATGAAAGAGCTTCTGTGTACCCTTCTGTGTACCTTAAAAATGCATATTTGTGTTTTTGTATATTCTTCCCAACCTACCTATGTTTTATATTGATTTTTCAAAGTAAGGGTTAGTTTCTTGCACATTTTCAAATATTATAATTTTACACTGAAGTTTCAAATGAAATTGTACGTTTTAAATAGCAATATGCTATTTTAACACATGGTGGCATTGCTGCATTTTAGGAAAAGGTTACCTAGAACATTGATTTAAAAAAAAGTTTGTGGTGTAGCATTCTTTCAAGAACCACAAAGGATCTGAGATTTTGCCCTGTTTGCAAACTATCAAGTTAGCCTGCCACAGTATTAGATGTTAATGGAAGATGGGAGAATTCAAGGTCAAGAGACAAAGGATTTTGGTACTCCCAAGAATAGAAATAGCCATAGAATTAGCATTTTCTTGCATTGTTCCCCAAGCTTGAGCTTCAGTTTCAACAGGGTGGGACTGAGGGAGAGGTGACACTTGGTCACCAGTGGTTTATGAGCTTAAGAAGTCTGAACCTTTACGTCGACCATGTTTTTCCACAATGTGCACTTTTTGCTCTGGAGGGGACTTCCATCTCTATCCTCCAAGATGTCCACTACACATACACACAGCAATGGAAAGATAGTCTGGAACACAGTCAGTGCCACTGTCTGTTGGACACTCAGAAACACGAGACAGCCGTGGAGAATTATCCCCCAAAATCTTCTTGTTTCAGCAATACCACTTTTAACTGCAAGTCACTAGGTTGACTTGAGACAGCTTGTATGTTTTATATTTCATGGCTCTTTGGGGGACTCCAGGTAGCAGCAATTAAGATTAGTTAGGATGTACTTAACAGTTCTCAAGTAAAAACTTAGAGAACTCACAGGTAGGTTAATTTTCACAATCTCTCTCTCTGCACTTCCCTCTTTCTGACCTTATTAAACAAGGCTAGGATGGTTTGATTCTTTGGATACAATTCATTATTTTAGGTTTACTTTTAACTTTTAAATTTCTAATGTAAAGCATTTTGAAACTTGGGTAGTAACAAGCAAATGCAATAAAATTTGGAAGGTTTTATGTTAAAGTCATTCTGTCTTTTGAGGAAGTGGTAGCATACACTTCTTGTGTCATCAAAATTTAGATCAGTCATTTCTATAATACAATGATAATGTTAGACTTTTTATAGACTATAAGATCTAGACCTGGAAGAGGGTATGTTTGACCTCTTCAGCATTTTTTCCATTGCCACATTGGAAAGAAAATTAACATTTAAACAGGAAGATATCCATGCCCTACCACTGCCAGACAGTGTGGAATCACCGTTGCCAACACTTTTCATATGTATGTTACACATTTTTTGAAAGCTGTATGGTAAACATGTAGCAGTAATATGGTAAATTAAAATGGTAAAATGCAAAAATTATATAAGAAAGTATCAAAGGCAGAAGGAAGTAGAACTTGAAAAGTCCTAATTGTGGTACTCAGAGAAGTAACAGTGCTAACGAGAGTGTCTTAGCTGACCTTCTTAAACAAGGCTAGGATGGTTTGATTCTTTGGATACAATTCATTATTTTAGGTTTACTTTTAACTTTTAAATTTCTAATGGTGACTCTGGTTCCCTCCTTCCCTCCCTCCCTCTCTTTTTTTGCATGTGATTTTGTTTGCATGGCTGCGTCTGCACAGTGGGTGTGTAGACTCTGCTCTATTTCACGACACTGTAGGGCTCTGCAGACAGACACTGGTTGTGCTTTAGCCTTTCCAACCCCAGTACCTGGACATGGGCCCCAGTTTCATCTTTTTGAGCATAAGAGGAAGAGAATAAAGAAGTTTTTGGATGGCTTATTAGCAGCTCTATAATTGACTCAAAGAGCTGTATTCTGAGAGAAACAATATTTTTTGTATTTTGTAATCTACAGTATCTTTCTTGATGTGTATGTCCTCATTTTTATTTATTATGGATTGTAGGAGACCAAATGCAATTACCATTGTACTCTCCTTTTAAATCACGAATGAGTGAACTCCTAGGCATTTTTAAGCTGGTCTAAGGTATCCTCAACTTGAAAATCCTTGCTCTCAGAGGGTCTCCATTTACCTTAGGCTTGTGGAAACCCTAAAAGCAACCTTGCTACTTCAGTTTTAGGCTTTCTAAATTCCTATCACTTTCCTCAGAGTGGGCCTTTAAATACTAAAAATCGTTTAGAAAATTCTTCCTAAAAGGAAAAAAAAAGAAGATTTTTCTTTCCATCTAGAGATAGAAAGACAGAGAGAGAGAGAGAGAGAAAGAGAGAGAGAGGGAGGGAAGAGAAGAAGGGAGGGAGAGGGAGAGAGGGAGGGAGGGAGGGAGAGAAGGAGGGAGGGAAGGAGGGAACCAGAGTTACCATGATGTCTGGTGGTATTTTCCATATTATCTTTGTCCTTCTTTAATTATTTAAGAACCATTGGTGGTGTTCTAATATTGGGAGTGTGAAATGAAAAGATTGCACATTTACTCTATGATTTGCATCTTGATATTACATTATACTTCTCTTGTGAAACACAGCGAATTAGAGTCAAGGACAGTTTCTTCTTCTTTGTAGTTTTAAGATACATTTTGGCTTCAGTCTACTTGCATAATAGCTAATCCTCTCCAAATTTGTGTTTGTGCATTTTATTTTCCTCCCTTAATGTACTGCTCAGCAATTACACTGGTAAAATGTTTTCCCCACTTTTCAAATTTTCAAGTTTTATATTTTATAATTTTATCATTTGAAAGCTTAATGATGGTGATGATATTCCATCATTTTGGTCATTTGTGAAAATGTTAAACCATCCAGATTTTGGGTTAGTATAATAGCATAATGATTTTGAGTAAAGTGTAGACGTTTTTAAAATGCAATATTCATGTTCTAGGGTATTGGTACGGTATAGAGCTTGAAAAACCCCATGGCAAGAATGATGGTTCAGTTGGAGGTGTGCAGTATTTTAGTTGTTCTCCAAGATATGGAATATTTGCTCCCCCATCCAGGGTACAAAGGTGAGAAAAAGGGGATTTGTGTATGTTTACATAAATGTTTTGAAATTTGAAGTTGCACACAGAGACCCTAATTTTATCTGGAGACACACACCAAGTGTAACTTGTGCCTTCTTTTAAGGGTTAACCAGCCACCTTCTTCAGAGAGAAGGCTCATGGAAAGCTAAATTTGCCTTGCTAAGGATTTGCAATTTTAAAAACCTTCTTTCTTCCTCATTTGCAAACCCTATGAGTATGTGTAGGCTATTAGAAGTGGCGTTTGAAGCTAAGAACAGTGAGAGCAGCAAGCTTAATCTGTCATGCAAACAAAAGTAAAAATGCTCCCTGATTGCTTCAGTCACATCCTAACTACATTAAATTTCCTGCCAGCAGGCACCCATTCATTCTCCTGCAAACCTAATGGAACCAAAATGGCTTTTCCTCTGATTTCTTTAGTTTTCAAAAATAGATAGGCAGTAGATCTTTGGGGGAAGTGAAGTTTCAAGGACTTATATATAATAAACCTCCTCGGTGTTTCTTCGTAAGACAGTAACACTTCTGTGCACCTTACTCTGGTTTTAAAAAACAACTTGAGCAGAAACAAATCCCTGTGAAATTCCAGGTGGAAAGTGAAATGCCTTATGTGCTGGAAGAGCTGGCTTGGTGTGCTTTTCAGTGGCTGGGAAATGGGATGCGAATCTTTCAATCAGGGAGAACATACATGGTCTGATCATATTCCTAAGTCTAGAACCCTGATCACACTCTGGCTCCCTTATGAGCCTGTGACTGCTTCCAGGCAAATTCGTTTTAGTTTCTCATATCAACTTTTGTCCTCAGTTTTTTTTTTTTTTGTGTGTGTGTGTTGAATAACTGCATATACTTTTTGTATTAATTTCCTTCTTTTTACAATGCACTTGGTATTATCATTTTCTTCTTTTTGATAAACATTCAGCACACAGTGCTTTTGTAGTTCCTAAAGTATCCTCTGTTAAATGTTACTTCCTTTGATCCTAATAAGCGTTTGTTTGGTCAGGTAAGCCAGAAAATAACCATATCTGTTACAAACATTTATTGAGCATTTAATAAGCAGAGGGCTCTATAGGGTGTGGCCTGGCTGCTATGTCACTGTGACTCCTCTGTGTCCAAGCCGAGGCAGTGTAAGCCATTATGATTACTCCCGTTTTGGCAGGTGAAGAAACAAATTACAAGAGATAAAGTAACTTAGCTAAAGTCATGTGGCTAGTTAGGGGTGGAGCTGGACCTAGCCCAGGTTTGTTATTTTTTCTAAGCCTATACTTTTAGGCACTTTGCTGCTGCTGCTCCTCCTCCCCCACCTCCTCCTCCTTTTTTGTAATCATTTTTTAAATGAAGAAAAGGAAATGCTAGTAAAGAATCATGTGCACAACTTCTGGGCCCTGTTTTCAGCACTGTTCATGTATTTAGTCAACTACAGAGGAGGAAACATTTATTTGAGGGCTCAAGGTTCCAGAGGTCATAGTCCATAGAAGGCTGGATCCATTTCTTGGGGCTCAAGATAAGGCTGAACATTATGGCAGTGTGTGTGGCAGAGGGAAGCAGCTCACATCATGGTGATCAAGAAGCAGAGAGAGAGAGAGAGAGAGACTTCACTCTGAAGATACAAAATATATACATCAAAACTATCTCCTCCAGCCACACCCTACCATTTTCAGTTACCACTCACCTAATCCCTATCAGGGGATTACATCACTGATTGGGTTAAGATCTCACAACCCATTCATTTCTCCCCTGAACCATCTCGAATTGTCTCACACATGAGCTTTTGGGGGGACACCTCACATCCAAACCATAACAAATGATTTACTTTTCCACACTTGATGAGTCAGGCACCGTACTTCTCCCTGATTCACAGACGAGGAAGGCAAGACCCAGAGAGATTAAGTAAGCTATGCTCCCAGTGGGGATTTGAACCCTGACCATCTAGAATCAGGATGTGTGCTTCTTAACATAGCTCTGGTGGATAAAGGAGCTCTGTGACTTCCTTTAAGAAGTTGCAAGGGGTGACCTTGGGAGTGAGGTCCACCGAGCCACTTGGGTCAGGCTCCTGCGCTCTGCTACTTGGGAAAATTGTCATTGGCACGTTGCTACAGGCTTATACAAATTTTGTTTCCTGGTCATGAGGACTGGGATTCGTTTCATGTTCCATTACCCAAAGTGTGTAGTTTGGTGCTTTTTAGGCACAGTAAGTATTGATCAGCTCTGATTCCCAGTTCAATGCTTTTCTGCAGGAACAGCCCTTTTTTCCTCCTCTGCACTGTGAAGCCACATTCTTTCTCATGGTTTCATTTTTCCTCTGGCTTTGTTTTTGACTTTGTGTTTTGCTTGCCTTCTGTTTGGCCTTCTTTAAGGTGGTGCATTTGAAAGCAGCTCCCTCTTAACAGAAGCAGGGCTGTCTCTAAATGAACTGCTGTCTCAATCCAGCTGTCTTCCTGTCATCTTCTGATTGTCTCATTCATCATCATCAAATACTATTAAGTGTCTTTTAGCACTTTGTGCTGTGCTAGGCATTCTATAAGCAAATAAAACAGACATGGTCTCTGATTTTGAAGAGTTTCTAATCCAAATCAGTTTTGATCTCTTTAAAGACCCCATTGATCCTCAAGATGGAAGGATTTTTAAATTAGGGACTGCTTGAGGACAGTCCTAATAAGGTAGTGACTTATCACATCCTCATCTTGCATCTTTCTCCTTGGAATTATAGCTGCCTTTTATTTTTCCCCTTTCCATTTAAAAAATGTGCCTCCTATCCCAGAATTGTTGCACATATTATTTCCTCTGCTGGGTTGGCTTTTTAGATCCACCCACCATTACCCAACTTCCATTCAGCTTATATATATATATATATATATATATATATATATAAAATATATCTATATATATTTATATAGTCAATCTATATAAATCAATCAGTTTTTCTTTTGATAAATACTCTGAGAAAACTCACTAAATCTCACCCCCCTCCCCGACACGTGTGCACACTGACCAGATGATCTTCATTAGCATAGTATTCATTTTCTTAGTTCTTATCAGTAGGCACTTAACTTCTAATGAGCTGATCACCTTTAGGATTCGGTTACTGTCTACTGTCCATCACCCCTTCATCCAAGACTGTCTTGTTCACCATTCATCAAGTCACATTCTTTGTGTCCCTCAGTCCCTCATTGGCTGCAGTGTGTTGTATGCCATGTAAAAATGATGCAGGTGGTTTGTGTGTGGAGCTGCAGATGCTGCAGAAGTTGCAGGATTCCTTGATGGAAGTGAAGCGTGTTGCAAGAAGGGATTGATACAGGAGGCCTTGCAGATTTAGGTCAGTAAGCAGTTGAAAGAAGATGAGGCTGTTAGGGTTGGCTTTTCAAAAATAAGGAATAATTTGAATATCAAAAAATGAAGAGGAAACCCATGGGGAAGGTGACCTTTATGATTGTGCTTAAAGTCAAATATAAAGGGCCTTGAATTATGTTAGCCATACAGTTTTATCAGAAAAATTATACACACACACAAACTTGGCCAATATCTTTTTTCCAACTTAAGAATCAGTGATATTTTTATAATTTTAATCTACTGTTTGTTAAATTTAATAAAATAAAAATATTTTCATATTTTTTTTAAGTTCCTTTGAAAATAAAGTTCCAAAGAAACAAAATCAGGTTCCTATTTTAAGCTAATTTACTTTAAATTGACTTTTCATACTTTTGATTCTTAGATAGTGATTCTGATTGTTCCATTTGAGTATTGCCTGTCTCCCACGCTAGGCTGAAGCTCATTCCTGGCTTATATGGGTGCTCAATAAATGTTTGTTGAATGAAAGAAGTAACAAATAATAATTGGTGTGAAAACCTTGGTTGAAAACCTGAACACCAACTACTTTTAATGAGGTATGCTTTGTTTGTTCTGTTTATAGACTAACAGATTCCCTGGATACTCTTTCAGAAATTTCTTCAAATAAACAGAATCATTCTTATCCTGGTAAGATAACACAGTTTTATGTTGCTAATAAATATTTGTAGCCATGGGTAATGGTACAGAACTGTAATCCCAGATACTTGGGATGCTGGGCCAGGAGGATCACAAGTTCGAGGTCAACCTTGGTAATTTAGTAAGTCTCTGTCTCAAAAAAAAGGAAAAATAAGGTTTAGGGATGTAGCTCAGGGTAGAGCTGCTTGCATAGCATGTGTCTGTTGATTTGATCCCCAGTATTGGGGAAGAAAAAAAAAAAGAAGTTCTTTTGTTTTAGTTCATTGTATTGTCAAGTTTGTATGTAAACAAAGTAGTACATGAATGTATTTGTATAGTTCTTCTAATCATGGAGCAAATATCTGTTACCCACCCCTCAGCTGAGGATTACCTGTGTTGTAGAAACTCCTGAGTACCCACCTGCTTCTCATCTGCCTCCCTCATCATATATCCTATCCTAAGGTTGTGAGTCTTGAATACTATGTTAATTATTTTCTGTGTATATCATATGTGTGTGTGTGTGTGTGTGTGTGTGTGTGTAAATAATGTTAATTTTGATTAGTGCTTGCTATTTTGTTATGTAGCATCCCATTAAAATGCAGGATGGTTATTTCAGGTTATGTCCTATTTTTTTGTTAGTACAACATGTGTTGTGGTGCATGGGCGACTGTGTCTCTAGATTGCCAGGTGAGGATGGCCGTGTCCTCAACATTCCCTAGGGAGCGCCAGGTGCTTGCAGCATACACTCTGTCCCTCTGTACCTCCCGACACTGATCTTGTTTGGCCTAGAAATCTTTGCCAGTCTGATGGTTTTCAGTGGTATCTCACTGTGGCTTTAATTTGTACTTTCCAGATTATAGAAGAGGTGGAGCCAGGGTTTCAGTTTATGGGCCATATCCATTTGCTCTTTTACCAAGTACCTGTTTAAGTCTCTTGCCCATTTTTTTTTTTTTGGCATGTATTGTTTTTTATCTTATTAATTTGTAGATCTCTCTTTGTGTATTTTAGGTGCTAATATTTTGTTCAGTTTTTTGCCTAGTTGCTTATTTGTCTTTTCACTATTTTTTTAAATCTTTGCATAAATAAAAGTTCTCGATTTTTATGTAGTCAAAGAGCAAACCCTTTTATGGCCTGCATTTTTTTTGTCTTAATAAGTTATTTCCTAAGACAGATATCATAAAGGTATTTTTCTACATTGTGCTTTAAAAGTTTTTATATATTCATTTTTCACATTTGTTGTCAGTTCAATTGGAATTGACTTTGTGGGTGGTATGGATCAAATGTAATTTTCTTTTCCATATGGATAACCATCTGTGAGAGAGTTATTTGTATTAACACCAGCCCGTAAGTCCTTGTTGAGGTCAACTTATGACATATGGATGGATTTTCACTATTCTGATAGCCATGTGTTTTAATTGGGGGTTCCCTGAGGAGGTGCGGTGTTGTGTTGGTGTGCTGGAGCTGCCTTGGCTGGCAGTGGCTTCTTCCTCTGCTGTCATATGGTCTCTGTGTCCTGATCTCTTCCTCTTGTAAAGATACCTGTCATATTGAACTAGGGCCCACCCCAGGACCTCGTCTTACCTTAATTACCTATTTAAAGCCTATGTCTGTGTACAGTCCCATTCTGAGGTATTGGAGGCTAGGAGTTAAGCTTATCAATTTTAGGGGGACCCAATTCAGCCCCTGACAGAGGTTGAGTATTTTTTCACATGTTCACCCCTCAGTGTACCTTGTTTGGTGAGGTGTCTGTTCAGATAGATTTTTTTTTTTCTTGGTATTTTCTTGTTGTTGAGTTCTTTGTGTATTTTGAATACTAGACCAATAAGATAAGTGTTTTGAAAATATTTTCTCTCAATCCATGGCTTGTCCTTTTACTCTCTTTTTTTGGTGTGTGTGTGAGGTACCAGGGATTGAACTCAGGGGCATTTGACCACTGAGCCACATCCCCAGCACTGTTTTATATTTTATTTAGAGACAAGGTCTCACAGAGTTGCTTAGCACCTTGCTTTTGCTGAGGCTGGCTTTGAACTCGAGATCCTCCTGTTTTAGCCTTCAGAACTGCTGGGATTACAGGTGTGTGCCACTGCGCCTGGCTTCTTTTTACTCTCTTAATGGTGTCTTTCACAGAGAAGAAGTCTTAAATTTTAATGAAAATCAAGTTAATCAGTTTTGGGGGGATGCTGTTAGAGATCCCTGTGTTATTGGTGGTGCTTTGCTATGATATTTCTAGGTGGAGGTTTTTTGTTGTTGTTGTTGTTTTTGGTTTTGGTTTAACCTGTTTGGTATCATGGGTCTTCCTGGATCTTGGAATTAGTACCTTGATCTTTGTTCAAGTCAATAAAATTTTTACTCATTATACTCCAAGAGTATTTTCTCCTCCATTTTCTTTATTATTTCCTCCTGAAATTCTGATTGGTTGTTACTTTGGACATACCTTTTTCCCCATGCCTCTTATATTCTTTCACAACTTGTCCTCCGATCACATTCTGAATATCTTCAGAGTTTTCTTCCTGTTTTCTGATTCTCTCTTTAGCAGTGTTTATTCTCTTGCTTAATCTAGACACAAAGTTATTAATTGTAGAAATTTATTTACTTATTTTTAAAAATCTGGTTGTTATTTACTATCACTTATTTCTCCATATTTTCAAGTTTGTTGTCTTTAAACATTTAAAATTAAATTTTTATTTTATTTTATTCTGTGTTAAGTAATCAATATCTGAAGTTTTTGTGAGTCTAATTCAGCATCTGTTTCTGTTGAGCCTGATTTAGGGTGCCTTCTTTTCTTGTGAGTTTTGCGATTTATTATTGTGAGGTGCTTCATTTACTTGGAGTTTTAAAGATGAGAATTGTTTGAGGCCTGGGTTGATGCATTCTGAGATTATATTTACTTTTGCCAGTGGCCTGGAGGCACTGCTCACCTGGGACTTTATCTTATGTTCTGTGCAGCACTTTTTATTTTTCACACAGATAGTATGAATTTGACTCATGGTCACAAACTGTGAGGGTAGAAGTTTTTGCCTTTTACTGAGTGTAAGGTTGGACACAAATCCCTTTCCTTTGTCTTCATTGGAATGTGCTTCCTTCTGTTTATTACTAAGCTTATGCTGAGTGAGCTCCTTTAACTAGAGTCCCTTTTAGTGAGAATCCCCCCCACCCCACACCTTGGGTAGGCCCTTGCTGCTTCCTTCCCACTCCCTGGTGCATCCAGAAAGGCAAGAGCCCTGGTTCCTAGAATTGAGTGAAAACTCTGTGGTATGCTGTCTGGATGCCTGCTGATCACTCATGCTTTCTTTCTTTTTAAAAATTTTATTTGAAATTGTGCCTTTTGTGTAAGTTCATCAGTACTTTTTTCTTTTTTTTAAAATATAGTTGTTTTAAATTAGAGTTATTCTGGGGCTGAGGATGGGGCTCAGTGGTAGAGTGCTTGTCTAGCATGCATGAGGCCCTGTTTCAATTCCCAGCACTGGAAGTCATTCAGCACATCTTATCTCTCAGAACTGCCAGAACTAGAATCCTTTGTAAGAATTTATCTTTTGTGAAGTCTTTTTTTTTTTTTTAACTCTCTTTTATGTATACAGCAACAATCAAGGAGTTCAGCTCTGAAGTTTATTATTTACTGTTTTATAAATGGAGTATTTTTAATAATGGTGTTTTAAAATCATTTTTTCATGATGATATCAAGATTGCAATATTCAGTCATAAAAGGAATCAACTTTATCAATATATAATTCAGTTTATTTGAGAAATATTATGGTAAAAACTTCCAAAAGTACTGTCATGATCTTAACTTATCCCATATGAGTGAAGTTTGCTCAGGAAGGTAAAGGTAAGGTAAAGGTAAGAATCTGTCAAGAAATCTGAATGGCCAATATGCTCTGTGTTTACACTTTTTTCCCCCCCCAAAGAAATATTTCATATCATAGAACATCTGTAGAAGAGAAATGACCAGAGATAACTTTTTAAATAAGGAGTTGAAAATGTGTGATTTATTTTTCTTCTTCTGAAATTAATTTCATATTTAGGTTTTAGGAGAAGTTTCAGCACAACTTCTGCTTCTTCCCAAAAAGAGATTAACAGAAGAAATGCTTTTGCCAAGTGAGTATTAAGAAGATTTAGAAAAACACCTTTCAAGATGAGCATGACGGGATTCTATGAAGGAAGAAAAGTGGAATTTCTGTGTTGTACATTGCTTGGTAGAATTTTGACACATAAGAGAGAAGGTGTGATCAGTGTGTTGAATTCTTCCTCTCTCCTTTGCAAGCTCAATTAAAAATGTCACCAGTGACTAAATATAGCAGTCTTGCATATATTTTCTCAGAGGTTAGTACTGCTAATAAAAGTCAGAGGAATTTACATTTTGTGTTTTCCTTGAGTAGGGTGGATTTATTTTAAACACCGCTTATTAAACTAATCTGAGATTTGACTTAATATGATCAATGCATGAGAGAATTGTAAGGCCTCTTTACATGAGGTAATCTTAAAATATTTTTTAAAAAATGCATGCCCCCTCCTCTTATAGCATGTACTGCTCAAAGCCATCGCCAGTTTTGAGAGTTTTGAGATGGGTCTTCTCGCTGGAGTTTAAGAGCAGCAGTAACTCTGTGCTCCAGTTTATTGAAGATATTCAAGAGTTCTTAGGCAGAGTGGTAGATGTTACTAAGAAGAGACAACTAGGAGCTGAAGGGAAAGAGGTAGAAAAATCAGTGTGGGGATTGTGGTGAGTGGAAGGACATGATACAGAGGAACGAGGGGAGGAGCAGAAAAGAAAAAAAAGCTGAGCCCTGAGAATGAATGACATGCCAGCAGGTATGGGCGTGCTCAAGACCGGCTCTAGACCCGGGGAGGAGACAACAGTGCTCATTTCCTATAAAAATAGAGATTAAGCTTTACTAATATGGATACAGGTTGACACTAGAACCTGTGTAAAAATGACTATCCTTTTACCGAAGATATAGAACCCATTTTTAGAATTATGTATTTATTTTTACTTAAAGAGAGTGTGTGACCAAAATGTTTGGTAACCAGTGATCTCAGGAACAGAGGACCTGTAGGTGCTGGCACTTGGTAGGAAAGTGGGCCCTGATCTTTGGCGTAGGAGAGACAGTGCAGCGACGGGACCTCCACCTGCAGAGTTGATGGTGTGTCACGCTGTTGTTAATCAGGAACCGTGATGTATTTTGAAGGATCTGTATTGAGAAAGTGAGTTTATTGAGGTTGGCCAAACACTATGTTGTTTTCTTGCTTATTTACATGGGAATAAATAATATTTCCAGAAGAAATGTGAAAAATGTAGTCAGAGGGGGTGAAAACTCCTGGGTGAGAAGAGTGGAGGACTTGGGCCAGAGGACACAGTGCCCATGCATGTGACAGGGAACCCGAGAGGGGCGCCACTTGTGTGGAAGAGCAGGTTGGTTTTCTATTCGTGGGGGAGATGGTAGCGATGAATGCGCTTCACTCAGAGGAAAAGGTGACTGAGTGCTTTGGAAGCAGCTCTTCAGAAGCCCATGCACAGCTCATGCCAGGAAGGGAGTAACAAAGAAAATGAGCTTAGATGATAGTACTGTAGGAGCTTGGGGACCTGTCTGCCACCAGGCATGCGTCCCCTCTCCTACTATGCTCATCCTACTGTGTGCATCCTGTCTGTGACCGGCATCTCACCCACTCCCTGCCATCCTGACTTCAGCTCCTCTCCCTATTACGAGCCTCTGCTCACGAGTGCATGCTGGGTCCTGTCTGTGGAAAGCTGCCCAGAGGCAGGGGGTCAGCTCAAGTTTAAGTATCTTTAGGCCAAACTTCTGCAACTCAGTTGCCACAGGGTCCATCATTTCACACCTCGTCGGTGGTTCTGCCTCCCTTCTCACTTCTGAGTTTCTAAGCAGGGTGAGGTCCAGACTCCTGGGCACAGTTTACAGTGGCCTGCATGGCCAGCGCCTGTGTGTTTCTCCTGCCTTACCTCACGGGCTGTGCTCACAAGGGCCGGCCTTCTTTAGACCCTCTGAAATGTGCCTTTTGCTCACCCCATGTACCGCTTTTCTGTCCACGACCTTCCTAGTTACAGCCCCAGTGTCACTTCCCCACCACGTGCCTTCCCTGGGCTTTCAGGAGAGATTTCTTCCTCCCCTATGCACCCTTGGCACCTTCCTCGTCTTTATTGTAGCTTAGAACATTTTAGTGCTTTATTATGTACGGATTCCTAGATTAGCCCGTGCCTGCCACTTCATAGGTGGCCAATGAATATTTTTGAGTGAATTAACATAGTTCTCAGACATACTATAATTCTGAGTTTCTCAGTTCCCCGGACTTCTGAGCTTTGATATAACTTGAACCAAACCATTAATTTTGATTTAGATAGCGAATTCAGTTTATTACTCATTGCTCTTTTTCTTTTTTAAAAATATTTATTTTCTTTTTAGTTGTAGGTGGACACAGTATCTTATTTTACTTTTATGTGGTGCTGAAGATCAAACCCAGTGCCTCATGCATGCTAGGCAAACGCCCTACCACTGAGCCCCAGCCCCAGTCCCCTCTTTGCTCTTTATAAGCTCTTTGGTTTAGGAAAGTTGAGTGTACAACATTTAAAACATTAAGGAACACTAGATGCGGATAAGGAACAGCTGTAATTTTGTCACCTCCATGAGATTATCCCTGTCAGCACCTTGGTGTATACTTTTCCAGTTTTTTTTTTTTTTTCTTAATGCATGAGTCTGAGGTTTTTTTTTTTTGGCAAAGTTAGATGGATCAAACTCAGTGTTTATACCCTTTAGAAAGCTTTTTCCTTAAAAATATCATGAACATAATCCCATGTTCTTTAATATCTTTCCTCACCGACTTTGGCAATGTTTTTAAAAAGACAGCACTGTGCTATGATATGGAAACATTTTTTAAAAATAAACTCTTTTATTTTAGTTGTAGGTGGACATAATATATTTATTTTTATGTGGTGCTGAGGATCGAACCCAGTGCCTCACTCATGCTAGGCCACTGTGCCACAAACCCAGTGTCTGGAAACATTTTTATATCATAATAGCATATGAAAAAAAATCATAACTTGACTAATAATAGACGCCAAACTTTTAAAACATGTATCTCTTCCTCTCATCACCCCCTTTCTCTGTGTGTATGGGCACATGCATGCTCTGCAGAAAGTCAGATAAATATCCAGCATTATTTTCTTTCAGTTCTTTTTTTTTAAATTATGCATTAGTACTTAAATTATTTGGGATTCATATTTGGAATTTTGAAATTTTATGAGTTGTGAGAATCACATTCATCTCTCCCAAACAACGAATTGCCCAGCATCCCTAATTCACGTTCCCTGTTCTGAAGTTTTACTTGTCCTCACATAAAATAATTCTGTATATTTTTAATTTTTCTAGATTAATAGTTATTTGGGGGGTTAGGTCCACCTCAGGGCCTCTCACCTGCTAGGCAAGCACTCTACTCCTGCATCATAGCCCCAGTCATTTTCTTTATTATGTGTCATTCTTGACTGTAATTAAAAAAAAACAGCAGTGTAAATACGGCCTTATCATTTTTCAACCTTTTCTTGATGGCTGATGCCCATCTGGTGGTGAGTTAGCCCTGGCCTGTGTGCCTGGGCAGCCTGGGCCTGAGGTTCTGAGCCTGTGCTCCTCTTAGGTGAGCAGGAAGGAAGCAGGACCTCTTTCACGGATTTGTGTAAAGCAGAAAGAGATAATATACGGAGGTGTAAGGCATATACTGAGTGCTCAGGAAGCGATAGCTCACTGTCATTATGTGGAGATTACTATAATTTTGTCATGATTCAAAAATTGTCCATTTGGGGTGAATTTGAAATATTAACAAACGTATGTTTCTATTTAGAAAAAGAACTTTCATTTTTCTTTTGTATGTTCTTCAGTAAAGATTTGTGCTTTTCCTCACACATTGTTTATTATTGTATTTGTACATTTGACATAGCAAATAATAATTTTACATGTATTTTATAACTAGAATTCTGTTACTTTTATTGGCAAGTGCAATTCAGAATAAGCCTTCTAAGCCTCAGCTTTCTGCCCATAAAATTCATGTCCTCTTCCTTTCTGCATTGTGGTTATAGGAAATGAGATAGTGTTTTTGATAGAGTATTTAAAAATATATAAAAATGAAATAAAATAGAAAAATAAGCAGGGTCCAGGTTCTGTTTCCAATGAGATCTGTGCAGTTTGGGTAATAGATTCTGCACTGTATTTGCTGTGGGCCTGGGGAGAAGGGTTTCTTTGGAGCAGTGGCATGGGACAGAGGGTGGGAGGCTCAGGTAGGATTGGTGGTTTCTGGAAGATCTCTGATGAGAGGGCAGCAAGATCTGGGCCGCAGTATACCCATCGTGGGTGAACGTCAGGATCAGCGACTTCCAGCAGATCACTGAAGGTAGCTCTTGGGCAGGGCAGGCTTGAGGCCTTGGCTGAGTTCACTGGTGAGTGAGTCCCAAAGAGTTTTGTTAACCAGGTCACATTGGCAGCAGGTGCTGGGAGGTATCTGTACTCCATCATGAGTTCTGTTACCCAGGAGGGAAAAGGAAGGAATCCTGCTCAGGGCACCCAGACCTCATTTGGCGTTAGTGATGCGATAGCTGCTGCTTAGCATTTAAAAAAATCAAGCTGTTCCCATAAAGTGTTCTCTTTTGTGAATTACAATGACGAATTCTGAATCTGGCCGTGGAATAAGTATGGTCAGTTGTCTTCTGTGGCTGTCACACCTAAGGACTGTTCTCACTTTCCCTTCTGGACAGGTCCAAGACCGCTTTGCGTCGCAGCTGGAGCAGTACCAGCACAGCAGGTGGCCTTGAGGGGAGTGTGAAGCTGCACCGGGGCTCTCAGGTCCTGCTCACGAGCTCTAATGAGATGGGTACCGTTAGGTACGTGGGCCCCACGGACTTTGCTTCAGGGATCTGGCTTGGACTGGAGCTCCGAAGCGCCAAGGGGAAGAACGATGGCGCCGTGGGTGACAAGCGCTATTTCACCTGTAAGCCAAACCATGGAGTCTTAGTTAGACCGGGAAGAGTGACCTATCGGGGAATCAATGGGTCCAAACTTGTGGATGAGAATTGTTAAGCTTCTGAAGTATGAGTCGAGCTCAAAAGTGTGTGTGCACAGTGCACACGCACACCGTATAAAATAAGAACCCATGGCATATGGTTTTACTTTCTTTAGCCATTACCTAACATGTGGAAATGCAGCGTATAGTCATCTTCGTACAAACCCTTACAACAATGAGAGTGACTCCTTAAAAGGCCACAAGCATGAGCTCTAGATATCATGGTTCTCTTAAAAGGTTTCCAAATAAGCACTTTTAAAAGCTTTAAAAGCTTTAGGTCCCAAGAAAAATTCCAGGACTCAAAAAAGGAAGAAAAGAAAGAATATGCCACCAGGTGATAAATGGATGTATTGCTTTGCTTGTTGTGTTTCATTTTTGCACATGATGTTGGATTTGTCACGATTGTGAAGGTTTTCACTAGCTTTGGTTAACACAGTGTTCACATGACCTTTTTCTGTCACATGTTTTCTGAGTTTTTCTTTCTGTCTGAGTTTTATTCCTAATAATTACCTTAAGGTAATAGCAACTAGGTGTATTTTTTGATATTTCTGATAAAATCATGTGCCCCTTCAGGAATGGCTGACGTCAAGGTGTGTTAGAATGTGGGAGGTGGATGAACCCTGGGCAGTCTGGCTTGGCCTCTGGCCCCTTTGCTGAATACAGAAATGGAATCTGTCCTACCCAGGGCCACCAACTAGTTGGTTGGCAAACAACCATGGATCTCCTGACTTGTGGCTCAGTGCTTTTTTCCCTCTATGCAAAGTAGGTAACCTCCGAGTTTTCTTCTGCTGCTTGCCTGTCTAATCTGTATGAACTACAGAAAACTCACAATTAAGGTTTATGAATTCAAATCAGAATGTTTTGCACATACTTATTTAACTTCTTCGCTAGATGTATCTATCTCACACACGTACACACACACGCTCACTTGTGCACACATGCACGCACACTCAAAGCACTTTTAAAACATGATGCACTTTCATCTTTGTAGATTCTTTGACATCCTTTCCTCCTGGAATATGAAAAACATTTAAAAAACGTATTCAACAGAAGAGAGCAAATTAAGATGTGTCAGGAAGGGCGTATTACTTGTTCATTTAAATGTGTGTTGATTCCCGGGCTTCTTTGTTCTGTCACTGGTCAGCCTGGTGTTGTTGGCTGCAGTGGCTGTTCTTCGCCCCCAGAGGTTGCAGAGGTCAGCCTCTTACAGAGCGACAGACGGCACTGTGTACCACGTTCCTCCTTGAGTATTTGTTACAAACTAAGCTTTGCTAGAGTGATGTAATAATGTCCAAAGTCTGTCTTGAGTATATGTATTGAAGTTTCTGTCCTATGTGTGTAAAGATTTATTGTAAATATTTAGACTCAAACTACCACAGAAATATTGGAACAGTTTATAAGATTAAAAGTATCCTTCAGAATGGAGCTTGCTTTGTGCTTAGAAATAAAATATGCTGAACTATTTTGCAATATACTATTTTAAAATCTAAATTCTGTTACTTTGTTGCCTTTTTTTTTTTTTTAAAAAGTGTGGTATGTCAATAAATACTGCTAGACTTATTTTCCTGAAATACATTTGCAAAATAAGGCTGCTTTATAACCAAGGATTATTTTTATTGATTGAAGAAAATAAGTGTGCTGTGATTTAAAAGTAGATTTATTTTATTATATAGATTATTTCTTAAAAACTATTTATACCTGAACATGAAATCCATGACTATACTGAACTTGAAATTTATAATTCTGTTAAATATAAAACTCTCCAAGTTAAAAACAGTAATGCCAACACTGAATTTATTTTTGATGTCAAAGAACCAATTCTCATCATATTCAGATCAAGATTATTAAATCCATTTAACATGTGTGTTTACATATACTATACATACAAATTAGGTGTTTCCATTGTGTTTTGCTTATTAAATGTCATTCAAAGTTCACTTCTGGAGCATTAATAAAAAGGGAAGCTGCTTGGTTTTGGAATGGTATCTTGTCATTTACCCTGTTTGCAATTCTTCTCTTAGTAACTGAGGGCACCTGTGCCCTGGGCTTTTCTCCCCCTGTAGTGATGTCAGTCCTGTCCCTATAAACAATCTTAAAAAGTACCATGCTTGTTGTTCAACAAGGTAAACTGTTTTTTAGCTACCCTCCTGTTAGTATTATTTTGAAGAACAGAGTCATTTCAAGATGTTTTTCTACAGTTTTTTTTTAAGATCACTTAACTTTGCTGGGTTTCATTTAGAACATGAGAGAACACTTTGAATTGAGGCAAAAAGCAATCACCTTTCTACTGAAAAGCTTTGTTTTTGCATTTTAGGGTAAGTCTGGGGAATAATTTTAAGTGCTTAATGTGGACTGAGACCTTGTAATCTTGGGATGAATCCCCTCCACCCTCCTCCCTCTCACAAATCATTTTCTCCTTAGCATCCACCACCCTTGGCCATGCCTAACTTTTTGTTCACTATTCCTCTCATGAGTCCTTAAATTGAGGGGTAGGGTAGATTTGAACCTGCTTTGTCCATTGCTTTATCTCCACACGTAGAGTAACAGAGCATCTGATAGATGCTCAGCCAACATCCGCAGAGGGAGCAGAGACTGGGAAGGCCATTGGTTGCTTAATGTCCAGTTGCCACACAGCTAGCTTGCAGTAGAGAGGTGGCTTTGAGAGACAAAGCCTGGAAAGGAGGAGAGAGGACCAGAAAGGTTTGAGTCCAGTGACCCAACTTTGTCCCTACAGAGTGACAGGTCGGAGATTAAAAGTTGTTGAGGGACAGGAAGAGGGAAGGGGGAACCCAAGAGGGTCATGGAGGCGGCTCCCTGTCTGTTTTGCTGGGGGCTGTCTTTGAACTTATGTTTTGATGTAATAATTTAGAGAACATCTCTAATATATGTAGAGAACTGGATCCTATGCCAGTGTGCGCAACATGGGTCTCCAGCGCTAAATATTTTCATTCTAAAGTTTCATTTTGAGGCTACCTATTTAGAATGCATGATCATATGCTTTCTGACTGACCAATGTGTTAGGAATCATTCTTAATTGAAAAACACATATAGAAGTTTTAACTGTTTACCAGTTATCTGTTATCTAAATGATTGGCCCAAGGGCATATATACCACCACATTGTAAGCCAAGGGGAGAATTCATTTAAAAATTTTTCTTCATGTTCTTTGCTTCACTACATTTATTTATAATATGAGGACAGTAGTTAATACAAAACTCACATTATCACATATATTTTAAATTGTTTATTAACATCCCTTGGTACATTGGCTCTTATCTACAGTGTCACATAAGCTTGTGAATATACAAACAAACATTCTTAATGAAGCTTTTGAATAGACTGATCAGGTTTGACTTTAGGATTCTTGGATTTTTAGAACAGTGGAACATGATGCTTTTGCATAGGCAAAATATTTTTCTATCAAACTTTTTGCAAATTCTCCTTTTACAGGAGGGAAGTTCATATGGTAGAATTAGAGGAGATGGGCACATGTCACTGACATCAATATAGGTTTGCTTTGCTTGATGAAAATGAGACTGTTTTTCTCTTTTATAGCTCTCCCTTGAGGAGAGTAGGATCAAGAGCTGGGGGAGACTTTTTCCTCTTACCTTTTCAAAAAGTCTTCTAATGAATAGAATTTTCATGGCCAGTCAATAGTGAGTCCTCTCATTTACTGTACCTTTCAAATAAGGAAATGTGGTCACAGTGATACCAAGGAGGGACAGAGAGTTTTGAATCATGTAAAGATATTCTAAGTGTTTTAATTGAGGCCTGTAGCTTCATATAAACCTGTCCTTAGTGATCACCAGTGTCATTTACAAGATGCTAAGTCTGGTTGAAGTGCAGCTCTACAATTCAAAGTGTGCACCCAGATCTGGGTCTGTTGCAGAGTAAATAGTCATACACATGTTCTCCAACAGACCCCTTTGGTCTCAGGACTGGGCATTTTTCTCAGAGTTGTTTCGGTTGGCTAAATAAAATGAAATGGGAGTCTCAGAAGTGCAGGAGGTTTAAATATCCAAACTAAACACCATCCTGGACCCACGTCAGTCTTGCGGAGGTTCAGTTCTTTCAGTTACAGCCAAATAGGGTTCTTCGTGGCTTCATGATGGCTGTCTTGTCCCTATCAAAAATCTTAAAAAGTACCATGCTTGTTATTCAACAAAGAAAACTGTTTTTTAGCTACCCTCCTGTTGCTCAAAGTAGGTTCACCTCATTGAAGACTGAACGAATGATTGTTTTTCACATAGCAGATCAAATCACACTGACATGGAATTGAATCGTGCTAAAATGATGCGTACAGCTTCCAGCCATTCCTTTTATTCTTTCTCAGACTCATTTTAAATGCAGTCAACAGTGTTAATGACATTGGCTGCCCCCGATAGTTCTTGTTAAGGATGGGTGTCACCCTCTGATACCTTGGGGGAAGTATCTCCAAATGGATTTTTAAATGAATTTTAATAGTCACAACGAGGCTCATACTGATGGCAGGGGAAATGGCTTTTGTTTATTATAGACAATATCACAGAGCAGAAGAGCATGAGCACCCTTTATGAACTTGCTAATAAAGATGGATTTTTAATGAGCATTCCAGTGGGTTATACATATCAGTTAAAAAGATCACAATTTCCCCAAAGTGATCTTCTCTGTTTCTTGAAGAAAATAAGAGCTTAGGGAATCAAGAAATGGCCCAAGATTCTTGCAGCCTCACTTCACACTCCCTGGTGTGTGACAGAGGAAAATCCAGTGTGAGGCTCTGCTTCAGTTTCTCATATTTTTAAAAACAGAACCAGCTGCTTGTTGGTACATACACGAGAAAAAAGAATTTCTGTCTTTGAAATTATTCCTTTTGAGAACTGTGAAATACTACATAAATGTTACTTTGAGAGTAATGCAGAAAGATTTAAATTGTTTTTTTCCCTCAACTATTAGGAGCAGTAAAACGTAGGAAACTTGCCTACAGCCTTTACGGCCTTATCTTTGTGGGATGTTTGAATTGGCTTTCTTTTTTAGATTTTACATTTCAGGATCCACTATAAAGCTGTCTTATTCACAATAGGTTTCCAGACACTGCCTTCCAACAGTGGTGGATAGCTATATAAACCTGAAAGGAGGGATTCTCTTCCAAGGTAATTGGGAGAGAGGACTCCTCAATGAATTCCCCATCATAACGGCACCTGGACACACATGTTGAGGAACGCCCCGGTCCAGACACCTCCTGGTCCCAAACACCTGGCTTATCCTGGGCTTTGCTACCTTGCTTTGGGAATGGGCACTGTAAGGTGAAAATCGCCTGTGGACAGAGGGCGTGGGTGTCTCATTAGATATTCTCTGTGGTGAAAGGTAAGCTTTAAAAGATGAATTTATTATTTTACTTTGCTAATAAGGCTGCAGTTGTAGCAAAATATAATGGAAGAAAATAAGTAGTGTGACACGGCATAATCATTAAAAGGACGTGACATCTAGTCCTGTCAACTGCTTATTTACGGATCTCTCCTGACGGACTTCTTTTTGTATGGTAGTGGTTGTAAGTTGGTTAAGGAGATCTTTGAATAGGAAGGGAAAACACAGAACTGATGCCAAACTTTCTGGTTGGCTTCTATATAAATATTCAATTTGGCTCATTGGGATTGTGCTCGTAATTATTTGACTTTGGCTCTAAGTGAATTAAGAGTCAAGGACACACACACACACACACACACCCCTACTGATTATGGTCTGGGTGTTGGGTTTACCTTTCACAGATGAAATCTTACAGAATCTCAGACTTCAGCGTTAGAAGGGGCCTTTGAGACCAAACCACTGGTTTTTCAAATGAGCGTTTCAGTCACCTGCCTGAGTCCCATAGGTAGGTAATTGCAGTCTGGTACCCAGTGTCTCCTCTACTGCCCAGTCCGCTTGCTGTTTCTCAAGTAATTGATGGGTGCTAAATTATCCAAGATGACATACACATCTAGAACTTATCACGCTGATATTCATCTAAATAGCCACTATTAAAATGTAAATATTCCAGGGAGAGTTGTGCCAGGCTTGGTTTAATAAGTTGGGCTTTCAACTGACAGGAGGGATTCTCTTCTAAGGTAATTGGGAGTTGTTTCAGTTGGCTAAATAAAATGAAATATCACTTTAGATGGGTAGAAATGAGCCTAGCAAAGGCACATTAGTGTGGAGGAAGAGTCGTAAGGGATTGCTTACGAGGAGGCAGCAGGCCTTAGATTGTGGGAGCGCAGAGAGCAATTGAGGGGGTGTTAGAAGAGGAACTTACAGTGGTGGACACAGACTTTGGTACCTGCAGCTTTTCTGAGGGTAGACTGCTGGTGCCATTGTCACATGAGAGGGAAGCACTCAGGGCATTCCCTGCCCTGAATGCAGCAGGGAGGACATTGCTGTAGTTTTGTGGTTATAGGTCCCCTCCCTCACTAATTGTATGTTGGTCTGTTCCTCCTTGCTGAGCCAGAGCTAGACAATAGCTTTGTACTCCAGGAGTGCATTAAAAACCAAATGTACCTGCTCAGGATACCAAGTGAAAATGATCTTAACAGCTCCTCTGTTCTCAGTCATCCTCTTAGATTTCAGGGCATACTGGTGAGGAGCTCAGGCACGTGGGGGTGGTTTTGTGTGTTCACACAACTTGGGGAACCATCTGTTGTCATGAAATCAGCAAAGTCAAATGTGGATTCTTCAGGGACTCATTTAAAAAATCATTAGCCACAGACAGATTGACAACACACTGCATACAATTTTATGAATCTTGTCATGGGGAGCCTGTTACTTAAAGTGGTCTGAATTCATACCCATCTCGTTTTTGGTCTGCAAAGCTCATCTTGCTGTATTACTAGAGAAAATCTATTAAAATAGCCCAGCTGTGTTTTAAAGAATGAAGTCAACCTGCAGTTACATAATATCTTACAGCCCTAGGGTTGACCAAGAAATAATTACATGGAGATGCCAAAAATATTTTTTAAAATAATTGCTCAAATTAATTAGTTTTCATTCTGTGGTGCTTATTTTAACACTTGGAACCTAGTTTTACAGTGGTAGAGCTTTGATCCATTCTTCTTTTTCCATTGGGTGGATAAGAACTGCTGAATGGGAGGGTAGGAGGCACACAGACGCTGACCCCCACCCACCCAGCCTCATGTCACTCCCCAGGTGTAAGGGGTGCTGTGCATTCAGTTTATGCTCTCCCGCAGGGCAACTATAAGTCACAGGAGTGTTGTTGTCCTTCTTTTGTATAGGGGAGAATCATTGGGTCAGATAACCCAGGGGAGCCAGGACTCAAGACTCTACCCTAGTGGAAGAAGATTTAGTCTTTTAACTATTAAGTAGAACATACTTAAAAAAAAAAAAGTGTATTCCTGCTCCTTCAGTTTGCTATAATTGTGAGGAGCCATGCATTGACAAACTGGTCATTCCTCACAAATTGCTAGTTTCCCAGTGGAACTGTTGTAACCTTTTGATGGCTTTTTTAATTGATGTGGAATATAAATAATTATGCTAGATTATGGTTTAATTAACACGACTTCTGCAAACTTCAGTTGTGTCTGTCCACTTTCTAAGTGGAACCTGTTATCATAGCTAATGAATTTATTAGAGTCCACAGCATCTGCCTGGATTGCTGTAGCCATATGGCTGTAGCAGCATTCAGTGGACAGTAGTCTATGTTAATCATGCTGGTACCTAAGGTTATACCAACTTCAATGAAACATCTCGAGGGCATAATATCTCAGTGTGGAGTTGTTTATTTCCGTATCCAAGAATACAGGCTTTTAAGATTCCACTATCGTTTACATGAACATTGACCAACAAAGACGATCAGAGAAAAGCAACAAATCAACCTCCGTGGTAGTAAGGCACAACCTGCATTTTGTGTTTTAAGAGTGGAAAGGGCTATGATCCACCCCTCCCCCATCTATTACAATAAAGAGTTGGCTATTTAACCATGTGGCATACTCCCTTCTTAACTGGTTACTAGTGTTACTGATGTAAAGTGGAATTGTTTTCTGTTATCCTTTAGGAGAGAGTGTTTCTCAGCGTGAGATTCTAGAGCCCCTTAGGGTGGTTTGTAAGCTGGAACAGAATTTATGTGATTACTTTGCACCTGGCATGAACCATACTTTACTGATACAGTTATTTAGAGATGAGTTCATGGATGTTTCAGCTTCATGTATATTGATGAACATATTTTTGGCAGATAAATAAAAGTAATCCCCAAGGTACCAGTGCATCTACAGATACACAGAACCACCAATTCTGGGACCAGGCAACTGCCTTAAGGGAAATGAATAGTTTTCTGGTTTTGGTGTAGAATACAATACTGATACTTCCGATGTAAATAAAAAGGAGAAGATTGGAAGAAAGGTACATATGCACCTACCCGCCCTGCAGTCCCTTTGCTTGGGAATGTTTCATGCAGAGCAATTAGCAAAAAATGCTTTCCTCCCAGAGAGATGCTACCACCGGGAAACAGACTGGACATGAGCATAGAGGAGAAGCACAAAGAATGAAATGAGCACTTACAGATCAAAACATTACATAAGCATGTGTATAAATTTTAATGGGTTCCTGATGCAGTTTTATAGAAATAAATTTCATCTGTGAAAACCAGGTGTAGAACTCCCACAATAAGATGTCAGTGTCATCCCCAACAGTCCAAGCTTTCCTTAGTTGCTTTCCTCTTCACTGCCTAGAGGGAAAAAAATCTTCATTTTAATCTGCATTTGGTAGCTATACAAATTATCCTATAAATATTTCAACATATTTGGTCCCAATATACTAGGATCACATGATTAAGGGTCAGAAAACTCAAGTGAATGGGGCAGGGGAAGTTATTGCGTAGTACTTTCCTAGGACCACTGGAGGGCCTGGTCCCCCAGGGACCCTGCCCACCACTACAGGGAGAACTTCAGCACCGAGACCTTCATGACTGAAACTGTTCGAAGGTTTTTGGCCTGAGATGTACTGAAATGAATGTCTCCAAATGGATATGTTTCCACACTTCTATGCTTAAGATTTTTGTTTTAAAATAGATGAATAGATTTGAATTAGTGGCAAGTTTGAAAGCAAGTAATTTAAATCTTGATTTCAAATCTAGTAGGAAACCTCACACTCAGTTTTTCACTTTTAGGAGGAGGATTTTCTTAAGGCATGAGGTATGTCAATAGGGTGTTTGAATCTCTGGATCTGTCCTGGTGTTTCATCATACTCAAAGCACTTGGGATGCATGTATTTTGTTTAGATGAGCATATTCACATATTTTTTTTTCCTCTATACTACTGAACTATTCACGACACTTTAAAAAAGATAATTGGCAAGGAATCAGAACAATTAGTATCTACCCATCATCTAAAGTGATATTTCAGTTAATGGTCTATGTTTTCTTTTCCGAGTGAAGAAGTCTTTCCCCATGCTGAATCATTACAATTAGCTCCTTTATTCGTGATCCCTCACCCCTCCAATGGTTCATGTCCACATCAATGAGGAACATTCATACTCCCACCACGAGACATGTAAGCAGCTGGTTCTGACGACATTGAAGCAGAGCACACACAGGTTAAAAGAAGCATAAGGATTAAGGATACAACCACCATGCGGAAAAAACCTTATGCAACCGATAGGGCCTGGTAGTGATCAGTTTTTATATTTTCTTCTTTTGAAAGAATAGGATGAACCCATGCTCAAAACCTTTCTAAAGCATTTTGAGAATACACTTTTTTTTTTTTTTTTAAATGTGGCACTTCAAAACAAATTGGCACAAAATGAAAGTGACATCTGGTCTCTGATTGGTGATGGAGCCATTACCTCCCCTCCCCCTGTCCCATGGGCTCTCCCGGAGAGAAGGAAGTGGCCCCGGGCTCAGGGCCCAGGGCGGTTTGCCTTGTTCTTGTTTTTCAGAACGCTGTCCTCGTAATGACTTGCTCCGGCGGCAGTGGTGGCCTCTAAAGGTAAGCCCTGCTGCTGGTAGCCGTAGTTGACATTCCCACAAGGGAAGTGACGCAGCCTGAACAGAGGCACCTCCTTCATGGTGGCAGTCAGCGAGGAGGGTTCCAGGAGCAGCGACGCCCCCGCGAGTCTGCCGGGAGCTGCGCCGGCAGGGACAGTACAGCGTCCCCTCTCCTGTGACTCCCTCTTGGCTGGAGGGTTGTTCTTTTTGGTGGGTTTCTCCGTAAACCAGGAGCCATAAGTTGGGTTCCACAAGCTGGTGGGCTTGTTTCTGGACCCCTGGACCTTGTGCAGCTCTGCTGGCGGGTGGGACTGAGAGAATGCCATGTTAACGTGTCCCCCTTCCGCGGCTGGCCCTCTGGGGACGCGCGCGGAGGCCTCGGCAGCGCCGGGTTTCTTCACAGCCTTCCCCGAGGAAGGGGCCGGCAGGGCCGGGGGCGCGGCTGGGGCGCGGTCCTCCCCGCGTTTGGCCTGCTGCGGGGACACCAGGAGAGGGGGCATCCCCTCGGGGTCTTTGGGCCTCATGGGCACTTTCTCCTCCTCTTCCACGAGCGGGCCATATTCTATGGGCAGCGCAGTGTTGATGACATCTGGATCCTATGGGAGGAGAGAGGGACCCATGAAAACCGAATCGCAGAAAATGTGGAGTCTGGACGGTACCCTAGAAGCCATCTAAACTTTAAGGCAAGGAGACCGTTCAGGATGCACTGAGAATATATTAATTCATAAGCCCTGAGAATAGGAACCGAATAAAGCATCGCCCTTGACCTTGAAGGCCTTGGAGGAGCCCACAGGGTGGAATTAGGAGCCAGAGCCAGCCCGGGTGCAGGGAAGCCCCGCGCTGCCTGGGGCAGGGGAGTGGGACTTTGCAGAGGAGGAGTCCATAACCCAAATTGTACTGATTAATGCATTTTTAAAAATTGTATTTTTAAAAAATTATTCTAGTCTATTCTCAATAAAATATTTCCAACTAAAAAGAAGTCTGTGTTGACCTCAAGTGTGTGTGTGCTGTGGGCAGGGGAGGAGAGTCAGGCTGTGGGCTCCTAGCCTCCTCCAGTTTCCTGCTACTTGAGTAGGTTTGCTTGATGATGACTTTCCCTGGTGTTATCACATCATTCCATGTGCTGACCTCACCATGCAGGGGTTTTTGACTGGTTTCTGTGAAGGGTCCCTTTTGGGCTCAGGAAGTACTGAAGTGTTATGAGGGAAACCATGTGCAAGAACAACTTTGTGCTAGATCATTTTTACAGCAAAAGATTGTAACATAGAAAAGTAGAAGCAGTTGCTAGAGATTTAAGGGAAATTCGTGGAAGAAAACGTAACTCTGGGGGAATCTAATTCTTTAATGTTTCATACAAATGGGGAAAAGGGCCTGTAACTTGAGTTTAACAGAAGAGCACATTGATTCAGTATTCATCAGAAAAAAAATAACTGTCCTTTCCATAGCAAGTAATTTAAAATATGCATGTGTAAAACTGCCCACTTTTGAGAGGGCTTTTATATATTTTGGAGAAAAATACTCTAGGGAAGTTATCTCTATTTAGGTAGATGTATTCCATTTGTGTTACAACATTGTAAACTGGTATGTCATCAAACAAGATTCTTTGACAGAACTCCAGTAACTCCACCAACGAAGCCCATCTACAGGAAGATGTCAGTTCACCCGCTGAGCTAAAAAGCCTGTGAGCGTGGGATGGTGGGGCTAGAAAGTGACTCTAGTTTGGAAAAGGTGTTTTATCTTTTGTCCCAATCGAGGGAGTTTAGAGAGGTGGTTGAATTGTTGGATTTTTCTGGAATATTTTCATCAATATTCTTGTTCTGGCAGAACAAGAGCCGCAAGAAAGAGAATGAAAGCAGAGAGCAGGAAGAGAGAAGATAACTTGATTATAATCCCCCGGGACAGTAGGTGACAGACACCTGGATCAGGAGGAGGCCTGGGGGGCGGGGTGTACAAATGGCTGCAGAGATAGGCAAGTCTACACTGGGACAAGGAGGAAACTGGAATTCTCCTTCGATGAACTGTGTGCTTGATGAGGTAGGAGGCAGGTGTCTGCTAAAGATGAGTGGGGAGAAGGGAAAATTCAGTACGGGATTGGACAACCTCTCCTGGCCTGGCTCCTCCTCTGTGAAATGGGATGTCTTATGTCCCTCAATGAGGACAAAATGAAATACATGAAAAGTGATTTGTGTAGTCCAAATCTACACGAGTACTAGAGATGATGTTAAATTTTCTCCAGATTATTCTGAATTTTCATTCCCTTAATACTTCTAACTTGGACATATGAGTGAGCAATTGTACATTGTGATTTAGTTCACACGTTGTTATTTCTCCAGCCAGGCTATAAACTATTTGAGAGCAGGAGTGTTTCATCCTTCTTTGAAGCTCCAGTTTCACCTAATAAAACATTAGATCTCCAGCAGGGACTTAGTTAATATTTGTGAATTGAATTGATTTTCTACTACTACTGTCTGGCACTGTACCACATGCTGGTGAAGAAACTGGAAGTTACTAGGATTTATTGTATGAAATGGGCAAAATGAGACACCAGTCATTTCATTATAGAGGTGATGAATATTCATTCTCATGATTATCAGTCTTGTTTGATCCTGACTGGTTTGCCTTTCATTTCCTACCTTTGTATTTGCTATCTTTAGGACTTTTCCATATAAAATTATTGCTGGTCAAGGGGAGAACATGTTTTTACCTGGGTACAGTATTCAATCCTCTCCAAAATTATGGCAAAGTTGGGCCTGTCTTCGGGCTGATGTTGCCAGCATTGAGTCATTATCCGGTATCTAAAAGAATAAGCAATTAAAGTCAGGAAGAGCACTTCCAGATGGGGTCAGAACTGGTACCTATCTTTTGAGGGTGGTAATTCATGTAGGACCCAGGTAGGCAGTATGTGCTGCCCCCTGCTGGTGGATTAGGGAATTAGCCTGACATGAGGTGTTAATATCAAAGCTCATTAACATAGACATCCTGGTGTTTATATCAAATGCTCATTCCTGAATTAGAGCCACTTTTGGGACAGAATATTCTATTTCCTATCTGCCTTGCTGATGGAAGGAGGCGAGGGATGCCAGATAGGAGAGTAGAAAACACAGCGAACAGGAATATTATTAAAGCAGACTCAGGATCTAGGGTGTAGGGGTGAATCTGGGACATGCGTGTCTAAGGAGTGTGGGCCTGGTGAGTCCTCAGCCTCTGGCCAGGATGGCAGTCTTGCCTCTGAGGGGCTGGAAGACTAATTATCTCACTGAAGTTACAGACAAATGCCTCTCTTGGGGCATCCTCCATTGAAGGTAGCCACATGCCCCTCCAGTTTAAGGAAGCATAGGAAGCTTCAGATACTTTTTAAAGGAAAAACTATGCTCAGGGGCTAGTAGAAGTGCCCTAAAAGAGTCATACACAGGCCCAGGGCAGTTCTTAGGTGGGTCCATCCGTCCTCCACTGGTGACGAACTCCAGGACTTCCTGGTTGCTTTTGCTGGGGTATGGCATGTACCCCAGGGAAAAGATCTCCCACAGCAGCACTCCGAAGGACCTGGGCATGGACAGAAGACACAGGGACGGGTGTGGACGTGTGTGCACATGCACACAGGTGCAAAATTTTAATCTCTTTCCCCATTATACCTTTATCTATAATAGAGGAATCTTAAGATAGAAAAATGAAAGGAATGAGAAGTACCACATATGATGCTCTATGGAAAGATAACTGCTGCCAACATGTGACTTTTTATTTTGGTCAAATTTCTGTTTTTGTTTTCTTACCTAATTGCAATTATATTTAATATGTAATTTTGAACCTTGATGCTTTTGCATATTTTGTTTTAGCAAAAACATTTTCCATGCTAATTTTGTGAACAAAAATTTAAATGATGATAAAGTAGTCCATTGAATAATTGGGCCTTAATTTGCCTTATCATATTGCTTTCAATTTTCAAAATCCTTTATTAATTAGTTAATTAATTTATTTATGGTGCTGAGAATCGAACCCAGTGCCTCACATGTGCTAGGCAAGTGCTCTACCACTGAGCTATAGCCCCAGCCCACAACTTTCAAGATCTTTAACTCCATGATGAACATCTTTGTGAATTTCCAAAAGGAGGATTTATTTAGGATTAATTCTCTGATTTACTACATTAGAATAATAGTAAAATAAAGAATAATTCTAGTACAAGTACATCACAAAATACAAACATTGAAACATTCTTGATACATAATGTCGATTTGATTCTTAATGTTTCACTATTCATCTGTCAACATTGAATAAGAGTATAGCAAACACTCTCATCAACACTGAATATGCTTGTTAACAATGAGGACTTTTACTGACTTCAAAGCAAAAATGGTGAAATGTCTTAAATTATGTTTATTGACTTGCTAATTAACATGGGGGAATGTCTTCCTAAGTGTTTATAAATCCAGTTCAGTTTTTCTCCCACAAAGTGTCTGTTCATGTCTGTTGCCCATTTTTATCTACTGGGGCATATTATTTTGGTATCAATTTTGGTACCTAAAAGTGCACTGTAGACATTCTTTTTATGTATCTGAGATGTTAACCTTTTATCAAAAATTCAAATACTTCTCTGAGTTGCTTTCTAACCCTACTTTTTTAGCATACCAAAGATTTTCATTTTTAGGTAGTCCAATCTATTTATAATTTTTTTAGGATTTCCTTCATTTAATTTATAGTCATACAATCCTTCTTTCACCAAAGATTAGGTAAACACTTGCTGCTCTTGTTGAGTTTGTTCTTTCCTATACTCAAATTAGGTTGAAATTTAATCTTGACTAATGATACATCTTTTCTAGGCCTAATCATTTCATCTCCTTGTCTGCTTCTCACATAGATACCATTCTGTTTTACTGTTTGCATATTTTTTCCCCTCCATCTGGTAAGGCATTTTTCTCTTCTTTCTTTTTTTAAAAAAAGTGTTCAAGTTCTTGGGGCTGGGGTTGTGGCTCAATGGTAGAGCACTTGCCTTGCATGTGTGAGGTACTGGGTTCGATCCTCAGTACCACATACACATAAATAATACTAAAATAAAGAGTAAATAAATAAATAAATTTAAAAAAGTGTTCAAGTTCTTGTCTGTTATTTGTTTTAAACATTTTTTTTTTTTTTTTTTTGGTGGTAGTGCTGAGGATCTGACCTAGGGCCTCATGCAAGCAAGGCAAGCACTCTACCAACTGAGCTATATCCCCAGCCCCCCACCCCCACCCCCCTCATCCCCTGTTTTAAACAATTTTTGAGATTTTTAAATCATGTTCCAAAATAACCTCCTTTGATATTTTGGTTATAATTTTATTTTAAACCCTGAATTTAACAGTGAGCATTTTGAACAAAGAAAGCCTGTCTTTGTTGTAGTATACTGATGTAGTTTTCTGCTATTAATAAACATCATCATGAAAATTGTAGAAAACTATGCTTGTAAGGAACATGAAATGCTTTTATTGTCATCTTGGTAACATTTCAAAGACTTTGGTGAGTTGGATTGGGCAAAGATATTTTCCATATTTTTCGGATGAGAGGGTTGAAGCAGAGATTCCAACTCAACTGCCCTAAGACAGACTGGAGCAGATAATTAGATCTCCAGGATTCTGTTACCTACAAATTTCCTGGCACATTATATTATCTCTCTCTGGGGGTATTTTTGTACCCAATGCAAAGCAAAGCAGGCAAGATCAAGCAAAACAATGGCAGCAAGGCCTAAATAGTTACAGCTGTATGTTTTCTGCCTGTCAGATAGATTTAAATTGATTGATAAATGGAAGACAGTAGATGGAGGTCACTGTATTTTTTTTAAAGAATCTAGATCTTATTACTTTACCTTATTCATGTCAGTTTTCCCTTTCTTTTTAAATAAATAAAATATATATATAGGTAAGCCCCACCTGCATCTCTTCTTTCTCCCCTCCACTGACATAAGAATGTATTTTTCCTTTTTTGTGTTTTCACATTTTTAAACAACACTTGAAGCCATAAACAAGAGAATTTGTATTATAGACTTTTTTTTTACACTGTAAAGTTATACTTAAATATTATCCTATTCCTTTTTGTGACATTCTTTATATTGTTTTTGTGATGTGTCTGTGTCGATACATGCAGGATTAGCATGTGTTTTACCCTTTCTACACTGCTGAACAGTTTTCCATGGTGAACACAAAACCGGTTTGTTTTTCCATCCCCTGTTTGATGGAGAGTCAGGTTGAAGCCTTTTTTCGACTATGAATAGTGTGCAAATGAATATCCTTTCCCAAGTCTATTGGCATCAAATTTTCTTTAAAGTAAATTCTTAAAAGATCAGATGGGTCATAGGATATGCATGTGTTCAGAACAATTATTAAATCACTCACATTATTCTTCCTCTGGATGGGCTGGGTAGCTTGTGCTCTACCATTGGTGCATGTTGGGATCCTCTGTTGGGCTTGTTAAAACAGATTGCTGACCCCACCCCTAAAGTTTCTGTTTCATTAGGCTTGAAGTGGGGGCTGTGGATTTTCATTTTTAACGAGTTTCCAGGTAATGCTGATGCCCATAAACCATGGTCCCCACTTTGAGATTCCCTGGGTTAAGTTAAGGCAAATCTGATTTGGAAAGAACAAAGGCTCCTGTTTACATTATTGAACATGGGCAGCGCCACTGTGGGTTCTACCATCTTGTACCATTATCTCAATGTAAGCCTTTCAGAATGGGGACTATTCATGCATTGTTTTCTTGTGTTTCCTGTGTTGTTAAGCTATTCCATGTCTTTGATCTTTGTTTTATTATATTTTTTGGAAGCATGAAGAATCTTATTGGTCTGAAATTTCATGACAATGTGCTCTTGTGTGGCTCTTTTTATCCATGGTGCTTGGCACTTGGTGGATGCTTTCATTCTGCAGATTCAAGTTCTATTCTAGAAAATCTTGTCTTACGTCTTTGATGTTTTTGTTCTCTTCACTTCCTCTGTTCCTTGTTTCTGGGACTCCTATTTTGTTAGCTTTTGGGATCTATTGGTCTAATCCTCTTAATTCTCTTTCCTATGGATTCCATCTCTTTATAGTTGTTTTATTTTCCAGAGGACTTATTTAACTCTTTATTCCAACCCTCCTATTTATTTTACATTTCTTTCAGAATATTTAAAAAATAAACTTATTTTTTAGAACAGTTCAAAATTGTGAAGAAATTTTGACTACATATACCCCACACTTTATTTCCCACTATTTTTAGTATCACATTAGTATGGTACATTTGTTACAATTAATGAACCAATATTAAGACATTATTAACTAAAACCCACAGTTGATTCAGATTTCTTTAGTTTTTTTTTCTTTAACTGAGTTTCCTGTTTCTATTTCTGAATCCCATTAGGAATAGCATGTTACATTTAGTTGTCAAATTTCCTTAGGGTCCTCTTGACTGTTGACAACATCTCAGACTCTCCTTGTTTTTGATGACATTGACAAGCTTGAGGGAACTGGTCAGGAATTTTGTGAAATATTCCCCAATTGGGTTTGTCTGTTTTCATCATTATTAGACGGGAATTGTGAGTTTGGGAGAGGATCACAGGGATAAAGTGTCATTTGCATCACATCATCTCAAGGGTATGTGTTCTCAGCCTGACATATTGCTGTTGCTCTTGACCTTGATCATCTGGCTGAGGTCACATTTGTCTGGTTTCTTCACTGTAAAGTATCTCTTCCCCTTCCCACCCCTGTGATCTTTGGAAGGACATCGATATCAGTGGCCACACATGTTTTTAAGGAGTTATTCTCCATCCCCTTAAGAATTCCTATCATCATATTTTATTTCCAAGAGCTTTTTGTTCTGCTAAAAATATTGCTTTAAACAACTTTCTGCCCTTCACTTATGGTTGCAATAGTTTTTTTCCTTATCTTTCTGAGGATATAATAGTTTAAAATAAGTTTTCCTAAGTTTTCTACATTTTCTTCCTCCAAGTTCCCTCTCTTGTTTTCTTCAGATTATAATCTTTTTCTCAAATATTTGTTGATTCTTGTCTGCCTATTTTTGTTTTAAGGCTGAACATTAAAAGCTGGTGCGAGGCTCTGGGAGGGGCCCTTGGCACCTGTGGGCAGCTGTGCGATGGTTCCACTGGATATGTTCCTTTCCTGTGGCTGCTGTAGGAAATTACCACAGGCTTGTTGGCTTAAAACAACCTAAGGTGGTTCTCTCAACAGTTCTGAAGGCTGGACATGTGAAAGCAGTGTCTCTGGGCTGAATCCACAAGTCAGCAGGACTGTGCTCCCTCCCGAGTCTCAGAGGGAGAATCTGTTCCTCCTTCCAGCTTCAGGTGGCGGTTGGAACCCTTGACTTGTGGTCACATTGTTCCAGTCTCTGCCACTGTGGTCACACTGCCTCCTACTATTTGTCTCTGTGTGAAATTTTCCATCCCCCTCTTATAAAAAAAACTTGTGATGACATTTAATCTCCCCCCCCCTCCCGCCCAGTTAATCAAGGAAAACTAGCCCACTTCAGATTCCCAACTTAATTCTCTCTGGGAAGGCTCTTTTGCTAATAGGCTAACAACTGCAGGCTTCTGGGTTAGGACCTCCGGCCTCTGGGTGGCCATTATACGGCCTGCTACACCGGTGACCCCCCTTGCCAGTATCTGTGGTTTTCTCTTCATCACTCAGTGCCTCCAGGGATTCTCTGATCTCCTGCCTGGCTGCCAGTGTTCTTGGTATTGAGGGGACCAAGGGGGCAAATACCCTTGAGACTTAAAGAAATATTCCTGTGAACAGTAGAGTACCTCACCCATGGTGAGGTTTATGTCCCCAAGACCAGAGGGACTTCATTTGAATCTCTGGGAGAGAGAGCCCCACTCTTGATGGCAGAAGGAGCATCGACACTCTTCAGTGATGAGGGGATGGGCCAGAGGACTTAGATACTTCTTCATCAGACCTTGAACTAATTTTCCTGTAGCTCTTTTTCAGTTCTTGGGCCTGTCTGGGGCTCTCGGGCCGAGTGCACAGCCTGCTTCTGGACCTGAACTGTTGGTTGAGATGTCCATTTTTGTTCTCCTCAGTAAGGGGCCACTTCTCCATGAGCTTTCCAGTGTTCCAAATTTTGTCTTTGTGGTCTTCTTTGTCCTTGTGGAGTTTAATGCAATTCAAAAGACTCCCTTTAAGTGAGTGTGTGCGTGTGAATGTGCATGCATGTGTGTGCATGCTTTCGGAGGGAGCTTAGGTTTAATCTTCCATTTAAAATGACTGGGGGGTGGGTGGCTGTGGCTGTGGCTTAGCGGTAGTACACTTGCCCGGCATGTGTGAGGCATTGGGTTTGATTCTCAGCACCACAAATAAATAAACAAAATAAAGGTCTATCAACAACTAAAAAATAAAACTAAAAAATTAAAAATAAAATAAAATGAGGTTCCCAGCATGTGGTCACCCAGCCAGCAAAGTCAGTATCATTGCAGAACTCGCTAGAAAGGCACGTTCTCAATCGGACACAAGATCGTCTGATCATTATCTCTTGGGGTGGGGTCTTTAAGAAGCTTTCCTGATGATGCTGGTGTCTGCCAACGCTGGAGTACCACTGTGGTGAAGGAGAGCAAATATTTTCTTCTTGGGGTCTCCCCAAGGAGAGTGTGGCTCATTTAGACCAAGAGCAGCACTAAGGTCACAGTGATACCTGGAGGAGGGGAGCAGCAAGACTCACCACGTGTCTGTTTTAGAAGTAAATATTCCTTCCATGAAGGCCTCTGGGGGCATCCATTTAACCGGTAGCATGGCACACCCTCCCTTTCGATAGTAGCTGGCCCTGTGGGGGAAGAAGAGGAAACCAAGCGTGGTTCTGGAGGTGGCACTGCACAGAAGCCCTGCTAGGAAACTTGAGAAAGTGTCAACAACATCGTCTACCCATTAAAGGACTGAAATTAACGAGAGGTCCTTGGTGGATCAGGAGAAGAGCAGAGGACCACAGATCATTTAGTTAAGAACTCTGGTGTCATTTAATGGCTCACTAGAGGCCCAAAAGAAAAGATCTATGCAATGACTAAGATCCCTGCTAGCAGATGCTTAGATTTCCCTGTTGGGTTTTGTTTATTATAACTCAAAATGAATAACATTACTCCTACCTTACGAGGACAGTGTGTTTTGATGACCTGCAGTAACAACACAAGATGTTAAATGGGAGAACTGAGGGCAGAGCTGGGTCTTATTCATTCGGCTCCTCCATGGCACGCAGGCAGAGCATTTAGTTCAACGTGGGCTCTCAACCAGTGACCTTAGAAGGCTGCCGGGGGAGGCCTCTCACGGATACACCCAGACGGGAGAACACAGGACTAGGCATGGAATTGGCTTAAAAGGTAGATGAATTCATTTATTCATGTTCATCAGGAATGCCACTAATGCAACTCACTGATAAAACCAAATCAATGGACTCATTCTGCCTTTTAAGCCATATTCTCTGTCTGGGTGTGTTCTGGGAGGTAGCCTGCCCACATTAATTGATTACTTCAATAATTATGTATTGAGAACTTGGTATCAGGTAACTCTGTCATGTGCTAAGGACATAAGTCACAGCTCTCTCCCAAGGATATATTTCAGTGGAAGGAACAGAACAACACACAGAGTAATGTGGATAGGGACAGTCTTCAGTGACACAAGTGGAGCATTGATTTGCTCTGTATGAGACGGGAAAGCTTCAGAAAGAGGCACTGGTGGAAGGCTCTCAGGCCATACCTGACCCATGAACTCGGTGGGCACACGGGGAACTGTGGCATGTCGGTGGGTGAGCAGAAGCTAGTGAAGCTAGATGAAGAGCAATTACAGTTTGGATTTCCCCGAGTCTTTGTGTTTGGTCACCAGCCTGTAGTGCTAGTAAGAGGCTGGGGGACCTTTAGGCAGTGGGGCTTGCTGGGAAGAAGTTAGGTTCCTGGAGACATGTCCTTGAAGGAGATATTGGGACCCCAGCCCCTTTTCTCTCTCTTTGCTTTCAGCTGCCATGAGGTGGGCAAGGGTCTTCCACCAGGAGTTCCTGCCATCATGTACTGTGTCACCACTGACCTAAAGCTACAGGGCCAAGTGACCATGGACTGAAATCTCTGAAACCATGAGCCAAAAATAAATCCTTTCTTTTTTATAAGTTGATTTATCTCAGATATTTGTCACAGTGACAGAAAGCTGACTAACAGTGGGGGGCTGTCAGAGCAAAGACCCTAGTAAGGAAGGAAGAGCCGGGTGACATGCCGCAGTGTTTGCGTTTTAAACTGGAGGCAACCCTGGGTGTTCTGAGAAAGCAGGGGAAGGAGTGCTGAGACTCTGGGTATGGAAGGTAAAGTGGAACACTGGAAAATTGCATAATGATAGTGGCAGACAGCTCCAGAGTGGTCCTCACTGACTCAGCCCCACCGTGTGCTGCTCCCTGGGTTCCCAAGATGGTAGTGGTATCCTCTCTCACACGGAGATTGTTACCACTTTTGGCTGAGGCCCTTAGGAATGTCCAGGTCATCTCGATTATTCTCCAAAGAGCTAAAGCTCTATGCCACCATCTCCTTGCTCTACCCTGAGGGTTAATGAAGGGGTTAATTAGTGACCATGCAGAGAAGCAACTTAACTCATGTAGTCAGTCACTGTTGTAAATAATTAGAAAAAAGAAGAAAAGAGGAATAGAAGAATGAAAGTGCAATTATTATTTTTTAAAATTAAAAAATTATATATATATATATTTTAAAGGTAGCCTTAAGAAGGACCAGGGAAGATGCAGTGAAGCTAAGCCAAGTGCCCACACCCCTGTCTCTTGGTGTCCCACCAGCCCTGGGTGCTCATGCCCAGGTAATGGAATCTATGGTGTCCCTTAGATCTTGCCCATGAAGGGGAGAGGATGAATAATTGCAAGGTTACTTATTGAATAAGTTCCAAAGTTACTTTGAAGCTTTCCCCATATTTAGTATCCAGGTTATTCCATGTCTCAGAACATGGCAGGATTAAGAGTTGGAACCAGAAAGCAATCCAATTAAAAACTTGGTGTCAATTCCTGCAGGTGACTGTGTCCTAGAATTAGACCTCAGGCATGGCACCAATTAAGACTTCCATATCCTGAAAGGAACTCATGGAAATGTCATGCGGGAAGGTGCCAAGGTATCAGCTGATGGGAGGTATGAGCAGCCACAGGCCAGTCCTCAGGGCTGCGGTGGTGGAGACAGGCTTCGCTGGGGGCTGGGGGTCTTCACTCACCTGTAGATGTCTCGGGCCATTCCAAAGTCCCCAATCTTTGCTATTCTTCCACTGCCAGGACAGGTCAGGAGGCAGTTCCTGGCAGCAATGTCCCTGGGAAGAAAACCATGAGAAAAAGGGTTTCCTAATTTTATTCAGTGAAGATATGTGTATAGTAGCCATGACTAGGGCTTTTACCTCCAATCTGGTGAAAGCCTCCTCTTTCCTACACTTCGTTTGGTATCTTAGACTTCAGTGTGAAAGAATTTCAGGCCTCAAAACTAACAGGGAAATGGGAAGAGAGCAGGGGAAACAATTGAAAATGCTTAATGGGATAACAATAATGAAAATAGCTATAATAACAGTAGCAATTTATGGGCCTCTTACTATGTGCTAAGCATGTTTTAGGTCCTTCACGTCTAATTCTCACAACCCTGCAAGACACAGGGTGCTATTAATATCTTCATTTTATTAAAAATTTGAGCCAAAAATTTGATGCCCGATGATATATGGGCATAAGAAATGCTTTTTGACCTGAAGCTGTTAGCTACAGACCATGGGTTGGTTTTTGCCAGTTGTTTGAAGGAAAGTTCTGGAACAGCATGACTTCCATGATATCTGATTCAAGTAGGTTACAATATACCCCGATATTTCTAGTTTTAAAAGAAGTAGCCATGGTGTCGCCTCCAGGCTTTGCTGAGCTCCATGGCTGGAGCATCACTTCTTTTAGGTCACAAGGCTGGCTTCTTTGTCATCAGGTTCCCTGTGGCTCCCTTTCCTGCAGTATGCCTCTGAGGCAGGATCAGAAGCCTTCCGAGACTGTCCACTTCAAATCTCCCACTGCTCACCCAGTGACCTGCACGTGGGCATCAAAGCTGCAGCCAGAAGTCTGGAAAGGGTCCCTAATAATTTTTAAGTTCTATGCAGAAATCACAAGAAGTACTTTAGGCAGCACAGGTGGGTTTTATATTTTCGGGTGACTTCACGAGTGTTCTGAACCTTGGTTGAGAAAGAACTTGGAAAGTAAACAACTGGTTGTTAAGATGTATTAAAAAAAATGATCCAGATCATGGATCATGGCTTAGGATCCAGAATAACGGCAGGGATGGGAAATGAATGTTATTAATGCCACTGACCTGATCCCTAAGGTTTAAGTTGAAAATTGAGGAGTATTGGTTCATAAAATGACCCAATAAAATCACAAAAGCATAACAGGAATGACATCAAAAAAGAAAAAAAAAACAACTATTGTATAGAGAGCCATCAATTCTAAAGAGAAATAGAGCAAACTGGACTAGAAATGGTATGTATGGCTCCAGAAGGGTTTTTGCACTGATGCGTATGGAATGGTTACTTAAAAAATGATCTTGAACTTGATAAGGTATTGTAATATTATAGAAGACACCAAGAATTGGTAGGGTGACACACCGTTCTTGAAATTGCTGTATGCCATGGCCAAAGAAAACAGATTTAATGAAACCAAAAAAGAGGGGAGCCAGTGGCTGTAGTGAAGGGGTTCCTCTGAATTCAGAGGTGTACACGTATGGAGGTCCATACACTGAGTTCCACAGAGACAGCGCTGGAGCAAGTTAGAGCTTAGCGGGCAGCTGTATCCCACTGACTAAAACAAAACAGGTCAACGTGGGCATAGGACATCCTAAGGAACCAAGAGGCAAAAATGTCATCAGACACATTCTTTGTGCAAACTTGCAGGGAGGAGCACAAGAAGAAATTCCCAGATGCAGCAGTTAGCTTCTCAGAATTTCTATGAAGTGCTCAGAGAGCCGAAAGACCTTGTCTGCTAAAGAGACAGAGAAATTTGAAAACATGGCAAAGGTGGACAAGGACCATTATGAAAGGGAAATGAAAACCTCAATCCCTCCTGCAGGGGAACCCCAAAAGGAGATCAAGGATCTTAATGCACTCGAGAGACCTCCACTGGCCCTATTCTTGTCCTGTTCTGAGTATTGCCCCCAAATGGAAGGATTTGGTAACGTGGTAAAGAAGCTGAGAGAGATGTGAACTAGGGCTGCTGCTGAGGAAGCCTCTGAGAAGACTGAGAAGCTGAAGGGAAAGTATGGGAGGACAGTGGTGCCCACTGGGCTACAGGAGGGCCCGGAGGAGCAAGAGAGGGGGTGCCGGGGCTGAGGGAAGCAAGTGAGAGGTAAGAGGAGGAAAATGAAGAGGAGGAGGAAGAGGAGGAAGAAGAAGAGGATGGGAATAAGTTGGTTCTGGTGCAGGGTTTTCCTTGTCCATAGAGCATTTAACTCCTTTTAAAGAAAAAAACTGAAATGTCTCAGTGTAAGGTTTGTTTTTAAAGTGTACAGTGCCTTTTTTTTTTTGATATCATTAACACCCTACCAAATATATCTCTAGATAGAAAAAAACCAAACCAAACCAAACCAAACCAAAACAAACCAACCAATCTGAGGTCCTTGCTTTAGCGCTATCTGTTGTCATATGTGAAAATGTGAACTCCTTTTACTTCCCCCTAAGGAGCCCAGTTTTCTACTGGGGCAACCATAGGTGATCTAGAACTTGAACATTCAAAATGCAGGAGTCCCCACAGGAGGCTCAGAATACCCTACAGGCCAGGGGGCGTGCACCATGCCCATTTCACACACGGGCAGGGGAGGCCCTGAGCCAGTTGCTCTCAGTACAAACAGCCGAACCGTCCAGACAGCTCTGGAGAGAGGACGCTCTTCCACTCTGAAGAGAGAGACCTGGCCCTGGAGAGCGTGGGGAAGTGTGCCGAGGTGGCAGGAAGAGCGAGGCGTCTGACTCACCGGTGGATGAAGTGGTTTTCCTCTAGATACTGACAGCCACAGGCAATGTCCCGAGCTACATGCAGAAGGTCCAGCATGGCCAGGGAGGAGGGCTGATTCTGTGAGGAGACAGAAGTGATCCACTGATGGACCTCTTGGGGGACAGAGAAGATGGAAACTGGCTTCTGCTTGCCTGGAGGCTGGCTGCAGACGGGCTGCTCCACAGGGGCCTCTGTCTTGGCCACACCCTAGAAATCAGCTGGAAGCTCTTTAAAAATACAGAGGCCTGGCCCCAACCAGCCCAGGCTCCCACCTCTGTCGGGGGGCTCAGCTCAGTCCATGTGCAAGCTCCTCCGGTGATTCTAACCTGGGGCCAGCCTCGGATGCTCAGGATGCAGGACTCTAGCCTGTGGCCCCTGTCCGTTCCTTTTTACCTTGTTCTGCACATCCTATCTCAAGCCTTAGAAACATTTGAGTACCCCAAGTTTATCAACAAGCCTGAAAGGAAACTGACCAGGGGAATAACATTTTATTCCCCTGGCATAAATGCTCTATCTAAATGTCTTAAAAATATTTTTAAAAACTTCAAGAAGATCTAGATCTAAAGTGATTCTAAAAAGAAAAGCTTTTAGAAAAGGCTGGGCAATTGATGATGATGATGATTACTATTGGTATCAGGAATTGAACCCAGGGGCTCTTAACTAATAATCCACATCCTCAGTCCTTTTTATTTTCTATTTTGAGATAAACACTCACTAAGTTGTTGAGTCTGGCTTTGAACTTGGGATCCTCCTGCCTCAACCTCCTGAGCTGCTGGGATTACAAGTGCGCCTCCGTGCCTGGCTAAGGGTGGCCAATTAAGGGCCGCCACCTCAGGCTGCTCTGTACAAAATCTTTTTCATGCAAAAAGAAATAGCACACGCCTTGGGACATGTCCCTCTTGACCCCTTAGCCCACTTGAGGGACGTGAAGACTCTTCTGTCGGTGACATCTATCTTAGTCTCTCTCTCTCTCTCTCTCTCTTTTTTTTTAGTTATTGACAGACTTTTATTTAATTTATTTATATGTGGTGCTGAGAGTTGAGCCCAGGGCCTCACACATGCCAGGCAAGTGCACTACCACTGAGCCCCACCCTAGCCCCTGTCTTGTCCTCTTTTAATGCCCCAGCCCCAGGGGCCTGCAGCAGCAGACTGTCGTGCAGGGTCCTATCTACTTCACTTATTATCCTGTGCTTATTTTACCATGTCCCCAAGTAGGATGCTTTGAGGGTTGTGAGACAAGATTCCCATCCCACGTTGCTGGGCGGATTCCAGGTGCTCAGTGAGTATTGGTGGTCAATTGGCTGATTATGGTTCTGTGGACTAGGATTTGCCCAGAGGTTGTGTTTCAATGATCTATGCAAGAAGCGTAGGTGGGCCATCAAATCAAATCCCCTGGTGTGGTTTGGATGAGTGTCTGCCAAAGGTCCATGTGGTAAAGGCTTGGTCAACAGGGTGTGGTATTGGAAACAGAGTGGGCCTAGAGGGATGTCCTTAGGTCACTAAGTGTGCCCCTGAAGAGGGTTGTGGAACCCAGTCCCCAGTCTATTTCTGTTTCCTGGCTCAGGATATAAGTGGTTTGCTCTACCATGCACTTCCATGATGCCTGTCTCAGAGACCCAAAGCAATCGGACCACCTGACCTTGGACTAGAACCTCCAGAACCATGATCCAAAAATGACCATTTTCTCTTGTAAGTTAATTGCCTTAGGTGTTTCATTATAGTAACAGGAAGCTGACTAATATACCCTTTTAGCACTGTGTTGGATTGTTTCAGCCCCAGAGAGGTAGAAGCTGGTGACTCTGGGTCATATGGGCAAACTCCCTACAGGAAATTTCTGCTCGCTGTTCTATTTTGTTCCTCCTAAGAAACTCAGAGACCTTTCACCTTTGGCTTCATTGAATGCTCAAGGGTAGGACAAGAACCGTGCTCTTTAGTTCTGAGGAACCCAGAGGGAAGTCACCTACCAGACAGTAGTAGTGTCACCCAGGTCTGCCTGAAGAGGCTTTCTTTGCCCCTGGTCAGGCCTCCCAGGGCTCCACACAGCTGTGACTTGGTCTGGAGGAGGCAGGAGAGGGTCCTGCTTCTGTAGGCTCTGCTTCATGGGGCAGACAATGTAGGAGGGCAGATCCTCTGCTGCTGCCTTGCATGCAAGTCTGTGGAGAAGCTCCCCTTTGATGCAATGGACAGTGTGGTATGTAGAGAAGGCTAGCTCCTTATTAAAGGTGAGGATGCCAAAGGCTCAGAGAGGTTAAGTGATCACTCCAGGGCACAGAGGATTAAGGTAGAACCCAAACTTCCCAGAGCTGGGCTTTAAGAATCTGAGTTGGGGGCAGCAGGATTTAAGTAGTTAAAATTGAGCTTCTTAAAAAAGACTGCTGAAGGATGGATGGAGGATATGTGAACACAGAGCACAATACCTTGAACATAGACTACAACACCGCACACAAACACAGAACATCATATAGCAGTGGTCAGTCAAGCTGACCTGGGCTTCACCCTGCCTGTTATCCCTTAGTAGCCATAAGATCTGGGGCCCTTTGCTCAGCCTATTTCTGAGCAGGTTCCCCATCTCTGACAAGGCCTGGTGCTGTGGATTGCCAGGAGGGCCACCCAGAGGCGCAGAGGGACTCCTCGTGGGGCCTGCAGTTCTCTAGGTGGCAGCGGGGAGGCTCAGGAGCCCTCCAGGGTTTGGCTCCTCTGGGGTCTTCACTGGGGCCTGATGTATGGGGCACTGTGAGAGACAGTCCGACCTCCTGGGGACAAGAAAAGCAGCGTATCTCCATGAAATAGCCCTCCATCTCACTACAGGATTAGAACTATCTTTTCTCTCCTCAGGAGAATGCTTCTGTTCCCACGAAAGGAGGACCTGGTCCCAGCTGAGGGAGAGCCTGGAGGAAGCAGAGCCTCTGTCACTCAGGATCCAGGATCACTGATGTCTCCGATGCCCGGGGCCTGAGCACTGCGGGGACGGCAGAGCGCCATGCCTTAGCGCAGGGCCAGGTTTGCCAGGGCTCCCGGCCTTCCCCTGCTCAGAGCAACGACCTGCCTCACTAAGCAGCGGGCACAGCGGTGGTCAGCCACCTGTGGGGAGGTGTGAGTGTGTGTGGTTTGTGCATACATATGGGTGTGCTGCACATGTTCTGGGTGTGCATGTGTGTGGTGTGCATGGGGGGACAGGGTGACATGTGACACTGTGGCAAAACCAACCCCTACACTAGCAGTGTGGAGCAAAGCCAGCCGGTGGTGTACTTGGTGCCACTGGTGTTTGGCTGGGGCAGAGGAGTGGGAATCAGGATTTTACCCGCCATCTGCCTGTGGATGGTGGCACTTCTTTGGCCACCAGATGGTCTTCTCACAGGACACCTGTGGACAGAAGCTGTGGGGCTCAGCGAGGATCTGGTCTGGGATTTCCCAAAGGAGGATTGTGGGTCGGAAATGGAAGATGAAGTAGACATGGGAATCCCTGGCCAGGTAGGTGTCTTGGTGACATGAATGATCAGTCTTTATGTTGTGGCTTTGAAAGTCTTTTGGACCCCAGAAGTCTTGTGTGGGTGAGTGTGTAGCTCTGCAGGGCACCGGTGTTCCTTTTAGGAACACCATCTAGGCGGATAGCCCTTTTTTCTAGGCTAGGAAGCAGGACTGGTTTCTTCGGTGTCACAGGAGGGGCTTCTCCTAAAAGATAACATGTATTAATAAAAGATACACAAATATTAGTATCTCTCCTTTTTGGGGGGGGGGTGTCTGAGGACTGACCCCAGGGCCTTGGGCAGTGCTAGGTGAGCACTCCACCACGGAGCCACACTCCAGCCTGTCTCATTTTACTACTTAGATGGAGGATCACAAGACATGGGGAAGGAAATCTACCAAGTGAAAACAGAATGGGGTATATTTTAAAATTGGCACATATAAAGATGAATGGAGGAGACAAAAGCAGCAAAGAATGTAGACAGGGAACCCCAAAGATACAAAGCAAGTTTTCAAGCTGATGAGAAGTTTATGCTCCTGGGCCCTCATGATTCCTGCCTCCTGATGGGGACCGACTCTTCCTTGGCACCAGAGGACCTGGCTTGCTTGGAGCCAGCATTGATATTGTCCAAGCCAGAGCCAAAGATTTAAACCTGAGCATGGTCCCTATCAGAAGTTCTCACCCCCCAACAGTAGGACCCAAGAAGTCAGCTGTGCACTGAGCGACTTGTATGGAGCCATTACCTGTAAGTGTTACCATGATCCCAAAAGATTCAGACCCCATTGTGGTTGACAACCTACACCTTCAATAAGGAGATTCACTGGGCTGGGTTGCATAGCACAGGCCGGAATCCCAGTGACTTGGGAGGCTGAGGCAGAATTGTAAGTTCAAGGCCATTCTGGGCAACTTAAAATAAAACATAAAAAAAGGGGCTGGGGGTGTGGCTCAGTGGTTAAGTAACCCTGGGTTCAATCCCTGCTGGTATATATTTTAAAAAAATCACTAACTTTCTCTTGGCTTTTGTCATCAGAGAATCAATGGATACTAGAAGACAGTTATTACCTGTACCTGGCATACAGTAAAGCCTCAATAAATATTTGCTGAATGAATATTAGTTCTGCACAAAGTTTTTTGACATTAAATAGAAACCTTTGTTCTTGGAGAGGTGGGGACATAGGTTCAAGCAACGTTTTCATCTGTACTGTTAATTTCATTTCCATGGCAGACATGGCTGGTCTGTCCATCATGTTTGTACATCTGTCACTCCATGTCTACACTCGTATCTGAGGTCAGAGCCCCTTCGACCATTTCTAAGGGTCTCTGATCCTGATATAAGTTCTATGGAACTGCAGAGCCCCGGGGCCAGTGCCCTTGTCTGAGTCTGCCCTCAAGCTTGGTCCCTGCACACAGAGACCATCAGGAACCCCCCGAGGGTCTCAGAGTGAGTCACACATGTGAATCCTGTGGAATTCAGGGCTTCAAGCCAGTCAGTTCAAGAACCTGGGGGTGCAGCTCCACCCACCCCCTCTCTAGGGAATGTGTTTCTCTGCCCCAATGTCCCCTGGCCACCTTGCTTCTGTGGAGGAGGTACTGGTATTAGCCCCTTCAGCCCCCTAGAAATGATGTTCCTTTCTCCCTAATGCTCATCTTTCTAAGTTGCCACTTGCAGTCCCTTGGGAGCCCAACAAATCCCCTGACCCCCTGGAGAAAGGGTTGTCACAAACATACTAGCCCACGCTGCTTTGGAGGGCTGAGCTGCAGCAGGTGAAGCCTGATGCATTATAATGCACCAGTAATAACAAAGCAGTGGGTTTGGTGACCCTGAGAAACTGCTCTCTCAAGAGTGGAGTCATCCCCATCACAGGCATCCTCCGGGCAGTGCCTGCTGCTGGAGGTTGGAACTGGGCAGCGGGTCCCTGCTCTGACCTGCCTGAGGGTAATGCTCTGGGGGGTGCCTTTCCTTGCTGGTGCTTTGTTCTTTGGATCCTGTTTAAATGTTTAAATCCTAAACCATCCGTATCCTCCAAGGAGAGAGCCACCTTTGTTTGTAGGAGATAGAAAAGCCCCTCTCCCTGCTCCTGCCCCTTCCACCCCAAGGTCCTCAGACTTGAGAAGTGATGGGTTCCCAGCCTCCCCCTCCAAGGAGGTCTCTCCCCTCTCTGTGCTTTCTGAATCTCAGTCACATCCCACTAGGAAAACCAGACCTGGGCCTCTTCCCAAAGTGTGATGCCACTCGTCCCCATGAGACCTCTGCCAGCAGCCCTGTTGAGAATCTCAGGGCGTGAGGACTGAGGGCTCTGTCTGGCTGGGTGGCGGTGGCAAGCCAGAGAAGCTGGCACCTTGGCAGAGACCCCAGATGGCCGGCAGGGTTGCCTCTCACGGCTTCCCAGAGGACCATCCAGATAAACAGCATGAGGGGCTGGAGAGAGAGAGCCCCGAGCCTGGAGTCCCAGCCCTGAGCTCTCGTTCCAGCTTTTCTACTTCCTGGGTGGCCTTGGGAGGCAACAACCTCTCTGGGACACAGTGTTCTCATCTGTAAGATGGGGGTGAGACCTGCACTGTCCCCTTCATGGGGTGGAAGCCGTGATGAAGACGGTCGTGCTGAGGAGGGCTCCTAGGAGATGGGTTGGTCCTCCCCACCCCCTCTTTCTCCTGCATGCACCCCATCTTTTCCAGGACTAAGATTGGATCCTTCTTGGATGCCCCATGGGTCCCCCAGGGGCCTGTAGAGACAGTACCCAGGTTCCTCAGGCAGAGGTATTTAAAATGAACCTGATGGGATGTGAAGCACTGTGACCCCCAGGGTTTCTGCCACCCACTTTAAGTCCCTGTGAGCCGCGTGGCCACTCAGGGTTTTCTGCAGCAGCATGGAGGCCAGTCTTTCTCTGCTTCCCTGGGGTGGAGAGGGTGGCTCCGCTCTCATGGTGCTAGTCTTTCTTGTGCTGGCTCCTTGAGGAAGCCCAGATCCTAACCCTGTATGTGCTCTGCTCCAGCTAGGAGTGACCAGCGCCTCTTGGAGGCCCAGCAGAGACAGGAGCTTCACTCGGGGACAGGGGCAGTGCTGCATTTTATCATTTCAGACCTCTGAGCCGGGCGAGTCTGACCCTCGGGTTTCACCTGTGTTGACTGTCCTATGCCAGGGGCGTCTGGTGGACGTATGGCATCCGATGGTCACACAGGGCTGGAGCTGGGGCTTCCTGGACTCCTCCAGGTTCTTTACACCCCAAGCTCTCTCCCCTTATCTGTGACATGCAGCACCTTCCTAAATATTTCAGCGCTTTCTTTTTGGAGTAAAACTATTACTACAGGAGATTGGCTATTATTTTCCCTATATGAGAGGTGACGTCACTGGGTTTGGAATAAATGGATGGGAATGGCCTGCCCCAGGCCAGTCTGTTGTGTTAGTGATGCAGCTGGCACCAAAGTCCCCCTCTGAGTTTGTCTTGGGGTTGATGTTCCAGCATCATAGGCCGTAAGAAGGGAGCCAGCCTACAAAATCCACTGCGGAGTCCTGCACAAATTTCTAGGGCTTGGGCTTGGGCTCAGCCTTTGTTCCCAATCTGGCCATTGCGCTCCACCCAGACCCTACTGTCCAAGCCCAAGGCTGACTCCCAGGGCCCCGTCCAGCATGCTGCTTCCCAGGCTGCCCACTCTTGCTCCCCCTGATCCTGCTCCTCTCCTCCACTCAACCACCAGATGGAAGACCTTCTCACTCACCGGGCGAGGGCGCGTCTCCCGCAGGAAGGACTTGAGGTCTCCTCCAGCCATGAGCTCCAGCAGGATAAATCGTGGCAGGGCTTGAAGACTCACCCCGATACAGCGCACAATGTTCTGGTGGTTGAATTTGCTGTGGAGCAGAGGGGTGCAACCAAATTTAACTGGCTGGGTCTAGGACAATCTTGAGAGAGAAGCTTTCAGCAGCCACATCGTGTAGGCACTGTCCTGTAGGGGATGGCAGCAGGGTCCCCTGCAGGGAAGGGGGGAAGAAGAGGCCAGCCTGCCCGGAGTTTAGTTTGCAGGAGAGCATTTTGTTGGCGAGGGAGGATGTTGCCCAGGCCCTGGGGTGAGAATGCATGTGTGTGTTGGGGGGAGCAGGGTAGTGTCTTTCTCAGATGAACAAATTCCTGTGGAGTTCTCTAAGGAAGGTGTCAGGCAAAAGGAGCTGCTGGGTGCAGTGGCACACACCTGTAATCCCAGGCAGGAGGATTATAAATTCAAGGTCAGCCTAGGAAATTTAGCAAGACCCTAAGCAACTTAGCAAGATCCTGGCCCCCAAATGAATGAATGAATGAATGAATGAATAAAAGGAGGGAGTGCTGGGGATGTGGCTTGGTGGTAAAGTACCTCTGGGTTCAATCCCCAGTACAAAAAAATTAAAATAACATAAAGTAAATTGAAGGACTGGCTTCTTAGAGGATTGTATGAGACCTGTCAGGTGACAGCATGTGAACTAGAGCCAGGAATAGGGGTCTCATGGGAAGAAAAGGGACTGAGTTGGGACAAGAGGCCTTGAGATTTGGTTTTCTTGTTCCCATGATCCTGGTAGGATACGTAGGGCAGTGGGGCTAGGGAAGTCAACATGGGCGGAGACACACGTGCACACATACACACACACACATACACACACACTTGTGAGAATGGGTGACTACACTATTGCCAAGCAGTGAGCTTGGTTCTCCTTCCAAGTGATCTCATACTTTTCAATTTTATTCAATAATCCTGTATTACACGTACAATCAGAAAGTAAATGTTATTTTAAGGCAATGTGCAGCCCTTACTGCGTGTCTTCCTGGGGCCCCCGAGTCCACCAGTCCCTCCTTCTCACTGCTCTGCCTTGATTCCTGGCCACCATCCACCACAGGGAAGTCCCAGGCCGCCCCATCTGTCAGGATGTTTAGAGGCTTCTCTAAGCCACAGGAGGCTGTGAGCCCCCAGCAGATCAAGTTCAAACTTCTGCCTCCTTCAGAGGAGCTGCTGCCAGAGCAGATGCTTCAGGAGCCAAGCGCTGAGATCCTAGCTGACATCCAGGCCCAGAGCCTCAGGGGGCTGAGTCCAGGGGGCTGAGACTCAGTTGTGCCATTGCGGACCCAGGGTGGGTGTTCTTCTATCACATTAGGGGTGTGATTCCTTTATAGTAGATCCATGAGCTGGGTGGGAAAAGGGCTTTGGTTCCAGAAGAACCACTTGGGGGGAGATTGTATCTCCTCTGGTCAAAACCTCACATGCTCTATTTCTTCAGAAGAACTGGGGGAAATAAGAACCAGTGGAGGACCCCAGGGATGCGGCTGCAGGCAGAGTTGTAGCAGTCGGATTATCAGGCCACACAGATGATTTTTGAGACAACCCCTGGGGCTTGTACACTTAGGAAGAAGCATCAATAGCACTAGAAAGTTTTCCCTTGGGAGGAAGGGACATGTGGGGGCCTTTTCCCTTGGAGAAGTTTGTAGAAGCCTCTAATGTTGTTGGAGGCAGGGGGAGGCAGGCTGGGGGTCCCTCTGTGGCTTTACCTGATGATCAGGGCCTCCATGAGGAAGTCCAGTTCATCCTGTTCCGAACACACCTCCGGCAGCGTCTGGGCACAGAAGGGGAGGGTGGGAAGAAGGAAGAGGCTGTGAGGTGAGAGCTGTAGCCCACAGAGATCACAGGCCAAGGTCAGGTCCAATAGGGAGCCACCTCTTACCTTTACAGCCACCTGCAGGGGGCTCGGGTCATTGGGCATTCCGGACACCTGGCCCTCATATACCTCCCCAAATGCACCATGGCCCAGACCCCTGTGCAAAGAGAAGAAAGATTTTAAGTGGGCCACAGTACAGAGGCAGCTGGGGCCCCCAAGTCCAAGGGTCACATTCAGTGGACACACATGAGAGGCTAGGGCTGACATATACACTCAGCCCTGGCTTCGCTCTGTGATCCTGGGCCTCTAGTCTTTATCTGAATCTGGTAAGCAGGGTTCTGCTACCATCTGGCTATGGCTTGAGTGTGTCCCCCATTGCCAGGTACCAGAGGGTGGAAACTCACCCAGCTATCATGATCAAAGGTGGGGCCTGTGGGAGGTGAGGAGGGTTACATAAGGTCATTAGGGTGGAGCCCCCAGGATCGAATCCTGGTAGCAGTAGAGTCCAGAGGGTACACACACTATCCCTGTCTCCCAATGTCCGGCACTGCCTCTGCCAGTAAGTAGGACATCACCAAATGTGGCCCTAGACCTCAGACCTCCAGAACTCTGAGCCAAAATAACTCTTTAGTTTATAACTCACCCAGCCTGTGGTACTGTGTTATTGGCAATAACCAATTGCCAACGGACCAGTGTAGGTTTGAACCAGGGATTTATCATGTTCAAGTGTTTATTCATTCAGTGACTAGTAAAGGAGTCTCTGGTATTTTCCAGGGACACAGAGGTGAGTAGGACACGGTTCTTGCCTGGAAGAGGCTCCCATTTCCTGGGACAGTGACAGATCACTGTCAGATACTTGCTGGGGACTGTTGTAATGCATGACAGGGATGGACAGGGTGCTCAGGATGCTCAGAGGAGGGCCATTCTGCCCCAGAGAGGGGTAAGGGACCAGGGGTCCTCTGGGAGGGGTGTTCAAACAGAATTTGAAGAGAACCCTGGTTTTTCCCAGGGATTCTTCCTGTCATTGCATGAACTCCATAAATACATAGGGTGTCAACAAACCCCCTGGACAGTCAGCCTTGTCTCTTTGGGGGGCTGGGGGTACCACCAGGAATGCTTTGCTGAGGCTAGAGGAATCCATGGCGCTGTGATGACATCCCACTCCCTAGACACCCCCCAACCCACCGAATGAGGGAGATGTTTTTCCGGGGCACTTCTTTCAGGTCACTGATGGAGGAGGTCTTGCCGGCAAAGCAGTAGTTGGGGTTGTAGTCGGTCATGATGGTGGAGGTGCGGAGCTTGCTCAGCTTGTACTCGGGGCTCTGCAGCTCCATCTGCATGGCTTGCAGCTCCTGGTGCTTGCGGCGGTACACTGCAGACAAAAGGAAGCCAGTTGAAATGCGGCCTGGACCAGGCGCCCTGGCCATTGAAGCCCAGCATGGGCCACCTCCTCCAGGAAGCATTCCAGGAGTTCCAGGTCCTCCCCTGAGCTCTAAACTTTTCTATCACACTAAAATGAAAGCACCCGTGAAGCTTAAAATTGCATAAATGGAAAAGATTTTATTGGCCACACAGGGGCAGATTTATGTTAGTCTGGGTCCCAAGGTAAAATTAGATGTGCTGGGATTTTATGTGAAGGGAAAGGGCGAAGGAGCTGAAGGCTGAGGGCCAGCCAGTCAGACTTGACCCCATGTGAAGGAGAGACGAGAAGCTTGGGTAGAAGCATCCTAGAGGACAAGCAGTCTAAGGTCATTCTGGTGAAGCCCTTGGGGAGTTTTGAGGCCCAGCTGGGCCCACAGGAAAGTCCCAGGTGTCCCAGAACTGGGCTTGCCATTGCACTTCTGAGGTGCTCACCCGCGGGGTGAGGTGGCCTCCATGCATACACAGCCGGGGACGGGCAGTGGCTGTGGACTTGGTCAGCCGTGTGCCCCATGGCCCTAAGAACTGGCAGGTCACATGGATGGAGAAGAGCCAAATGGTGAAAAGTCACTGAACTGGGGTCTGAAGATCAGTTAGGAGCTGAGTGAGGCTGACCTGGCCACTTGACCTCTCTGGACCTTGCTGTCTTTCTCTGGACAGTAATTCCTCCCTGTTTCCCAAGTCCCCCGATGCCCCACCCCTAGGGTTGTCATAATGAAATGCATTCACTATCATAAAATGGTTTCAAAGAGTTCTAAAGCACTCTGCCATGGGAGTGGTGTGATTGTGTCACTGCTGTCTCTGCAGATGCCCCCTAAGGCTAACTCCGGGGGCAGAGAGACCATTGATTTAGAGCAGATTCTGCTGGTACCACCCAGCCCCACCTCTTATTGGCTTGGGCAAGTACTGCCCATGGTCAGCTGTGATGTGCTCAGTCCCCTCTGCCAGGAAATGCACCAGCCATGAGCATAGGATTTTTCTTTTCTTGATGGGGAAGGGAAAAAAGAGAGGCTGTGCCTTGTACGCGGAGGACAAGGAACGTGGAGGGGCCCATGGGGGAATGGGAGGGTGTGGGCAGTTAAAAAGGCTGACACCAGGAGTGAGTGGAAAGAGGTGGAGAGTGAAGGAGGGGTCAGACGGGGAGAGGGCAGTGCTGTCCCCTCCCCTTGTTTTCTTCAGGAGCAACTCAGAGTCCCCTTGTCATATTTAGTGATATGAAATGCTCAAATTGCTAGGCACGCAGTAAGTGTGCAAGGTGTGTTATCTCTTATTCTCCTGTCCTTTTGAAGGATGGCACCATATGGGGACACAACATGGGCTGCCATCTCCTTGTCCGTCCGCAGCCTCTCTTGCCCTGAGGGGGCAGGCCTGCAGATGCTGCCAGCGGCCTTTCCCTGGCCTGTCCTCTTGTCCCTGTCTGTCTGCCCTGGGCCTCCAGCTGCCAGCACTAGGCCAAGCTGGATCCTGCTGAGCTCTGGGGCCTCAAGGTGAGCTCAGGTCAGCTCACCTTGGCCGAGTGGGGAAATCCCTGGAGACCAGCTTCCTGTTCCCTCTGCTTGGGTGGGAGGGCCTAGGGAGTGGACCACACAGGGCCTGCGCCTGCTGAAGCACATAAGAGCTGAGGGCCACATCTGGGGGCAGAGGGAGTGTGTCAGCCCCCGCAGGGTGGCTGCTGAGGAGTACCTCTCATCCCCTTGAGCAGTCAGGAGGCCACACTTGGGGCTGAGGGTAAGGCTCCATGTCTCTTTAGGGAACTGCCCCTCTGGTGGGTGGAGGGGCTGGGGATTTCTTTTCTGGCTTGACCAGGGCTGCCTTCCTCACCACTAAGGGGGTAGCTTACTGGTATAAAACCAGGGTGTACAGGGACTAGTGGGACAGAGTGACACCTTGGTGTCCTCTGCATGGCCTGAGACACATTCACCTCTGCCAGCCCTGCCTGCTGCGATTAGAAGCCCCAAGGCTCTGACACACTCACCAATCATGATGCCGGAGAAAGCCAGGACAAGGGCGGCCACCAGGGCAGAGGTCACAACGGAGAGGATCAGCGAGAGTGGCAGGTGGGGCTCCGGGGTAGGTGACACTGGAAGACAGGTCCCAAGGGGGCATTGACAATGGCACTGCTTCTCCTCTGAGTTGGCCTCAAGTCACAGATATCCTCCCTAGCTGGGACAAAAGCCAACTGGTGCTTTTCATCCTGTCACACCTTCTTTTTTTTTTGGGGGTGTGGGGGGACCACTGGTACAACGCAGGCACATCCTGGATTTACAGGCCAACTGTAGCTTTTGGGTGGAGGGAAACTTGAACAGGAATGAGCATCAAATTCTGGGTGTTAGTCTAAAACATCCACTGTCCCAGTGTAGGAGGAAGAGGAAGGAGAAAGGGAAGTGGATGCAGAAGAGATTTGAGGACCTGAGAGGACGCCACCCTCGGTAAGACCCAACAGTAGACTGCCCTCAGTGACACCCTCAGGCCCAGGACAAGTCCAGGAGGGTCCCAGGCTCCCCCTGCTGGCCAGCCCACATGGAGGCATCTGGCCCTATAGCGGTCACAACTCTGGAGGGGCGATGGCACCTGGAACACATGCAGGTGAGGGACAGCAGGGGAGGGACGGGGCACACAATTGAATCTGTATGATCAAAACAAACAGAATATTTAATCTGGAGACGGTTGAAAGGAAAAAGAAGTCCTGTCTTCACACCCACACCTGAAAGCTGTGGTGACTTGAACATGGATGACCCCTTTGTGGAGATGTCCCAAGTGAGGGATCAAACTAGATGACTTTAAGACTCCTTCAGGGGCCACAGCCCATTTTCCTATAAGGTCCCACAGCACTGGCAGTCGAGGGACAGGGTGCTTACAAAATTGAGTCGGTGTGTCCCCAAACCATGGAAAGCAAGTGCTCAAGGTCCAGTTCTCTTTCCCCGTCCATCCTGTCCCCTTACCAATGCAGGAGACGCCGTCTTCAGCCAGCACTGTCCCATGGTCACAGAAGCAGATGACCTTGTGGCTCTCGGGGTCCATGTGACATTCGTCTACCTCACAGTGACTGCAGTTTAGGTAATGCTTAATATTCACTTCCCCGTGGCCCTCCATCACTGGTGACAAGGGGGGAGGGTCAGATTGGGCTGAGCCTGTGAAGACCACCCGGCTCCCCGTTTCTTGCCTTTGCACTTTATCTCCAGCTGCTCACTGTGGGGTCTCTGGTCCCTGTTCCCAGGTCCCCCTGCCATTGGAAGCACATCTCTGTGTAGGGAAGCTTCCCCACACATCTGATGAGTGCATCTCAGACAGAGGATGTGAGCGTTTTGTGTGTTGATGGGAAATTCCACACACAGGGCCCTTAGGTGGGCAGGTACCCGTGTGCCGGCTACTGCTGCATTTCTAGGACCAGCCAGCCTGGTAATATTGTGCCTCTATGTCCATGTTAAATCCTGACTTCCAGAAAACTCAGCGAGATGAGCCTAGGAAGACCTGCCTGCAAGGGACCCACAATTGTGTCTTTGTATCCTGGACATGTGTCAGGAACCTTGAGGTTTTAGCTTGGTGGGACAACTGGCCCCAGGAACTTTGTTCCACCACCTGGCAGAGGGTACCTTTTAAAGCTGGGGTGTATAAGATGCCCAGTGGACTGATAAAAGAAACCCCATCTTCCCCATCCATTTCAGGGTCATTGTTTGAGGCCGCATTGCCACCTGTGGCAAACCAGAAAAGAGTTGAACACAGAGAGGTGGGCGCCAAAATCTCAACACACATGCGCATCAGCGGGGCATGCAGCTCTGGCCAAAGCCTGGGATCATGGGAGGCCTCAGGGGCAGGGGAGGTGGGGAGGGAAGGGAGGTTCAGGTCACAGAGGCTGTGCTTGGGACTTGGCTCAGTAGATGCTGGGTGTCTGGGCCACTTTCTCCTCCAGGTTGGGGCCAACTCTACAGGGGAGTCTACCACTCTGCTGAGGCCCCACCAGGAAGCCATTGGTGGGAACAAGAGTCCGAAACACTTGAGTCTTTCCAGGCTGGTTGGGGCCTCTTTCAGGGCCAACCAGGACGACAGCACTGAGGTGGGGACTTGCTCTCCAGTCCCATTGGATCAGGGCTGGGGCATGGGGGGAAATGAGCCCCTGTGCCTTCAGGCTCCTGTCCCTCCTTTTATCTGGGGCTGGGTTATCTTGGGGCTCCCTCCCCGGGGCTCCTCCCACCCACCCTTGGCTTGGAAAAGAGCGTGTGGTTAACACGAGCATCTCATACAGAGCGTGAAAGCAAACACAGACATGAACGGCATGGGGCAGGCATGCAGTGTGTCCTAATCTGGGGGTGGGGCAGGGGTGGGGGGCAGCCAGCGTCTTCCAGCCTCAACTTCAGAAGGCTCTTTTGAAGGGAGCTGGGGTCAGTGGCTGCTTGCTGGAGTGTTGGGCGGGGGCTACCTGCAGTGACCCTCAGGAGGAGCTCCATGGGCACGGAGAACAGTGCCCTTTTGGCCACTGTGGGCTGGGCAGGGGACAGAGTGAGGAGCCAGTGAATCCACAAAGGAGTCCCTTAAAGAGCTGGTTTGGCCAGGCCACTCAAAGGAAGGCATGGACCTGGGGGATCTGGCCTCCAAGGTTCTCAGGCCAGAGAGTCCTTGCAGTGGCTCGGAGAATAGTGGGGGAAGCCAAAGCCTCCCATCTTTGGCTTTGGGGGAGATGGAAGGTCACCTGGGATCTTGATGCTGTTGCCAAGGAAGCCTGCAGGCAGGGTGCTAGCTCGAAAGCCAACACCCTGCCTCTGGCTGGCCCTGCTGGGCTGGGGGGAGCGTGCAGTTACATCACAGGCCACACTGGGGAGGGCAGGGGGCAGGGAGGGCCGGGACAGGAAAGGGAGGGGAGGTGCCTAGGACTACGTGGGGGAGGGAGTGACACCTTGAACACGAATCATCTTTACCTATATATCCTCCGCCTCCTCCACCTGAGGAGCACCCCCCTCCACCCCCTCCGAAACCCCCTCTTGTCTCCCACCCCCACTTCTTCATGGCCTGGGGGCAGGCATGTCCTCCAGTGGCGCCCTCCAGCAAAGACTTTCCGGCCCAGAGCAAGGAAGTGTTATCTTTCCAGCCACCTCCACCACCTGCAGGGGAGAGAGAGAGAAGGCCTCCTAAGGATGCTGGTGCTTTGAGGGGCACTCCGCCTGCTCCAGTTCTGGGGTGACTTCAGTGGGATCTGAGGGTTCCAGATTCTATAGCTGGAAAACCAGGAGAGTGCCATTGGGCTAGGGAGACCAGTGGCCACAGTTTATCCTTAGAGAATTTGCCTGGTTGCTTAGCTTCCTCTCAGGCCTCTCTGGCTCAGAAGCAGGGAGTGTGCTTAGGGATTGTGGAAGCAGGGACAGGCAGCCAGACACTCTCTCCCAACCCGGAGGCACCACAGCTTCCTTTCATTAACTGCTTCTCACCCTGGTCTCAGTCAAGTGTCAGAGGCCTGCAGAGGTCACTGCATTAAAGCTTCTTGCAGGAATCTTGGACTAGGCACCAGACAGCCCCAGGAGCTTGTTTGCAGGCTGTGAAACTCTGGGCATGAGTTTCTTTCTGAGCCTCAGTTTCCTCACCTGTAACTTGGGGATAATAAGACCCACCCCATGGGGTTGATGCTCAGCTTAGTGGAGAGAGTGGGGGCGTGAAATGCACCACCGACCACCAAGTGTCAGGATTGTCGGGGGTTTGACAGGCATGTGCGCAGGTGGCCTCATGCCAGGCTCACTCTGCTTTAGCCATTCCAAAGCCAGGAGCAGAGAAGGCAGGGGGGTGGGGAGGGGGTAACACTCCCATGACAATGGTCCTTAGAGCTTCGCTTCCCAACCCCTGGGGCTGCTTTAGGCAGCTGCAAAGGAAATTAACCTACAGAGCTGAGGTTGGATGTGGCCCGGGTTGACCACAACAAATCTCTCCTGCTGGTCTTTGACATTCCAAGTCCCTAATTGTTCCTCGAGTGGCATTTCAAATAGGAATCTACTCCCCAAGAGCCCAGTAGGTGAGGGTGGCAGGGCCTGGAGACTCATGCAGAAAGAACAGAATCAGCAAGGAGTGTGTCTGCTGGGCTGGAAGAGCCAACGTCTGCCTGCGAGGGTCCTGGGGAAGAACTCTAGGTTGAGGTTCTCCCTACCCAGAGGGGGCAGCAGAGGGCCGTGTAGGTGAGGGAGCTTCAGATAGAGCTGACTGTGGCTAGAAAGAGGAGCCAGGGTTAGAATGAAGCTGATATCAGACACAAGCGTGGCTCTGCATGGGGGTCAGCAGAGCTGAATGAAGGCCCTGGGGCAGGCTGGGGGGGGGGGCGGGGAAGGTTAGTGCTGGGAACTCCAGGGTGAGGGGGCTGAGTGTGGGCTTCACATGGCTGGCCAGAAAGGTAGCAGTTAGAGCCCTGGGTACTATCTGCCTTCCCTTGCTTGCTACTGGCACCAGTAGCCAGAGCTCCCAGCATTTCAGGGTGCCTAATGGCAGCCTGGTGAGCTGAAGCCTGTGGGAGATTTCTGGGGGTGGGCTTGTGGGGCTTTACCTGCGGCTCCGGAATTGCCGTTCAGCCCTAGAACTGAGGAGTTATTCTCCAGTCTCTCTGGGTGGAATGTGTCTGTCTTGGCCCCGTAGGCCCTGCCGCCACCACCGGCTGCAATGATGAGGGGCACCGGCACTCCATCCTTCATCTGGCCAGGGGAGACATTCAGAGATTGAGAAACTGAGAGGGACGTCCACTCTGGAGATCCCGCGCTCTTGGTTCAGTGTTTAAACCTGGCTGTTTGCAGGGCATCAGGGTGACCTCTTGGTCTGAGATGGTTTGAGAGCCCCAATAGTTCTTGCATCAGTGGGGGTTCTATCAGAGATGCAAAATCAAGGGTATACGTAAATGTGCACGCGTGTGTGTGCGTGTGAAGATGCATAGTTGTATATAGTTACATTATATATATTGGAGCTGGGAATGGATCTTGGAGGCCACTTATCCTAGTCCCTTTCCTGAAGCTTCTCAGACTAGCCTTGGACCTCTGGGTGCTGGTGATTAGAAGCAGTTCTTCTTCTCTCCCCTTCCTCTCCACTCTTCAGCATCTCTGGCTCTGACCCCACGTTCAAAATCAAACCCTCAGCCTCACCGTCCCATGGCAGAAATTCCCAGAGTTTTGCTTCTGGTTGGCTCAGATGATATCTGAAAGGTCAACCTTAGGACAGACAGCTGGCCCAAGAGGGCAGAGGACCTTCTTGGAGCCCTGAGGCGGGGTGGCAAAGCACTGGTGAACCTGAGCTGATCAATAGTAAGAGGAGAGCTGGGACAGACAGGGCCCATTTTCCTTTAGGTCTCAGCTCCTCATCTTTCTAGGGGGATAGAGTACCTCAGGGCTTTCCGTCCCAGTGCTGTCCCGAGGTGACAACCCCACGAGGCCCAGAAGTCACTGCCTTGGGAATCTGGCCAAGTGGACCTTACCTTAAACACGTAGGTGGCTCCCCCCCCACCTCCTCCTCCTCCTGCCCACTCGTGCACGCTTCTGTTCACGCGGATTTCTTCTTCGATCACGTTGTTCTCCCCGATGCAAACTTTCTGGATCAATTGGTTTGTCTGTAGAAACAAAAAGCATGTTAGGTTTGTGCCCAAATCAGGGTTCATCACTTTCCAGCAGACGAATCTCGTAGGCTTAACGTTGGGATCTGAACCTTTTCAAATAGCTTACAGTTGGGTGGAGCAGAAAAAACACATACACACAAAATTTTCACTCTGGGCCACGTTAGGGAAGGAGCACAAGGTCAGCTTAGATACAAAATGCTATGAGGAGTGAGGAGAGCAAGGAGGAGGTTTGTTGCTTTTGGTGGTCAGGGAGGACTGCCTGCAGGAGGTGGCTTATACTTGGGCCTGGAAGGGTACAGGGGGTATTAGCACAGAGAACGGGGGAGTTTTGTTATTCCAGGAGGAGAAAGCAGCAGAAATCAAGTGGGAAACGGGGTGTTAAAGTATAGGACTTTCTTGCTTTTAGAGAAATCCATTTTAGGACAGAAAGATGGTCCTGGAGGACCTGTCAGGAAGAGGAGTGTGAGCCCCTGTGTGGTGAGACAGGGTACAAAACAGGGCATGGCAGGAGCCCTTGAATGCAATCAGGAGAGTTGGGTTTCCTCTTTTAGGCAATGGAGCCGCTAAAGGTTTTGGAGAAGGTGCAGTTCTGAAGCATCATGGGAAGAGTAAAGAAAAACAAAGCAAAACGAATCCCCCCAAACACAGAGGAAGGATGGACTCAGATTTCATTCCCTGCTCATCTTTGGGAAAGTAATTCCTCTACTTCGGACCTCTCATTCCTTCCAGCTAATGTCCCATTTCTTGTCTCTAAAAATCCCTGGCACAGCCCTACATAGAGCTCTCGGTCTTACCTGGGGACCTTGCAGGAAGATATTCTGCACTCACCACCCACCTTGGGTGACTTGGTCCTCCATTGTGGGACAGGAATGAAGGACAGGTTGGTGGGACAGTGTGAGTAAGGTGCCAGCTGAGTGTCTCACACGTCAGGGCCTGGATAGCTGGCTGCCGTTATTATTTTATTTGCACTGACTTCTGGACCCCACAGATTCCTGGCGGGGACTCAGAGGTCTAGGAGTCCCTGGGATTGTGCTGGAAATTTCTGTAGTGCAGATTCCTGGAATTCCTGCATAACCAGGGTATTGCCTCAAGAATAGCTGCACCTGCTTGTCGGCCACCAAAGCTCAGAAGAATTCTCCAAGCATCAGCCTGACCTCGGAGGAAAATGACTTTTCTTTCACTTACTGGAGAAAGTAAACCAATAAAACATCAAATTTCCATCAAGTGGTGCTGTGTAACCAGCCAGTGGACATGGCAATTCATCTTGAGCCACTCCTTATGCTAAAGCATTCAGGGATGCCAGCAATGAGTACTAGAGAAATTTCCAGATAAACAGCCGAGATGCAATTTGTTTTATGGCATTTTGGATTTAATGATGGAAATAATTTGATATTTTTTAGAGTGGATTTAGTGTGGATGGAAGGCTCTGAATTGCTATTGTAGAGAACCAATCTCTCTCTGATGCATACGTAACCCTGTTCAGGCTGGAGGGAGACTGCTGGAAAGGAGCATTCTAATGGTGGGCTCGGGCAGGCACGGGCTGCAGGCTGTGTCCTGAGGCTGTGTCCAGGGTATGAGGGAGGAAGTGTGGGCTTCCAGCTACATAGGATATTGAGTCCACACTGGGTTACTGACAGCTCTTGCTAGAGATTTGCTGGGCCGTGTGGGTGGGTGCCTCACATCCCTGGACTGGCTTCATTTGTAAATCAAGGTGCTGCCCAGCTTAAACCAACAATGCTAAGAAGGCCCACCCCCCAGGGCCCCCCCCCCAGACCCTGCCCCCTCTCTTCTTCTTCTTTGGCTGGCAGCCTTGGGCCCCCCCCCCCCCCCCCCCCGGGGTCAGGGGGAATGCCTGTTTCAGTAGAACAGAATCTGGAGACTGTTGGGGTGAGGAAGAGAGGGCCGTGGGGTTTGAGGATGGCCTTTTGTTTAACTAAATAGGGACCCATGCCCATCCTCCACTGCTCCTGCTCCAAGGACACCCTTTTAAATTGGTTGGGGGTGAGGAATGGTCCATTCTCAGCCTGTGTCTTACTGGAGTTGATAGACTTTCTCTGCCTGCCTGCCCGGAGCCACACCCTCCAATCCTCTCCCACCTTACAAACTTCTCCTTTTTGGTATCCTTTGCTGGTCTCTCTTCTTTTTCCTAGCCTCTAACTGTTGGTCCCCAGGGCCCCTCCTTGATTTTCTTCTCTACCTGTACCACACCCTAGGCAATCTCAAACCATCTCAGCCTTATGCTGATTTCTCCAAGCTTTATGTCTTTATCCTAGACCTCTCTCCTGACTGCCAGTGGCCTACCTCCTGTTGTCCATCCAGCATCTCCCTTGACGCCTTACAGCCCTCCATGTCAGTGTAGACTGACATTGACCTTCAGATCTTGCCCCCAACGTGCTCCTTCCACATTCCCCAACTCAGGTGATGGTAGCTTCCTCCTTCCAGTGGCCACACTCTGTTCTTGGAATAATCCTTGACTCTTTTTTTCCCCCCCTCTCAATTTTTTGTCTAATGAAGCAGGAAATCTTTTTTGGATTTTTACATTCAAAATATGCCTAGAATTCAACCACTTTCACCATCTCCACTGTCACCCTTGTATCTTGCCTAGACTAATGCAATAGCTCTTGGGTTCATTGCGCTGAGTCCTCCCTTGAGCCCATGCAGTCTGCTCTTCATGGTGAAGCCAGAGTGAGTCTTCTGATATACACACACCCTATTATGTCACTATTTGCTCAACACCTCCTATGGCTTGAACATGTCCTTAGAATGGGCTGCTCAGCACCATTTCCCTGACCTCCTCTCTTATCTCCCCTTTCTTTGCTCCCTCTACTGATTCCCATGGGCATACGACAGGCTCCCACCTCAGGGACTTGGCCTTTGCTGGTCTTTCTTTTCCCAGATACTTTTCTCCTCCCCCTGCTTGAACATAAGCTCCTTGTGAATAATGACTTTTTCCCCCCTCAAAGTTCCTAGAATAGTGACTGGCACACAGTAGGTACTCAACACATATTTGTGGAATAAATTTGAATGAATCGAGGGTTATCTGGCTCATGAGCTGATTTTTCATAATACTTGCCTGGGGGTTGATGGTGGTCATGGGATTTAACACGTAGACCAGTGCTTTTGCTCCCATAGAACCCTGGATTGTCCTTTCTGGGGAACACTACTGGCATCAAGTGGGTAGAGAACCAGCATGCTGCTAAATATCCTGCAATGCACTGGGAAGATCCACCCCCAAAAGAATATCTGCTCCAAAATGCCAGCAGTGCCTCTGGTGGGGAAGCCTGATTTCAACTTCTGCTGCCGGGTGGGTCTGGAAGGACGGGAGGAGCAGGGGCCAGGTGAGTGTGTGAGTGAGTGAATGAGTGAGTGTGTGTGTGTGTGAGGTGGTGGTGGTGGGTTTCCAGCTGCTGGAGCCCATTTCACACGCAGGGGTGGCCAGGTACATGGAAAGAGCGACCTCCACAAATGTGCAGTTGAACTAGCAAAGTTGCCAAATCCTGTGGTTTAATTCTTAGAGTTAACTTCATTCTTTCAAGATCATCTCTAGACACTATTTTTTTTTTTCTAGACAGAACTAGGGATGGAGATAGTAACTGAAAATATGTTTTTTCCCTTTCCCAACAACTCAGGAGGCTTGGAGCAACCAGGGTACACCAATTACTTTCCCCTTATGCCCATGCTATGCCCCACCCAATCAGTAGAGGGGGCTCTCTGTGTCTTTGACTGAGAATTGCCTCCTCCTGCCCTGGGGACTCTCCCTGTGTATCCACTAAGATTGAGAGTAAATAGGTTGATTAATAAAAATGATAAAGGGCAGCAACCCAGAGGAACAAGTGGATTACAATTGAAGTAAAACAAAAAAGACACGTTCCCGTGAAAAGACATAACTGATTACAATCCAATCAAGTAAAAGTTCCTTGCTGAAGTCAATGCAATCTTTCTGCTTAGATGAAAGAATTGCATTAGCACTCAATGAATTCCTGTGAAAATTACAGCAGCCTGTAATTTAATGACTTAATATATTATAGCAGGTTGGAAAGTCCTGATTATAGTTGCTAAATAAAAGTTGAAGTGGTGACCTTTCTCAGACAGAAGGTTGCTCCTCTTGGCTTACTTCTGCTCTTCGCCTTCACCTCATGAAGGATGGGACAGAGAGAAAAGCTGAGCTCTACTCTTGCTTGCCATCCTCAGGAATCTCAGTCACAGCCTGGCTCTTAGGAGCTCTGCATTTATTTTGTGAACTGACCTGCTGTGAATAGACCCTGTTTCCCTACCTGTACTCCCAGGATACTTTCTAATATGTTCCTGGAGAAGGAGCTTCCCTGGGCACAGGAACCCAGCTCCCTGCCTGGGCACCTACCCCAAGCAAAGCTGTACTTCATGCGAGGCTGGGGTCTGGCCCAATCCACCTTGCAGCATCCTGAGTTTCTGCTAAGACAGCCAGCATGGCCAGGGGCCTGTCTCCTGCCCCCAACACAGACAGGCAAGAGGTAACAACTAGGGCATCCAGGGGTTGCACGGCTGCACTTAACTAATTGCCTCTGTCTCATCCTCCTGGTAATTTTAGGCCACTCCCAGCTTTCTCAGCTCCTGCTATTGGAGTTCTCCCTCTTGGACAGCCGGTCACCTATCCCGAGAGGGTCAGAGACACAATGTCAGGCTGTCTCTGGGACTACAGAGGCATGCCCAGGGATGAATTATAGCATGAATGGGGAAACGTCTATAGAAACTGAGGCAGGTAAAGGGCACAGGAAAAATAAGAGCCCTGAGCTCTAGGCCACTTTGTGAGTAACTTGGGACAAGTCCCTTTACCTCTGTGGCCTCCATTTTTCTTACCTATAAAATGTGGGAACTGGGCTGCACAGTATTTATTCTGGATCTTGGCTTATGTTTTAATCACACACATAATGAATAATATGTGAAAAATCCCTTTTTTTGGTAACAATCCCAGACATGATCGATCAAGCCCTCCCAATCTAGTCCTGTCCTCAGCAGTAGCCACTGTTAGCTGTATCTTTCAGAACTTCTTTTGTGCATTTATATGCATCTATATGTGGCCACGACTCTGTGATATCGAGCTGAACAAGAAGTTTAAGCTGGTATTTTTCTATTTGTAATAGCATGATTAAATATAACAGTGCCCTAGCTAGGAGGTTCAGGAAATGACTCCAACTTATACTTCTGCAGAGAAGAATAATCAGTCCTTCGGTTTCAAAGGTCAATCATGAAACCCATGCTTCAGTCTTGGTCCCCGTGGGGATGTAAAACTCCCATAGCCACACATCACCTACTTTCTTGTGCACCCACATGACACTGGGGGCGGAGGGGCATTTACAGGCAGAACTGGGGGCAAGTCCTGCAGCTTTTGGAAGTGAACTCGCAGGAGTGTGCTGGATGTTGGTGTCCTCCAAGAGGCCTCCTCTGCTCTGGGCACTTACACTGGGGCAGGCATCCTCTCCCTGCTGCCCGACCAGGATGTACAGCATGTCGTCCTTCTCCAGGTTGAAGATGCCCAGCACAGACACGCCATGGGACCGCATCATGGTGTTCTTCCCGCCTTTCCCTCCGGCAGCTCCATAGCCTGAGATGCTGCAATGGACAAAGCACATTGGCTCCTGCAACAGAAAGAAGACTGACCCCTTTCCTGCCAACCCAGTGGCTTCCAGGGGCATCGCTGCCATGGTCATGTCTGAGCATTCTTGCCCACATCAACCTCCTGAGGCCAGTAGGGAGGGATTCTTCCTCCACTGTCAGGAGAGAAATGTAGAGCCAGGAAAAGAAGAATCTGGAAAGGTGTGAAGAGACAGAGGGAGAAGGAGGGGACACACACACAGAATAAGGTCGGGGTGATGACTTCTCAAATACCTAAGCCTTTGCCATTTTGGATTTCCCAGTCCAAGATCAAAAGACTCATAAGACCTTGGATAAGTAACTTAATCTCTCTGTTCCTCATCAGTAGAATGGGGACAAGAAGAAAAGCTCCCTCCTAAGCTACACACGTTATGAAGATAAAAGGAAGGCAGACAGGTTGTCTGAGAATTGTAGCTGCCACAAAATAGGCCCCCAGTGAGTACTTGTTATCAGCAGCATGAGTGGCTGGAATAGCAGCTGGCTTTGTGCAAAGTTTTGCAGTCACCCCGCAGGGTCCCGAATGAAGGAGGTTCCACGGCAGAGGCAGAGGAGAACATGTTTATGAGCACAGACTGTTTACTTGTCCTGTCAGTAACTCCTTCTGGAGCAATCTGTGTGCAGACAACAAACAACCAGTCACGATGAAAATAAAAACAGAGCATGGGGACGTGGGATTGTGTCTGCTGCCTCTAAGACTGTTGAGATGAAGTCGAGCAAGGCTGGGGGACAAAGACTCAGTCTGTGAACCATGTCAGAAGAGCAGCAGGTCTGGAAGACAGCTAGTGTACCAGCTAACGTATGCCAACAGATGGCTCCCCAGAGACCAGCTGCCAGGGAGAGGGAGGATTTGCATGATCCCATCCCTTCAGATCCAAGGTCCTTTATGAACAACTAGGAAGAGATACAAGGCAGTGTTGCCCATGTGGGCATACAGCGGCTCCTCCACAGACAGTTCTAGGACATTCCCATGATCTGGGCATGGGAAGGGCCTCCTCCAAGGCAGAGTCCTCTGCTTTCTACCGCAAAGCTGAGCCTAGAGACTGGAGACCTCAGCCATGTGGCAGGTGAGGACCTGCCTTCTTGATGGAATGCAAACAGAGAACCTCATGCCCAGTCCAGGGGCCTGGCAGGTGCTCAGAAACCAATTGGAGCTTATTGAATGTCAGGAACAGTATCAGGTTGTATGGATCAGAGACCTGAGATGGGCTCCAGATCCTTGAAAAACTAACCAAGAAACTGGGGACACGGTCCTAGTTATGAGAAGAGAGAAGAGAACTTTCACCATGGGGTGGCTATTGGAAAAGGCAAAGTGGAGGGCATTCTGGGGCTTCAAGGTCAGAGAGGACCATTAGGTCCTCTTCTACCACAAAAGAAGAATCTCATATTATTTCCCAGACTCACTTGACCATTCAACATCAAGAAGAGACAATGGCACGAAAGCCTCACGATGCTGCGAGTCCCTTTGCAAAGTGTGGGTTGTCAGGTGATCAGGCCCAGGAGGGATCCGGAGGATGTGCCGGGTGCCAGGACCTCTGCTGGTTGTGGGGCTGGGGTGGGGTGGAGGACTGAGGTTGGCTTCACGGTGGGGCTGACAGATGGCTCCCCATCTGTCAGACAAGTAGAAAGGGGTGGAGGGTAGGAGTCAGGTTTGTGTGACCGGAAGTGAAGACACAGGGAGCCTCTGGGAAGTCTGGCTGCAGCAGGCAGCTGGAATGGGGAAGATGGGGTTGTAGGTTTGGAGAGGGAGCGCATCCTCTACTATGTGGGCAGCATGCATGCTGACATGTGTAGGTCATCTCAAGAGCCATAAATAGGAGAGGGTATTACTCTCATTTGACAGATGAGGAGACTGAGGCTCAGAGGGATTAAACAACTCACAGAGCTGGCCACTGGCAGACTCTGGTCTAGACCCACACATCTCCCTTCCTATAAAGGCCATCTCCTCTCCCGTATGCTCCTAGGAGGCTGATGTGGACGGATAAAGATGAAGGCCTGAGAAGACACCAGCTCATTCTAATTCCCTTCGACCCTCAAGTCCCCTCTGACCCACTAGAGATGGACAGAGCTAACAGGCTGAGGAAAAGGAAAGATTTTGGTAGAAGGCGGAAACGGGGGTTGGCGGTGTGGCTTCCAGAGAATGTGCAGTCTCAGGACAGAAATGGGACCTGGACTCCCTGCTCACTACTCCGGGGGCTGGGCCAGGCTGATAAAAGAGTCATTTCAATTTGAAGATGTGCTTTGCTTGGAAGACTTCTACCTGTGTCCTTGTCCTGCCCACTCCTACTTATGGCTGAAAGGTAAGCTTTACCCTGTTAATTCCTTTCTGTCTCATTTGCATATCTATTTGCATCAATCTGCATGTATTATGAATCATTCTGAACTCTTTCATATGTTTAAATTTAGTCAAATTATTATTATATTTGAGACTTGTTCTTGACTCCTTTTTTTTCCCCCCACTAAATCTTTTCTATTTCTTCTACCCCTTAACCAAATTGGAAAGGCAGCTCCCTCCTAGGACTTGACCTGGCTCTTGGCAGTGGGGTAGGCTGCAAAGAGCAGGGAGCTCTGAGTCACATGCTTGTTATAGCCCCTCGCTGTGGAGCTGTGTGACCTGCGGCAACTTGGTCAACCTCTCAGAACCTCAGCTTCTACTACCAAGGAAGGAAATAAGGTCATAACCCTGCCTCACGTATGGGGTAAATAGTTGATTTGAAAAGGGTGCAGATGGTTCATGATGGAGGTCTCTGGGCTGGAGTCAGCTCCACGTATTCTAGAGCTGACAGTAGAACTTGGCAATCAGGTGTCAGTGCCCAGAGTTTACTTTGCCGGGTGGTAGCCTCAGCCCCAGGCTCCCACCCTGGACTAGGGACTGGCTTACGTCATGGGAGTAGGCAGCTGACCGCCTGGACTAACTGCTGGTGTCCTGGGAAGGGGTGGCTCCTTCATCAGCCCCTGAAGCCTGAAATTCCGCTATGTAGAGCTTCCTTCCTTTGGAAGCTTTTGGTTGCTACTGTAGGACTGATCTGTTTGGGAATGGGGTGCGCCAGAGTAAAAAAAGGGTGACAATGCAGACAGACCTGGATCCAAATCCAAGCTCTGCTACTTGAACCAAGAGCAGGTGAGACCATTGTAGCCCCTCCTTCCGGGTGCTCACCGGCACTGATGACCCTGGGAGCCAGAATCTCCTGAAATATGCCTGAGATGCCTTGATTGTCTCTCCCTGGCTCAGGCCCTGCCAGGCTTACTCACTAGCTGTGTGACCTTGGCTAATTTATTTACCCTCTCTGAGCCCCCAAGTTTCCCTGCATACAAATGGGAGATAATAATTCCTTAAAAAATAGTTGTGAGAAGCAAATGAGAGAATTCCTATAAAGACCTAATTCAGTGCCTAGAGGACAACCAGAGAGTGACAAATGATAGCCACACTCCTGATAGTGAGCCTGTCCACTCCTCTCCTTGGGGTGGCTTCTGGGAGGCAGAAGGAGGAAAACCAACGAGAAGGGGGCAGGAAGTGGACCAGAGTGTGGCCAAGGAGATCTGGGTCAAGGCTGTACAGTTTCCCCTGGGACCCACCCTGTACACAGCCTGGGAAGCACAAGCCAGTCTTAGCATTTTTGAAGACCCCAAACCCTGATAATAACATCACACTCACGTCAGAATAACAACTGCAGCCCAAATCTCTGAAGTGCTCTCCCGGACCCTTGCAAACAATTTATTTTTGATGGTTGACAAATGACAAGAAATTAATATACCTGCCACTCAAGTGGGGAAAATGACTTGCAGTGATTCCAATTTACTGGAAATTACAAGATCCTACTCTCAAAGAGTTGACGCTGTAATTTTTTTTCCCCCTCATCTAAATCCATGTCCCCTGGTCAGAATGCATGTTTATTGGGTTTGCATTTTGTATTATTGACTGTGAGCTATTGTTACCTGATGTAATTGAGTTGTGAATCTTTTTTAAATAAAGAATTAGCAGCAAATCAAAGCAACTGCCTGCCGGATCTAGAAATGACAGCACAGCTGGTGTGCAGCATGTTGGTGGCTTCTGTACCCACTTAGGAGAGGGAGGAGAGAGCCCCCACTCAGGGGAACACAGAGCACCCCATTTCCCTCCTGTACCACCTTTGGGTGGACCGGGGTGTGGCCAAGAGAGACCTCAGGGCTCTGACTCCCAACTGTTGCTGGGGCCGTGTCCCTCCCTCCTCAGTCTCAATTTCCCCATCTGTGAAATCAGGATGCTAAGATCTGGCTGGCCTGACCTCAGAACCACCGGAGGCCTGCCAGTGTGGCCAGGGACTGGGTGGCAGGGAATTTCTGATCCAATGTACAGTCATACCATCCAAATGGGTCACTTGGGCCATCAGGAGACACCCCTGGGGGTTGGTGTTAGAGGGGCCTGTTGGGGAGGTGTGTGCTCCTCAGGGGTCACTGGGTCCTGTTCCTAATGTATCTATTAGCTGGGCACTTGGTCTGGTCTATTCTTTCCTCAGCACCTTCCTGACAGTGCAGAGCTGGAAGGGACCTCAGTGACCTCTAACTCCGTCCTGCTGACAGCTCGTTGATCTTGGCCTGACCCCCTGCCTCTGCCCCTGCCTGCTCTGGGCTCTTCATGGCGAGGGCTCCCTTGTGCAAGGACTGAGGCAGCTCGTCATGCTTTGGGACATCGCTTCTACTAGTGTCCAGAGCTTGATGGGCGTTGTGGGCTGCTACGGAACTTTCCTGCCCTGTGGTCTTTCCAGAGACCATGAGACTCTGGAGTCTCAGTCATGTCCTCGAGTCCTGTGGTACCTACTCAGTGCCTGGCCCACAGTAGGAGCCCCATGGTTCAGTGCTCAGCACACAGTAGGCATCCTGCAGCTCAGTGCCTGTGTGTGTGTGTGTGTGTGTGTGTCCATGGTTGTTTGTGGATTGGGTTGAATTACGGTTATCCAGCTGCACACACTGGTCCCTGGAGCCAGGTAAGGAAATGAATGTCACTGATGGAGACCAGCAGGAACAGCTGTGGCCTGGGTCAGCTGGCTCCAGCTGGGCTCTGGGGCCCCTGTACGTTATGTGTGAAGAGTGACTGCCCCGTGTGAGAACTGCCAACAGGAGCTGTGGGCCGTGTTTGACAAATGTTTTTATGTGTGGTCTGCAGAGGGGGCGGGGGGAGGGGTGCTGAAGTCTACAGAGGCAGGCAGGCAGGAAGGACGGGGGGGCTGGAGGGACGGGGGGATTCAGAAAGAGCAAGAGGCTCGGGTGATCAGCTGAGCGATTGCCTCTCTGTGGGCACTCCACACTCTCTCTAAATGCCCCTCTAAATGTCCATCTCCATTCTAAGATGAGGCTAAGGTTCTTGCCATCTCCCCGCCCTCCAGCACAGGCTCTCTAATCCACGTTCTCTGTGGGCACTGGTGGCCTCCCACCCTCTCCCTCGTGCACCACCCACCTCCTCAGGCACACTCTGGACATTGTCTCCTGCAGAACAACTTGGCTCAGAAGTCCCCCTTAACCAGGTGCCTGTCACATGTGCCCAACCCTTGCCTTCCCTTCTCCATCAAGCTCCTTAGAAGAGTGGCTGATACTCACTCTCCTTGCTCCCTGCACCCCCCAAGCCAGAAACGTGGGTGCTGTCCTGAGTGTTGCCCACACCCATCCACTCAGTTCTCAAATCCCAGTCCCCCACCTCCCAGTCCTCCCGGCCCTGCCCTCTCCTCTCCATCCTGGTTTCCCTGCCCTGCTGTGGTCCCTTTCGCTCTAGCCTGGATGACAGCACTGCCTGGAACCTGCTCTGCCGGCCTGGGGCTCCTTTCTGTCCCTCCCACCTCCCGCAGTCACCAGAGGGAGCTAAAGGCATCTGGGAAGCAAGGCTCCAGTGGCCTGGCCCCAGCCTGGCCCACTCCCTGCAGGACCACAGCAGGCACCTGCCACCCTGCTCCTTCCGTCCCACCCCCCCGCCTCCTTGGAGACCACTCTTACTGCCGTCAGATGGGACTCTGGCTTCTGGCTCCTCGAGGAAGCTCTTCACCTACTAAGACTGGGAGAAATGCCTCCCCTGGCCTCTGACAGTGGTACTTTGAGTCAACATCCATTTTCTTTCTTCTCCATCACATGGAAATGCTTGTCCCCAAGTCCACCGTCCCCAGGGCTGCCGCTCCTCTGGGGCTGGGGCTGGGGCTGGCTCTCACTCACTTTGGTAAACTTGGGGTCAGGCACAGGCTCCAGACAGGTAATTATTGTGGTTCACTGAGATTTGCACAACAGGAGGGGAACAAGTACTGACACCAGGGCAGGGGGCTTGCATGGAATATGACCCCCTCACCCCTTGCTGTTTTGACAGAGGCAGAGGCAAGGTGGGGGAGAAGAGGAGGAGCCCTGGCTCTACTCTTCCCAGCCCCTCCTTCAGCTCCCGCTTTCTGGGCCTCCTCCTTTGTGGTGGGCAAATGAGTAAGAGGGTGGGAGATGGGTCCACTTAAGAGTGGAGGGTGCTTTCACCCACATACATCCAGAGGAAGCCCAGGCAATGGAGGCCCCACCCACCCTGGCATGTGGTGTTTGGTAAGTGTTAGCCCCCTTCCCCTCACCTCCACGACCAGTGGAGACATCATAGGGCCACTTGAATGGGTGGTAACTGTAGGCAGGTTGGGTGTGTCTGGAGGAAACAGGTCATGACCGTGTGTCTTTGAGGTTTATATTTTGTCCCTGGTGAGCAGAACTCTCTCTGCTCCTGGATGGGCATGAACTGAGCAGTTTTCTTAGCCAGGCCCTTCTGCTGCAAAGTTCTGCCTCACGTTAGGCCCAGAGTGATGCCGTGAGCCGACCATGGGCTGAACCTCTGAAACAGTGAGCCAAAGTAGACTTTCCCTCCCCTAAGTTGTGCTTGTTATGTCTTCTGTCACAAAAGCTGACTAAAAACACCTGTTTCAATAGAAGAACAGCTCCTTGTATAAGTTATCAATTACGCAAACACCCGTCAATGCTAGGGACTACGAGATAGTCTCAATTTCAAAGGGAGGGTAGAAACGGTTCTCCAGTGTTAGCTGGGGTTATATCAATGCAGCATGGCAATTCTGTGGCACTTCATGTGGATCAGAAACCTGACTAGGCTTAATAAGGCTGTGATTAATAATACATGGGAAAGTGAGTTAATTATTATTTAATAAGTTTAGTTCCTCTGGCAGGCCAAATCTTTCAAAACCCAGAGCCCATCTGAAGAAGTCAGACTAAAGTCATCAGAAACAGGACAGTCAGGAGCTAATGCTTATGGAATGGGTCTGTCCCTGGAAATGCCTCTGCAGCTGCCTGCTGCTGTCCTTGCTGAGTTCTCTGCCCACCGGGGAGGCGCTCCTCCCGCAAGGAGGCTTTTTGCTGGGTGCATCATCGTCATAAGCAGCTGGGTCGGGGCCAGCACTCTGCTGCTGCATAGTAATGGGCAGAGCCTCTTCTAAATATGGAAGTGGGCCCCATGTCTAGGGGGACTGAAGCCCAAGAGGACCCCAGGTCAGGCATCTCCTGACTGTGAACTTCTGTGGGAGAAGCAGCAGGGAAGTCTTGATATTTTGTTCCTGGCTGATTCCCATCTGGCTCTGGAAATGCCCTGGGCTGGGAGGGGACGATGGGGCTCTGTTAGAGTCTGTAAACAAGTCTGGATGGTGCCTGGCATTTTGCCAGAGGGAGTGGTTTGAGAAGTAACGCCAGCAAGCCATTTAGTGTGGCGATTCCTTATTGGTTGACTGCTGTATCGAGTTTATGTTAATTAAGATAAGCTGTGTGGAATGTATATATACTGCTCCTGTCCTACAATAAATGGCTCCCACTCCTGCTGTATCAGTCTACACCAGTTGTTCGTCCC